GTGCCCATCATTGACAAATGTATTTCATTTTGATTAAACCCCAAAATGAATTAATGTGTATTTTAATCCACATAAGCTCACTTACAATTGATTAATATAATCCGATCAATTATTATGAGCTTTTAATAGATGAAGACAGCTTAATGCCACACAATCAGCAAATTTATCTTGCTGTACTCACAGTCAATTTCTATGCACTTCACCAGACAACATAAACCAGTACATTTGCATTGCGGATTTCGTTCCGTTGTATCATTTACGCATGCAGAGAAATTGAATTTAGAGGGATTTGAGAGTGTCTCTTGAACCAATCTCATCGGATAACGTAAGCTTATTTCCCGTCTTTTCTTGGATTTTTCCTCAGATCGAAAGTTCACCCTCATAAAAGGCATAATCTTGCGGCACTAACCTCGAGATGGAATACATTATTCGTAGAGTTTGTATCGTTGAGAGGATTTCGAACCGAAATTGTTCATATGTTTCACACTGAGATACAAATCAAAGGATAAACAATGAACATGTCAAGTGTACACTCTTTATATATGATAAGGTTGTAAAAATTAAATTATGCGACAAAGTTTTCTCTTATTTTTCGTACAGTAAAAAAATATTCTTACACCAAAAATGCTGTAAATACTGTTAAATCGAAAAGCTTTATTTTCGGCATAAGAAACTAAGCTGACTATTTAATTAGTGAATGACAACTGAACGGCACATTGATAAAAGTGTTTTTCTCTATTTTAACTACCTTTAAATAGTATAAAGTTTCACACACGCACACATTTTAACAGTACACTTCCACTGAATAAATAGCTTCCCTTGGTGTTTACGTTCAATTTAAAGTGTATTTTTCTCCATATGCTTCCTGTTTACTTCTCCTCCGAATAATAGCTCCTTCGTCAGCTGGATCTCACCAAATCCCTCAAAAATATTCCATTTCTCACCAAGAGGGATTTGCTGGGAAAATTTTCCAGCATTTCCCACCCCTCAACTGGCCCAGAAGAGGAAGGAAAAAGAGTGCGTATCTGTCTGCTCGAGAGCCCATTTAATACAATAATTTCACTTAATTGGTATCGCATGGAGATAAAGTGGAACGAGACTCCCACCTCTTTTCACAATTTTTCCTACTCCTCTCATTTCCCCCGGTGAATCCACTTAAAATTTCCCAACCAGCACTTCGTGTGAAGATCAAATCTCAAGGCTTACAATTCCTTATCTCTCGGATATGTTATTTTTTGCCGTGGTGCGTCTAAGGCGAAAGGAAGGAGAGCTCTAAACTCATATTCCTCGAACTCCTTGCCTTCGCATGGGTTCTGTGTTGGGTGGCGGTGTTGTAATGTGAGTTATTTCGGGGGAGTCCTCTCACCCAGATAGCGAATTACCTCGGAGATGGAAACTTCCTCGCAGGGACACTGGAAAGTTCAGCAGCGAGACAAAGGAAGAGAAATGAACTTTAGCAGTGCACATTTTCCACTATATCCATGCACCGGGTATCGCGTTGATTTTCACGTGATTATCTCTTCAGGCGAACAGTAAGAAGTCATGGGAAAATTTACATCTTCCCCTCAGCCAAATTTATGTATTAATGGCTGTTGGAGGTAATTCACAGTGAAGTTTGAAAATGAAGATTAAATGCACAAACAGAGGCTGTATATACTTTAGCGACTTCAGCAGAATGTTGGAGGAGATCAGCTTTATAACTCAACGTTGTTGATAGAAAACTCAGTCCATTTCTCTAAAATGTCCCGAAAAGTTTCCCCAAAACCACAAGAGAGCGGGAAGACGTATCGGAAGATGGGAAAATCCATCGATTACAGTGTTTGTCCCACCCCTTAGCGGCCCACAAAGCACTACAAATTGCAAAGATGGGATGGGCGAAACTCCTTGGAAACTTACAATTTTTCTGGCGTGCTTCGGGATGAAGGGGCCTCATCTAAAATTAGCTCCAACTTCTCCGGTACTTTATTCACTTCTCTTTCAACTTCTTCGCCTTGTCACTCACACTGAGGCGCACATTGGCATACAAATTGCGAGGATTTCCACTGTTTCTGGCGTGGTGTGAGATGGGAATTTCCACGAGTCACGGATCACACATGAGAATGGGGTGGTGATTTTCAATTTGAGGTCTCTTCGGAGCACGTTCGCCTAATGACAAGGCTGGAGTGAGTTGAATGTCGACTGGAGCCCACTCATAAGCCTCTATGGCCCTCAAAATGCTCTATTCAGACTGATTTGGGCTGAAAAAGTGAGCGCTCTCAGGTTTGTGGCTCTCCTTGCGTGTCCGCTCACGAAGAGGTGTTGTGCTAAAACTGACTCCGATGCTCCATTTTCCCCCACAGCTTTTCCAGCCACCGCTCCTGGCGCAGACGCCATCGATTCCGCGGGCTGGAGGGTCAAAGTTCTCGCCATATACTTGTTGTATCCACGCATCAGGACTCGTGGATTCTAATTAAATATCTCGTGGGCAATTGAGATGAAATCCACCAATTTCTTCCCTCTGTCAACCGACGATTCAACTGGAGTGACCAGAAAATCTTGCTCTTTGCTATCGCCATGCGGGACTGAATTCACCCTCCTTCGCAAGAATTATTTTAATCTTGTGGTCTGACCTTTCTGGGAAAGCCAGGAAGTGGTGGTGCTCTGATAAAACAATAATTTGTGATGAATACAGCATATTCATGGGTAGGGAAGGGCCATCAGAGTGTCCATGTATTAGAAATTGGGGGGAGTTCATGGAAAAGTTACAACTTTGTTGAATGTTATCGCAGATGAAATTTATTTTATGACCTGTTAATTAATTTGAGAAAAACTTTACAGCTTTTATCTGCCAGGATTTTATATCTCTTCAGAATTTGAAAAGTAATTTAAGAGAAATAGCAACACCTTCTGCTTTCCATTGAAAAATCACTTTATTTAAAACAGTTATTCAGCTTTTGAGATCATAAGAATTTTCCTATTATAACATCAAAATCAAGATCTTTATTTCTTTCACCTTAATAAAATCGTAGAATTTTAAATTGGCAATCCAAGTACATGTGCAAATTCTCTCACTTTGACTTTATTTGCCATTATTTTCATATTCACCCCTAAACTCTCTATATATGTATATATTTCTCATGTGTGAAATCGAATCGGCAGGCAAACACATGCGAAGCAGCAAAGCAATCAATGTCAGAATTTTAAACGAAATAAAATCTATTGGATTATAAATGGGCGCCATCCTCGAGCTTTACTTTCCACCAAAAATAGGACATTTCTTTTTCTCTCCTCCGCGTGCAAATTCCATAATTTATTCACTCGCATTCTTCTACTCGCGAATTATTTATGAGGGCGGAAGAAGAAAAGCATGTGATCCTCATGTATCAATTAATTTAATTCTATTGACAGAGTGGAAAAATTCCTGGCTCGGCTTCACAATTCAATTAGATGAAATTGGTGAAAATTGTGTGACTGTTGTCAGTGGATGTTTTTTTTTCTTACGAAACTTGTCTGAATTCAAGAATTCGCCGGGGAAATTGAGGATACGCCTCTTTGATGAGTGTTGATGGGGGTGCAAGAGTGAGAGTCAATGGACGAGTCTTTGTGTGTGGTTTCTAATGGCAAGAAAATTGCTAGTTGGCCCAAAATTGCTAGTTTCCTCAATTTTCCTTTTCCCCCCAGAAGGCAGATTGAGCAATATAAAATATGAGTGAGAAATTTGGCTGGAATTACTGCATGCGGAAGTACATTGAACAACAAATACCACTTCCGTTCCGAAGCTGAATAAACATCGTAAAACGGCGCATTAGGCGAATTGTATTTGCATTGAATTTGAAAATTTCACAGTTGACGAAGTGAGCCGTGTGGGATCATTTGTCACATGGTGAAGAGATGTTAATTCACGCGACCTCCAATTGCATTTCATATGCCATTGGATAATTTCAGCAAAACTCCCAACCATTAATTTCACGGCAAATTCCACACTATAGAAGCCAATTTCTCATGGCGTGCAATTTAATGCGAATACTATTCTTCTCTAACGTGTTCCTCGGCAATTTGTTTCCCATCCCAGCGAGCGAGTGTACAAAAATCATATTTCGTACCCACGGAAAATCCAACCAGTGGCTTTTCCAAGCCGAGGAAGTGCCCACCAGAACTGAAAACCTCGGCAGAATGTGTGGTGCACGTTATGGAAAAAGTGATCCAATTTCGAAAAGCTTTCCACCTCCTGAGGATTGAATCGATTTTAAGGTCACGCACATCACTTAATTCCTCCACTCTGTGGGGCATGATAACAATCAGATATAAATTGAATTTTCAAGGATTCCAACACCATTTCGTATATCTCAGTGGCACACTTTTTGCCGAAGCATGACTCCTTGTGCATTTCTTTCACACTTCAAGTGCCACCCTCTGTGACACCACACGTATTGTCTTTGTCCGCCTCGGTGATGAGTTTCCAAAGGAAGATTACGTCTGAAGAGAGCATTTCCTTCCCTACGCGGTCCTTAGAGGAAATCCCGGCGAGTGTCAAAAGCTCACAACGGATTTCCCAGCGGAATTCTTCTCTATAAAATGTGCTCATGCGCCTTTCAATGCGATTACGAAGGAGAAAATCAGTTTTCCACTGAGACACAGAGTGCAGCACACATTTATCCAGACTTAGATATCAAATTTATATGAAATTTATAATTTTCATATTAAATTCTGAAGGAAAAGATAAGAAAAAATTGAGCTACATAACAATAAGTATATGTATTCATCTGAGAACAATAATCAAGAATGAAAATCATTTATGTTCCTTTTTAGTTTCAGACAAATCGAAAATGCAAAGTGATTGAAAGGCAAGAACACAATATAACACAGTCAAGTTAAACGTAATTAAAATTCGTCATAAGTGGGAATTTTAAACAAAAAGTTACTAATACGCTTTTCCAGTTTTTCAATACACTGAGAAATATTTCTCATAATTCCGGAAATTTATCCACTCATATTTTTCCTTCCTGGATAATCAATGGATAATGTCAGTGTGCTGAAAATGTTGACGACGTTTTCCATCTGTATTTTCCTGGCAATTTCTCAACAAGTTTTCGGAGAGACTTTCACATTCCCTGAATTTGATTACAAAGAGACCAGCAAGAATGTGAGTTCAGCGTGCATTCAATGAATCCATATAACAATAGAAATCTTCTTGCCAGGAGCTTTCCTTCCGAGAGTTTGAATCTGCTTGTGACCAAACAAACCGCTGCAATGTCCTGAAGCCTGGAATTTTGAGGACAAAGTGTGTGCGGGAGTGCATCTCTCCTTCTTGCTATCAAGACGTTTATCGCTTCAATGAACTCGAAGAGGGCGAAATCGATGTGCGGCTACACTCCTTCAAAGGATGCTTCATCCAGCGCTTAGGCAGGTCCAGAAACTAATGGGGTAGCCTAAATAAATACGTGATTTATTGGAACTAAACTAGAGTATACACTGGGTGGAGAATCACACTGAGGCGGTCTTATCCTTATCCGCCGTGAGGATGATGTACTTCTCCGGCGGCGGGTCCGGAGACACTTGAGCCGGTGTGTCGTAATTTCCGGCCATGAATGTGAAGCACGTGATACCGCAGATCATGAGGAAGGAGTAGAGGAAGTACTCACAGCTCTGGCTGGACGTCAGCTTGAGTTCAGTGATAAGAACCACGATGAGATTGCCGATGGCATTGTTGACGAACCACGACGCCGTGAGGACAGACTTCATGGTTGCCGGTGCTTGGGTGAAGCTGAACTGTAAGCCAGGAATGGAGAGGAGCACTTCGCCCATCATTAGGAGGAAGAATTGAGGGATTTGCCATGCGAAGGAGATGCTCAAAGGGGCGGATTTGTTGATTTGCACCTCTAGGATTCCTGAGCAGATGAAGGACAGTGCAGCTGCGACTCCACCCAGAGCCACACTGAATAGAGGAGAGATCTGACATCCTGTTGTGCGGCGTATCAAGGGCACTACGATGTTCTGCCAGAAGGGGATCATCAGGAGGAGGAGCAGGGGTCCCATAGCTTTAACCTGGTCAGGTTCCAGGCGCCAGCCGAAGAGCGTGGTGTCTAGTTTGGTTGCCTGAAACGTCCAACTGGAATCTTGCTGTGCCAGCAAAGCCCAATAGATGGGCAGAGGAAGATACAGTCGCAGGACTCTGAGAAAAGCCCGAACATCCCTGACGAATTCCTCAGAGTAGCGACCAATAGAGCTGTCTAGCCAATTAGCATTAACATTCTCCTTCTTAATGTACTTCCACAGCGCATACCATATGCATCCCACAACCTGAACAAGGATGTTCTGTCGATTTACCTCCTCTTTCTTATAGAAGAACATTCCTATCAGGAAGGTGACTAGAAGAGAGAGAAGAGAAAGAGGATCAGAGGATTTAGGACACACATATACGTTACTTACTCCAACATCCAAGGAAAAGAACGGCCAGGAAGCCAAAAACCATAGCGTAGCAGTTTCCACTAAGTCCTCTGATGGACGGAGTTATGATCTTGCTGAGGAGGATGCCCATCGTGTAGACGAAGTAGTAGTGAGAGAAGTACTTCTGCAGCGATGACTTCTGTTCAGGAAGCTTAAACTGAATGGCCGCCAAGCTCGTGATGCATGCTCGAATATTGCCATTGCCAACGGAAATCAGGAAGAGAGAAATGAAAGATATGATCCTGGAAGAAAGGACAGCTTGTGAATTTTTCAGGAAATCTGAGGAAATTTCCATCACATGGACACATACTCCAATGAAACTTTGATGAATGGCAGCGTGGCGAAGATGATGCCCACGAAGCCGAAGGCGTAGAATATCAGGAAATAGAAGATGGTCCTGTGAAAGATGGAGAAAATACCAGTGAAATAGTTCGCACAGAATTAAATATTGATACAAATTCTCATGATATAAGGCTCACTTGGCATTCCCGAAGTAACTATCAGCCAGAATGGCGCCGAATATGGGGCAGAATTGGCTAAAGAAATTGAAGATGTGAAGGACAGTCGTCGAAAGGCTCTCGGAGAGATTCATTGAATCCCTGAGATAAAGCGCCAAGATACTTCTGACTCCTATAAAAAAAACAAAGTCAATGGCAAGTGAAAGATATTCCCATCAATGTCGTAATCTAGATTTTTTCTGCAGGTCTCTTATCAACAGTCTTTTATTACATTTGCAGATTTTTTGCATGAAATAAATCAAGACCGTCAACAAGATCACGAGCAAAGCCTTGACCAAAAAGAGTCACATCTGCTCGAGCAGGGCAACAAGCCGCCGCCGCGATGAGTTTTTCCGGCGCGGAATCCAATGTTTGCTATTGCAAATCGATATGAATTTTTCTTTTTCTAAATTTAGAATTGTGATTTACATTTTTAAATATAGTTATCCCGCGTGAAAATAGAAAAGGAATAATAGTTGAAAAAATTTGTACAATTCAGCGTGAATTAATTTTGCGGCCGCAGAAAATGTATCGGTGTAATATTCTACATATTTTGAATTATTCCACAGTGCCTTAACTCACCATTTGCAGCGAAAGACTCGAAGAATTTTGATCCTAAAACAAGATACACTGCCGTTGGGTATTTGAGCTGCCTCGCCTGGTCGCATTTCTCTGGTAAGTCTTTCCTGTTGCTGGTGCCATAGGAAGGCGTGTCCTTCTCCTTGGCCTGCAGAATCGGAAGAGCTGCAAGACAATCACATTAATGAGACTGCAATATAGTCGTGGGAAAAGTGCGTGTGCAAATCTGGGCCAATGTCGAAGGTTGTTGGCGAGAGAAGACTCGAGATTCTGAGTGCGCGTCTGTGGGGACGTCGGAAAAACACACGTCACGGTTCAGCCTCATTGTTCAGTGTGTTGTTGATCCGGCCAAATATTTATTCACGCGAGTTTAAAGGCATAATTAAGCTTTCTTTCAAGACTGGAAGTCTGAGCATTCCAAAGCTTATGCAAATAAGGAACAAATCATTGATAAGATGATCCTTTCTACACAGGGAGAAATGAGACATTTGTGAAGCGTTCTTTTTAGAAGATTACAAACAATTTCTGCACAAACATTACCAAGCTTACGGTCTTTTCGTCTAATACATAATAAAACTCCCAAATTTAATTATGAGATGCAAAAAGTATCAAACACTATTCGGTCCTGTTGAAATAATATTCTTGTCCTAATTTCTCCTTTCTTCAGATTTTGCCACAGTTCAGTTAGATAGTAGTGATTTTATCAGTTATTAAAACCAAGTTTGCATTCCAGATTTAACTTAAGCCTCACACGTAAACATGTTTAGATATCTTCTGACCCATTTTTTCAGTTTCCACTTAAATCACTGTTTAATTGGATTCTCCGAGTTATTTTCGCAGATTTTCCTTACTCACACTCTTGATCGGAGTGGATGAAGAGCTTCAGAGGCTTCATTTTGAGCTTCCAGAGCTGCCTTTGAACCTTAAGGATCAGACTTTAAAATAAATACACAATATATAACACAGAGGATGCTGAAAAGCATTTCTCCTCAATTTCTTTTTAGGAATCGCTTCTATAGATTCACGTTGTTTGTCTGACAGAGAAAATCCACACACTTCCTTGTCTGAGGCACTGCTGAATACTGAGAAGCTGGGACATTTCATCTCGGGCCATTATGAGAGGGTGATAAGATGCGCGCACCAAACTCCCCTGATAACACACACTCCCCTACACGAGTTTTGAGTCACTTAATCGAGTCGCGCGCGTCTCATGATCCTCTTATCTCAATGATTTCTCCTCCCAAATGACTTGTCGGGTGCACACAATTAGTGTTATTATCAGTGTTGATTCTCGACTCTTACACTTATTTTGGAGATACAGGGCAGTCACGAGCAGTTTATCTTTCTGCTTCCACAATTTCATCTCAACTGATGCCGCGATCGCATTCCCAGCATCGAACAAGGTCCAGATTTGATGTTGAAATTGCATCAATGAATCTCTGGGCGCAATTGACTATTCAACTCCCTCCCAAATCGCGTGCGCAAATGCACCAGAATCTGTTGAATGACTCCCACTCTTGTTGATAACAGAATTGCATTCATTCTGTATGCTGTCTAAAAATATCGCCCAAAATTTTCCCAAAAATACACCATTTGAATATCTTTCTCTGCGCGGTTTAATGGGAACGCGGCAGGGTCAAAAGGTGAATCTTACAACCTTGCCGATGACTAAATTGCTACATACACAGCATTTATCAATTAAGTAATTATAAGTGAAATGTATTGATGAGATGCAAAAAATGCGGTCAAGTGTCAGTATAGAGAAAAACCCGCGGCGAAGAAGCTGATTGGGGTGATTTTCTGGGTTGAATCCAGAGCTACAAGATAAGAACAGTCATTCTTCAGAGATTAACATAATTGAGATGAATTGCCTTGAGTCATTCTTAATGAGCAGACTTTGTGTATTCTTCGTTGTTCCTTGCATTCTCTTAAAGGAAAGAACATTGATAAGTACCTTTACTCACAACATATTATAGTTTAAGAGTCGCTGGATCTTTATAGCAAGAGGAAACACAACCAATGAGACTATCGCAATTTACAGACAAACAATAAAATTATTGCCATTACGATGATCACTGAAATGCACAATAGTTTTGTTGCGACACTTTTAGCTTCATAGAAGTGAGAAATGAAATGTGTTATCAGAAGTTGCAACAAATCCCAGGGATACTAAAACTGGTTCTTTTTTAGTTGTTGATGATTTTCTTGTATGGCGATGAGTTGTTCTTCAGTCAGCTTGACTAAACTGACGTAATGAATCTCTCGTCAGAGTCATAGGAAAATAAGGCGGCTTATCAGTGGCATTTTCACCGCCAAAATAGCGCCAAACGTGGCTCAAAGTTGAGTTTTTTGACCATCTAGTCACGAGGAAGTGTTTATGTTTTCTCTGGGGAAGTGCGTATAATAACAACACTGCATAAAATATTCCATGAATTAAGATCATGACCTATATTTCCCTAGCCTCTGTCACACTTCTTTTTATCATCGCTCGCAAGATAGCAGATGCGAGAGTCTTCATCTGGCTACGGAGAAAGTAACAGACTCACTCTCTAGACAGAGGCTGCAAAAGTAGGTGAGTTGACAAACACTCAGAGACACTTTCTTCTGTATTTAATACTATAAGTGTTGGTGAAAATCTCCATGTTAAGTATATGCAAGAATAACAACATCGCGAGAGGCAATTAAATTGAGTAACCTCCGTCTGGGTAGATTTGCAATTATAAAACATGCGGTGTTTACGTTTTCCCAGCACAGTTCTTCTCTTTTTCCTTTATGCTTTGCCCAAAACATGCGGGGGATCTCGCGGGAAATTGCAGTTGCGCGCGATGTTGGCGTGTTGCTTTCTCGATCGTCAGTATAATATTCATTGATCAACATTATGCAGAGCCGGATCCATGGATCGCGTGGCGCAAAGCGAAGCGCTAACCATTGGCACATTTTGAGAGAAAGAGTGAAGAAGGTGAAGATCATGGGCCAGTTCAAGATCATCGATCACGCTGTGCAGTCGCTTCCGGAAGTGCAAGAGAAATGTTTAGTGTTTTGGTGATTCTATGCCTCCTGAGTAGTCAATTAGAGGCTCAGGAAACGACCGAAATTCCCACTACAGCACCTATAAGTGACGAAGATTTCTTTCCCGATGTCTTCAATTGTTAGTATCACTTTGGAGATTAAAAGACCGTTGAATTTATTAAACATTCTTTTTAAGCCACTGATGATTACATCGTTGTGACTCTGCCTCCAAATGCTACGACCGACAGAAATCCTGACACTAAGCAGATCGCTTTCCCTCATGATCGTGAGGATGCCTCCGACAAAAGGAGGCCGTGCAAGTGCAAGGGTGGCCTTTGCGCCTGTTGCACAGGAATGCTAATGCAGACTCTCCAAACGAAAGGCTGCATGAACCTGCGCTACATTCCTGAAGACTTTGCCTTTCACTTTGAGATGAAAATGAACGACATGACATTGTACAAGAACCGCATCTCTGGAAAGAATCCACCGCCAATCTGCATAAATCCACCCAGAATCGGATTCATCGAAGTTTGTGCCAATTTCTATGACATCTACTTCGTGGGCAGAAATATGCATGTGTGTATGGAAATGGGTGGATATTTTCAAGGATTTGAACTCTTTACCCGATCCTTCGATTGCCTCCGTATGGGCGACAAAGGCGTAAAAGTCATGAAACCCGAAGATGATAGTTTCCGGCCACAGACAGGAGGAAATCTTGAGGCTGAAGTGGACGCTGGAGATGACATTGAGGACTACGATGAGAATGTGGTTAGACGATTTGACAAGAATTGAAAGATCTCTGTTTACATTTACAATAAATCTTGTTACACAACGCCCGATCCTCATCTCGCGACGGATTGAATCCAAGGGATGTAGTTCATCACGTCCACATATACTCCCGGCACTCCTCCAGTTGCACAGCCGATGCCCCAAGCCACCAATCCAGCGATGAACCATCTTCCACCTCTTTCGCACATCAGCGGAGAGCCTCCGTCTCCTGTGCAGGCGTCCTTGCCAGGCTCTCCTCCGGCACACGTGAAGCTCGTGGGGTCCAGAACGAAGGTGGGCCCCAGACGTGTGGCGCGCAATTGAGCCTGACACTGGGCATTCGGCACAACAGGCACATCCACCTAAAATGCAAATAGACTCATTCATTCATTCATTCAGAAGTGCGTTGATTGATAAATCGCTGCACAATTCAATATGCTATCGTCAGTTACACATTGATTCGATGCTGCTACACGTTTAACAAAATAGTTCAAGACGAGTTAGAATAGAGGTGAGATTTAATAATAGACATTCATAGGAGATTTATAATTGAAAAATCAAAATTTTTCCATCTAAATGGCCTTTAGGCAAAACAGTTCTCACTTCTATCTATCTAGCCGGACGATTTTTAAATCAATATTATGAAATGGTATTAAAACATTAGATAGATGTTAAGATAAATAGTGTGCTTATAAGATGTACAGATGTGCAGAGTGTTTAGCATCGGCAGATTAGCAATAAGGACAACAGATTCAAGGGAAAAATAAATGAAAATAGCGGATAAACACCACAAGCAGCATGAAAGTCATGCTTTATCTTTTCATTAGTATAAAGACATAAGGCAAACAGGCTAACACAATGTTCCACTAATTCTCACCTGCTTTTGGATTGCTTGATAAGTTCCTCCTATGAAGTCACTTCGTCCCCATCCAGACACCCAGCATCGCATTCCATCGAAAGACGTCCTCGTTAAACATCCTGTTGTCACAGCCGGCGAAATTCCCATATTAACCGGTGCGGTTAGTCTCAGAATGGCCACATCATTCCTCAAATTACTGGGCGAGAATCCCGGATGGACGATCACTTGAGCCACTCTGTATTCCTGCACAGGGAAAGGTTCTCTCGTCGAAGCGGCGTCCCATTCGCCAAGCCTCACTTCAATCAAACCTGGATTTCTGGAAAAAATATAAAACAAAGAGAGAAAATAAATGCATTGCATCGCCAAGAAATGGAGATCTGTGGGTGAAGGCCAGCGGATTCGTGCTAAGATATTCCATTCGACTTGCATTCCATGTTTTCTTGTCTAGCAAACAACAGTGTCTGCGTCAGAGTAACAAATCATGTTTATCACTCAAATCCATCACCAATTAAATTGTTGAATTTTGTTGTACTTTCTCAGAAGTGAAATGCAAATTCATTCGGAGGAATTTCCGAAGAACTCCATGCTATTTTTCAGACAATTTAATTAGTGTCAATTTCCATCTAAAATTATGTCATTTGACACTCTGTCGGTAAACAAGGTGAAGAAAGTGATAAAGTATCCGCCTAATTGATGTCGTAAAGGTAATTAGACCACCTTAATTCCTCCCCTTGGAACTGGGAAGCTATTAATCATTTCTACTCACGAGAAACTGACGACTTTATGAGCGACTGTGAGGATATGGCGTTCGTTGATTAACACGCCTGATCCAGCATACACATTTCCTGGTGATAAGAGCACCGCTTGCCACGGATAAGCGCCATAGGGAGCTTGGCCAGGTCCCGCAGGAGGACTTCCAGCCACTGGAGGATATCTAATTCCACACTGATAGGGCCCAGCATCGCAACATAGCTGAAGTCCAGGAGCACAGCTTGTGGGCGAAACGATGTTGGTCACGATATCTGAGCCCCCATTGGGCAGGACACCGCCTCCTCCGCCTCCGGTGTTCGTGACGATTCTTATGTCGATTATTCCAGAGCCATCCACGTTGCCAGTAGAACGACATTGGCCGAGCGGCACGCAAGTGCATGTCCTCGCTCCCGTTGGCGGGAAAGGATTGTTCGGGAACTGGGTTTGAGGGAGCGTGGGGAAGGGGGTTTGCGGGAAATTGGGCAGAGTTGGGAACGTAGGTTGTCCTCCAGGCAGAGGCTGGCCGCCAGGTGGAATTGGACCAATAGGACGAAGAGTGGGACCAATAGTAGGAATTTGACCGCCTGGTGGAACTCCGCCAGGTGGCAACTGTCCTCCAGGCGGAAGCTGACCTCCAGGCGGAAACTGGCCTCCAGGCGGAAGTTGTCCTCCCGGTGGAAAAGTAGGACCAATTGTGGGAAAGGGAGCTGAAATATATCCACATATTTGACATGAAACACTCGAAATGGTTGAAACGATTTTAAAATTATGTATAAAAATTTAACAAGCATCATTCAAAATTAATTTTTTGCAATTATCTGAAAGCTTCACTAACAAACTTTAAAAGCTGGGATTTACGTCACAGCTTACTTATTTGGGAAGTTTCTTGTTGGCCAAATTACATCATATAATGATCTAATTATTATTTGATTTATTTCTTTCATGTAAATCAGCAGTTTTTTTCGAAGATTTTGCCTCTTCTATTGCTTTATTTCCAGTTTTATTTTTAGAAAGCACTGCAAAAATAATTTTATTGGCCACTAAAAAACACTCCAATAAGTCCACACACTTTTTGACTATTTGACACAGTTCTTTTCACGTGGTTTTTACAGAATGCACCAATTATTCTCACCTTGCCTCTCCTCGAAATTCATTGCTCCTAAATCATTACTGTTTCTATTTAGATTCAGATTCTGTCCTGAATCGTCACTGGGAAAGCTGAAGGTGTCATCCTGGCTGCGACTCGACGAAATCAGGAAGACAACAAGCACAAAACCGTCGCGCTTGAGCATCGCGAAAGGAGTGATGAAAGTGGAGCAAGGATTGAGCTCAAAGTCTCGCGCGAACTGACCAGCGCACGTTTCACTCGTCCACGGACGAAGTGAAGGCGGTCTGAGCGCCAGGTGGGATTTTATACCGGAATCTGGGGGCCAGGAAGAGTGAAAAAGTGCGCCTATGTGAAAAAGCTCAATTTGCTTCTTGTTCTGCATCGAAAGAGCGTGACAAAAGGGATGGACAAAAAATTATTCAGTATAGTGTAAAGTAAACAGTGAGTCCTCAAGAGTGGGAGGTGGAATTGAAATGGTTGGTGAATCAATTGAATTAATTGTAATAACATTGACCGCGAGAGGTTAATCTATTAATGCGCACACTTCAATTCTGTCACTGTGTTTTATTGAGTACAAGGATAATTTGAGAAAATGCTCAACACACGCAACTTGTTGGAAATCTTCTGCAATTACAGTGAAATTATTTATTGGAAAACTATCTTTGGCCATGACAATGATTTCATAGAATCTGTTATTGATCAATTGTTGAAAAAGAACGCCACTTCTGAGGCACAGTCTTCAGGTAAATCCGTGCAGTGGACAGCATTTAGCGCCCGGTCATTGCCAAAGCGAGCTCTTAGCGTTTGAGGGCGTAACTTCTGAGCGACTTCCGGATCAAAAGGGCCGCAGAGACGCCGGAAGACTCCGTGAGCGTCATCTGAAGAGATCTCCATGGCCACACAAGGTCCACTGGCCAATTCTAAGATCATTTGATTGTATTCCGGAGCCACACCGCGATAGACTTGCAGGAAGTCCTCGCAATTCTTCCTGCCCATGTGCACCATCTTTAAGGCGGTAATTCTCAAGTCATTACCAAGAATTTCCTTTATGATCTCTCCGGTCTTGCCGCTCCGAACTGCATGGGGTTTCACAACAGCCAGTGTGGAGCCTGAGAAATTAGCTGTTGGTGAGAAGTTCTGCGTCCGGAAGAAATACTCAATATCCCTAGAAGCGTTGGAAGAGCTGACTGATGAGTAAATTGGCAAATCAGGAAAGTTCTCTTCGCAAAATCTCCTCATCCTGTCCACAGCACTTTTGGAGACAATCTCCAGTGCCACAGAAACACCCTCAATTGTGCTGCTGAACAATTGGGAAAGTCTAGTTGAGTCTGTCTCCTCACCATAAATCTTCACAGTGTCTTCAGGCTTCAGCTTAATCATTCTACAGTTGACAACTTGGAAGTCTTGTTTAAGGAGAGCACACCAAATCTCACCCAACTTGTGAAGAGATTTTGATTTGAGCAGAAGGAACGTCCTCTCCATTCGGGGACTGAGTTCTTTCCTGGTTTTGGAATCTCCATAGTCAATTATGTTGATGTTCCTGCCGAATATGAACAGCCTTGAGCCAACGTAGAAGTCTCTATTGGACAATTGATCCACTCTTGTTCGTCTCAAGAAAGGCTTCCTCGTCTTTTCATCGATCTGAAGAGAATTTATCATGATTAGAAGACCTTTTAAAATCACGCGAAAACCTCAAATCCTCACCATTTCCACAGAGTTGTCATGGGAATAGAAGTGGAGGAAGATTCTCCTCTCCAAACCACCATCAGCTTCGCACAGAGCAATAAAGATCAACTTCTCAGGATCGTAGGAGTTCTGTAACGTACTCATAAGAGATAAGTTACAATTGCAACTTCACCAATTAAAGAAAATATTGCTTTACCATTCTTGGCGATGCTCTCTAAACGTCAGGTGATTCTGTTTGTTTACACGCATACGATCACCTTGGAAACCAGAATGAATGAGAAAAAGAGAGAGAGAGAGAGAAGTAAAAAAGGCCGTTTTCGGCAGCACAGTTTCTGGCGGGAATATCAAATATTTGTTTTTGCCACTATTTTGTGACAAAGGTTTGGTCAGTTTGGTCACCCAATGTAAATGTTTATAGGAGAAATTAGGAAGCAATTCTCTATACTTTATTAAGACAATCATTTTACTTATACTGAGGAGATCTTCTGAGAAAGCGCTGGAATTCAGGAGAATTCTGAAATCCTTGTCGAGCAATGTAGCCTCTAAGGATTGACGGTGGAATATCTGGGGAAATCTTCTGGAGATCCGTCAGTTTGCAGTACATCGAACTGATGTTGGTGGCATGAATATTTTCCTGACTCGAAGCATCGCTTATTATTATTTCCGGAATGCTCTTCAGTGAGGTGTCTGAGTGATTTTCCCTGTGAATCTGGGCATTGACCACTTCTTCGTGGATGTGGTCAGAGATATACTCATCATCATCATCGCTATTGTCATCATCTGAGACGGAAAACTGCTTTTTGAATTTGTTCTCCATGATCAAAATGGATTCCCGAATTTCCGAGAGGCTCTTCTGTTTAGGTTTCTTTGGGAATTCCACCAAGGGAATACTTTCGGCAATTTCATCTACTGGCTTAGTCTTCAAGTCTGTTTCTTCTATATCGGGCGAAGGAGGCTCTTTCAGTACCCGAGGAAAATCCACCGTCAATTTCTCTGCTTCTTTATAGCGCAGGAAGTATTTAGTGTATATCATGTAAATAGCTGAAGCAATAATAAGACAGGAAGAGAGTATGACAATGATGATATAAAAGCGATTTTTCCTATTTTGACACTTTTCTGTGATTCTGACGCTTGATCTCTCACTCCAAAGTCCTGCTTCACTCGAATCATCCCGAATGTTCAATGCGCGGATGCGATATTCGTATCTGAAAATAAAATTTGAGAATAGTTAGTGAGCATTTCTAGTGGGTGTAAAGTGAAACTCACTCAATAACGTCAAGATCGCACTCATAAGTTATCTTAAAGGAGCAATTCTCGGATTTTTTAGAAGTTGAATTTTCTGCGGCGTTGTTGATTTTTCTCTTCACTTCCATCTCATAAATTGTGTGATCATGAATTATACGATTCGCCTCGCATGTAATGTCTAGTCCTATGTTGAACAAATCTTCAGTTTCATATCTCTCTTTGACTGTTACAACACTTGGAAGGTCTGACTTCGTCCTGAAAGTCTCAGTTTTGTTTATTTGGCAGATCTTCCTTTCATTCCTCAAAATGTAAAACTCAACTTCGAGCTCATATTTAGTGTATTCCTGAAGATTGCTTAGAACAAGAGAATTTTTATCTTTCCAAGCATCTTTCTCAATAAATGTTCCATTCAGTTTAATCTTCCATTGATAAGAAGATTCGGAACTATTATAGAATTTTACAGCAGCTGAAGTCATATTAATGTTTTTCTGCGAAATATCAATTCTAGGAGTTTCCGAGCAGCAAGCACCCTCCAGGAAGTCATCCTCATATGCAATATGAATCGTTGGTTTCGAAATATCTGGACACTGTAAGAACAATTAGCATTAAATGCATAAACTGTTTAAATAAGAGATAATCATACAATTGCATCCTCAAGCTCAATTTTCGTACTGAAGATATTCTTCTCGATCAATTCACTGTTTTCCATTGAGATTCTGAATGTTGAGTTTTTATCAATGCTCAACCCGCTCAACCATTTAAGAGTAATGTTTGTAGCGAAATTCCCTGAGTTCTTCTTCAGCATAGCCCAGAAGATTGTCAATGTGGTCGTGCTTGTGGGTTCTGTGGATAAGAGAACGATGTCTGGAAGTTCATTGCTGTCCTTCCCCTCTTCATTCTTTGTTGCCCAAGTCATTCCTGGACTGTAATTTTCGTACATGGGAGAAATAGCGAAATTTAGGTCTTCTTCGCTAGGAAATGTGTAGTGATAAGTCATCTTATTCAATTCAATTGAATTTACAATGGGACTTTTGCACTTCTCGTCCTTCCAATTGATTCCTTTTTCACAGTAAAACAAAGTAAATCCTGTGATATTCTCTTTTGGGGAGAAACTCCAGAATATCTCATAAATGGAGTCTGAGTATCTCCACTTGATAAAGCGACAAGGTTCTTTAGTTGTGTTTCTGATTGTCATCTTGGTGAAGGTGGAAGATTTCCCAACAGAATTTTCACTTCCCAAGCAAAGGTCAAAGTCTGTTTGAGGAACCCTTAAGCTGGAAACCGAATGCGAAAATCCATCAACAATGTTGATCCAAGACACGTTTCTATGGAGACTATCTTTAGGATGCTAGTAGAGAAAAATGAAAATAAAGGTTGTTTATCAGAACAATTCTGACGAATTTACAATCACGATAAGATTGTGCCTTATCTTCACCTGTTTATCATCGCAAAGCGTGACTGTGTAAGTAAAATTGGGTCCTCCTTCGAATTTGGGATCGACTGCCATCCAGAAAATCATCAAGTTTGTCTCGTTACAAAAGGCTCCAGGATGCGCCATCGGAACGGCTCTCGGAATGGAGGAATCTGTTCTGAGGTCACAAGAGCTGGGATCAGACCAAAACTTCTCCTCATCCGGCGCATCGGCGAATTTCTGACGAAACACCACGTTGTACTCGTGATTACTGTACGGCAAGTTTTCAATCTCAATTCTATCTTTTACTTCATGACCTATCGTGTAGTTTTTGTATCTCAAAGAGTAGATCTTATTCCTGAATGGATCCAATGGTATTCTCGATGATACGTTCGCTCTGACGACATAATCTGAGGGTGTGAATTGCACTTATCATCTTGTCTGAAAGGAATCTTTCGAATCTTCTTACCAACAAGAACAAAATTGTCTTCATTGCTTCTCTGTAAAACTACTTTGGTGTCTGTGAAGCTTTCAACTGCGAACAAGGGCGTTACAGCTTTTGCTGAAAGAGATAAAAGTGAATAATGTCTTTTCTCTGGAATTCAAATTATCTTACACCAGAATTCCGAGATTTAATACAATTCATATCATATATTATGCTTTTGTTGACGATATGGTTCACGAAAGTCTCAAAGGAAATGTGATATCGCTAACTTACCGACTTCTGTGTAGTTGATTGGAAAATGGCGCAAATTACTGAATTGTTCTTTATTAGGGCAGATCTTAAAATACAAATTCAAATAGTCCATGTAATCTTTGAAGTTCTCACTATTCAAGTCAATAACAATTATGCAGAGTTTCGTGATTTCACTGCAGTCAATACGCAGCGATGACTCATCCTCCCTAATTCCACCGAAATCAATCACAAATTGGCACTCGGAGAAATCAGTTTTTGTGTCCCAAGCAAATGAGCAGGAACCATTCATGTTCTCACTGAAGTAGCACGAGAAATTCTTGATTGCTGATGGAGTGTAAAAGAGCATTAAGAGAATGATCAGGACCAAGTTGATCATATTATCACTATCACTTTGTGCCAAAGTATTTTCCCGAAATTTGCTATTTTAATCACTTAACACCACAAGAATGGCATTTCCTCTGAATTGCGTTATCAGATCGATTTATTAATAACACACATCGCCAACTTTCCTGGAACTCTGATAACAGAATTCGCATGTTTGCATCGATTTCACAAGAAAACCATCACCGAACTTATATTGAAAGGGTTTCGAAGCCTAAAACACACTGAAGTAGGCCAAAAACCTCCCTGGCTTGACTAATCTTATCAACTCGGAGCGAACATCTTGAATTGCGAGTCGTTGGACACGCGAAATCAAACTGAGAAGTCTGTGCTGTGCCCAACAAGAAGCCAGAAGCCACTATCAGCATCGCGTATTTTCGGGAAAAGGCGACATTTTTTGCCGCGCGAAAGTCAATCGAATTTTTTTGGACGCGCATACACGCGGAAGTGCACAACGATAGAATTTCCTGCAGAAATTCATCTGCAAATGAGTACTGATAAGTTGTTGGGATTATCATTTATTTACCAGAAGATTTATTGACGTGATAAAAGACACAGAATATTATAAAGCCATAGTGATGAAGTGATACTCATTTCATTGTTTTAAACCTCATTCTAAAATAATTGCTTCAGAATTTCTGACATTAAAATTATGCTAATTGGGATTCTGCAATCAAACAAATATTGATCGTTTGGGACCTAAAAAAAATCATCCTGATGAACACCTGAGAGCTTTTCACTACCTGAATTGAAGGGTTTTTCGACGAAGATAAAAGTAAAACTCTTTGATTTAGATTTTTTCAGTATATTCTTTAATTGACGGAGAGATGAAACCATTTATAAAAGAAATAAAGAGATATATATTCTAAAATATTACACGAATCTTTAGTATTAGTTTCAAAGTACACAAGAAATCGAGGAATCGTCATGGACGCTCCATTTTTCCGCTCAAAAGCCATTAATACGTGCAATTTCTGAGAATGCATTTCAATGCGTGTCATGAAGAAAAATTAGGAAATGAGAAATGGCACAGAAAATATCCCGAGAGTAGTGAAAAAATAGCCCTAATGTGAAGCTTGTTGATTTATGCGGAGTTGCGTTAAATACGACATCGAGCATGCAAAGTATCCTCTCATTACTATTCAATAAATCTCTGTAATAATTTTCCAAAATTCACAATTTTTCCACCGTCAAATCTCATTTAAAACATGTAAATATAACATTTAATTCCTCTTGTCTTCACTTTTCATTTCAGCCGAACATTTAACATTCAATTTCAATGATTTCAATATTAATATAACAATTCGTTGATTCGAAAAAATAACTAAAGGAAAATAAATCCTTTCGTTGCACTTTAAGAATAAATCCTTTTTTTTATCAAAAAAATATAATAAAATCTCTTCAATTACGCTACTATTAACGCCTACAATTGTGATTCTGCCGAAATATGCAGACTAATCTATGTGATTTTAGTGCTACAAATTACACTATGATATAAGGCAAAATTAATTACATTTAGATAGTATATCTCTTCACAATTATCTTATTCTTCAGTTAGCTATACAAATACAATTAATCTACCGAGATTCAAATAGCCCACAAAAATTTCTCTGACTCCTTTTCTCACTTTCTCTCCCCTTTTTTTTCAAAATTGTGAACATTTCTTCTAGTGTATAATCCCTAATTCAAAAATATAAATAAAAAATATTACTCTAAAATATATCAAGCTATGAGTGAAAACCATAACGAAAATGGCTCAAAAGCGAGTCATTTAGCATGGATTTCGTCTCAGAATCTCTTATATCTCAAAAAATCTTTCACTTTACATTCGTTGGCCGAAGTCGGCAAGCTGCTTTCGTGTCACATATCCTGAAAAGAAAATAGAGAAATGCGCATTAATATTAATTTTTATGGAAATAAATGCAATTTTACCTGAAATTCCAGTTTCATCAGTCTCAGTCACCATCATTGGTGTCTTAATGGGCGCCTTCAAGGACGCCAGTTGCGTGTATCCTTGCGAAGGCTAAAAGAAACCAGGAAAGCAATTAGTAAAGAACAAGTGCACATGAGTTTCACCAAATAAAAATATTTCAATCAAAACTGTTATCGCATAAGAGGAAAAGTACTGCAAGAGGACTTGCAAACAAATCTTAGGTTAATAATAAGTGGTGAAAAGAGCGCTTCAACCAACTCACCCTCGCAAAGTGGACGTATTGATTAACACCCGCACAGAGGGCGACTTTGTGCGTCTGCGGATCCACTGGGTGGATCTTCACCTCATCCACCTCTTCCGGCTTCAGCACGTCAAAGGATACACTGTCGGGCGGCTCCTGTTGAGATTCAATTGACGATTTGTCGTCCTCCTCATCGTGATGCTCCTCCATTGAGTCGAGCTCCTCGGGCGGCCCATCGTGAGACTCACACTGACTCTGATTGTCCACATTGGCGGTGCTGCTCGTGGTGCTGCTGCTGCTCGACTCCATGTGATTGCGCAGCAAACTCCTTTCCTGCTCATCCTGCTGCACTCTCGGCTCCCTGTGATGTATCGGCACAGTCCTCAGCACGCCGCCATCAATCATTTCGCCCATCTTGGGGCACTTTGTATCCTTATTGATGTCATTCAGTGCGTCCGGAAGCACGACCTTAATGTCACTCATCGTTTTGCACTTCCTATAGCCAAACACCACGAGCGCAGCCGTTCCCACCACACCCACGAAGATGATGAAGATGTAGAGCAGTGGACTGCTCTGACCAAGACTGCATGAGTGCGTGAAGATTCCTGTGTCCTTACTTTTCAAATACGTCGGATGTTTATCCTCCAGCAACCAATTCTCCAAGCGCTCATCCCTTGTGCCCCAGCATGCCGGAAGATCATGGATTTCTTGTGGAATCGCCGAATAGTCAGTATTTTGCAGTCCAAAATCGATAATCATCGAAGCATTTGTGATATTTCCCACACCGGCAATCAAATGAGCACTTCTCACAACATTCACAGCGCGAATACTCAACTCAATGCCTTTCCAGGACTTCTGGCACGGACGATGCATCCAACAGTTGGTGGCATTCAGTTTCGTTAGATATTCCTCCGTCTTATTGCCAGTCAAGGATATCGTCGTGAAGATTTCGTAGTAATCAAGATTCCCGCCCGCATATTCAGGCCTTTCCCACGACAGCACAACGTAGTCATCATACCTTGGATTCATTGCATTCGGCGATAACTTTATTCGGCCAGGCACTGAAAAAAGAACGAAAAGATTAGAGATATAATCTTATTCTCGCTAAATCGAATTTTTTTTTTGGTCATTATTTAATTAAATTCGTTCATCACTGATTCCACTCAGGATTTTTTCTTATAATCCACCAATTTTACTGACCAAAAAATAAGTAAATGGGTGAAATAGAAACAATCAAATAATTTTTTATCTACACATAGAATAAATCTACTCACCTCCCATTTTCGTTTGCACAGTGACACTTTCACTCATATTCGAGCATCCTATTGTGCACGCCACAACGCCAATCTCATATACGCTGTACGAACGCAGATTTTCAATGGTGTAGACAATTGTTTTGTTCTCCTGAATACCTAGAAATACTGAATATTCTGTGCTGTTGCACCAAACAATGTACTTCTTGAGGAAACCATTCGCCCTTTCTGGAGCATCCCAGCTAATAACCAGCGAAGTGTTTGTTTGATCACGAATATTAAGATTTCTCGGCGGCGTCGGAGCTAAGAAGAGGGAAAAAATCATCAGCTCATAGAACGAAATCTGGCCACACAAAGGCAAACTCACCTGCTTCCAGAGTCGTATTAACCAGAGGCTCACTCGCTCTGCCCATTCTTGTTTTCGAGTACATGGCAATTGTTGTCTTGTATGTCGTGTAGGGCGTCAACCCTGTGATGTTATACTGCGTTGTTCCAGTGAAATTGGTCGTAATTTCCGTTCCTGGTTTGCATGAGAGATTCTTCGGCGCCGTAATTGGACAATAGGTCAAAGTATATCCGGCCACAATTGGCGTATCTATGCAGTCCACATTCCACTGAATCTCCATATAAGTAGCATCCATTTTTGATACATAAACCGAGTTGATTTTCCCGATTTCTTCAGCAAAGACAGAAATTATTCACAATGAATCACAAATTTCTTCAAGTCTTTCAATAAATCAGATATAATATGAAGCAACTAAAAACTGTGCTAACAAGCGTGTTCTACAGAAAGAAGAGTGTAATTGAGTAAATAGAAAGGAAATAAGAGGAATTATTCATACCATAAACCCAGATTCATAACAAAATGTTAAACAATTCCAATTAAAAATAAATTTTATAGACATTTGTGTATTGAAAGAACAGACAAGGAAGAATTTGTATTTCAATAAAGAAAAGGACATTCATACGCTCAAACTGTAATTAGCAATGTCACGGTCAATTTGCATTTTAATAAACTCTACAATTAATTATAGACTTTATATTCTACTTCTGATAATAAGATGGCAGGCAACATAGTGTACTCATATGTGTGTATTAATTTACTCTAAAAACAAGCCCTCAGAAAGACGTCATAAATAATAAATTTATGTATTCTAAGCCCATCATTTTAGTGCGAATATGGTGTCAAAGTACATATTTAGTAGACGCCAATTTTTAGTCATTAATCAGTCCACGATAAAATAAGCTGATGAAATAGTGAATAATTAACTCTGTCGCATAGTGAGACAGTATATCAATATTTCCCTTTGATTTTCCTTTCCAGGAAATGTTAAACGTCTTCACAATGATTATAAGACAATCTCAGACATAAGAGACGGGAAAATTTTTTACTTTAAGCACTCAATTCACGATCACGAAAAGCATCACGAAAGAGCGTCTCCTTTCTTACCACGTTACGTTAAGCCTTGCATCTCGATATTGGTATGCAAGAAAATCTCATTTTTTCGTTACTTACGCAAGAAATGAAGTGAATCACTTACACTATTTGTACATTAATAAGAGAAAACCATAAAAATTACCACACCGCACAAAACCACTAATAAACGTATTGGCAAAAATTATTCTACAATGGAAAAACAACAAGCAAGTCTGTGTAGATTTTACATAGCAGCTAAGAAGTTGCGTCAAATTGTGCATTTTACTATCAACCAAGTGAGTTTAATTTTTACTAACCGTCACTTTTGGACGCAGTGCACATCGCCCAAATCATTCCGGAGCTAGAATAGAGAGAGTTTGCCGACAACGCCAAATTGATAGCCTTCGTATTGGCGAGTTCGAACTCACGAACAGACGTATCGACTGTTTCAAAAGACACTGGTCCCTGAAAAAATATCAAGATTATACTGCATTTGCCTCATTAAAATGTCTAACGCAAGGACACTCACATTGCATTCACTGGGATAGTTCGTTTTGGACTCGCACCAGAACACTGTATAGCTGACCAATTCATCCCGACGCGAATTCGGCGGCGACCAAGTCAACTTGTACTTGTAATCAATGCTGTACTTCTTCAGTTTTTCCGGTTTTGGAAAGCGTTTTGACTGCTTCGGCACGTAAATTGTGCTCGAATTAATCGATTCCCCTTCAGAATTGGCGCTGCGAATGGTGAAGATGTAGTCTTTGTCTGGCATACTTATTAATTTGGCCATAATGGTCGTCAAATTGTGAGCAGGAATGGGTAATTCAGTTCCATCAGTACTCTTAATATTGCTGATTACATAGTGCGAATTGTTTCCATTCTGCTCCTCCAGCGGCAGTTGCTTCCAATACAGCCAAATATCATTGTGATCATTTACACAGAAACTGCCAATGTTCACTTCCGGTGGCCGATCTGGAATCTTGGCCAGAGTTTGGAACTGAAACTTCGTATAGTTTGACCACACTTCTTCACGAGTAGCGTTTGGCACGTGCAATCTTATTTGGACTTCATACCACATGTGCGCATACAAATTATTAATAGTCAGCGAATACATGCCAAATTTTTCCTCCCTCAGCTCTTTCATGTTAAGCTTGTACTTCTCCGTGATACCCATCTCATTGGGACTCCTAATAATGATGCCCTCGTGAATGAATCCCGGTTCAAACGGATTCAAATTGTAATGCAAATACCATGTCAGTGTCACATTAGTTGGATTTCGTCTTGTAACATTCATATTCAGTGGCGGATCGGGTTTTACGCACTTAAATGTGTCCACCTCAAATGTCTGTTGAACACTACCCAATATATTTGATATGTCCAACGTGAAAGAGTATAAATCGTGTGAATTATAGTAGTCATCCACTTCGAAAGTGTACGATGTGCTGTTATTATTTGTATTTAATAACTCTTTTGAATAAATTCTGCTCACGATCACCTTCGGTCTATACGTGAGATTGTAGTAAGTATAGATCGAATTTACTTCCTTATCGAAAGTACAATTCATCTTGAGCCAATTGTATGAAATGCATCGGAAATTCTTCACTGGCTTTGGTGCATAGCCAACATTCACACGCACAAGATTCACGCCAATATAGCATATTTCATCGGGTGGACACATAGATTTCCTCTTCTCAATCGCGATCTTTGTCCTTTCAATCTTCTTTATCTTGTCCAGACCGCAGACAAATCTATACCCACCCGGTGTATTCATCTCCGGAATGTATAGATCAATAGCTGAGCTATTGCGCACCCTAATTGATGACTGATCCACGATTTTGCCATCCATTCTGAAGAACAACAAGTCCAAGTCACTCTCATTGAAGGATGGATTCAAATCCCTCGCCATCGCCCAATTTATGTTACAAGTCAGGTTTAGTGGCTCGCCAACGCGTAAATTCACCTCCCGTGGATAAATATCTGCAAAAAATTTATATTAGTAAAGTATCACAATATTATTTATTATCAAAAAGTGATAATAATGACATTTCAGATTGATTCTTGAACACGCACTCGATAAATTATTCATCAATTTCACCTCTTTGGTCAAAAAGGTCGAAATTAAAAACTCTCAGTCACAAAATGTTTCCATATTTTTACATTGATAAAGCAATTAGCATACCTAGAAATCTAGCAATTTGAGAAGTCTAAATATAATCACGAAAACATTTTTTTCGGCAGATAATTTGGGAATATGTTCTTGTCAGAATTAAGGTAAATGAGCAACATTTCTTAGAAATCTGTGATAGATTCATAACTTACCTCCTAAATCTGCACTCGCAGTAAGAGTCACGTGCAGAAGACAGAAGACGATCAGCCACATTTGTAGTCTGCAAAAAGAAATCCAAAAAAGAGACAATCAATAAGGAATTCGGCGAAATAATCATTAATATTGTAAATTAATAAGTCACTGAAATATTACAATAACGATGATTTGCAGATATTTTCAATTGTACAATCATAAATTCATCATTTAACGCTTCAGACGCTTGAGGGAAAACAAAAATTTATGGGGAAAACACAACATAAGAGAGAATTCTCAGGAAATACCTAAAGTATTTATACTTTCAATTTCTTCTTAAAATCCCTGCTAATCTCCTCTCAATTAGCACTTGAAAGTCTCAGCGAAAAGTTAGCTTCATCATCATTCAAGTCCACATATTATTACGTCCGTTCGATATTTTGCAAATATTTTCTTTCGAATCAACCAAAACAGACCGCGATAAAAAGAGGAAAATTGGAAAACAATTAATATGTGCATTCGAATAGCTATTAATTCTTCCCCCATTCACGAAAAACCCCCCATTTTCTCACACCATTCTCAACACTAAATCCGCCCAAGAGTGCGAATTAAAGTCACGTTTTCACACGCAAAAGGAAAACATAGAGTAAACTTTCATGTTAGAAAATTTATGTGTGAATATTTTCATGTGTGCTTGAAAGTCGACACGAGGGAGAAAGAAAAAAAAACTGCATTTATGCAAAATGCACTTTATTACTTTAAGTACATAACGAGTGAAAAAGTTCTTGTGACTAATAGACTATTTATGAGAATTTATCGATTTTATAACAACAAAATTCACTTGAAACTGAAGCTACCAATTTTTGCTTTCCGTAGAAATTTATATATTACAAGAAAGTCCACCTCATTTGTGATTTTGTACTTTAGCCCAACAATCACTTTTTTTCTCTTCTCAAGAAAAGACATTGAGCAACAGAGAAACGATCGCTTCATTAACTACATATTTTCTGGTTAATCTGTTAAATTGGAATGTAATTAAACACAATGTTCCAATAATTTCCAATAAAATGTGAAATTTACACTCAATTTTTCTGCCCAAAATTGTCTTTAAAATACTTTTGTAATTGGCTTTGTAACACTTTTGCTTTGTATAGATATTCCCAAATGGAATTTTGTACATTTATTAAATGGCAAATTAAATCTAACCTGTTATTTCCCTATTAAGCAGCACTTCTTCAAACCTCAATAGTTTATGATCCTCAGAAGAACTCCTTTAAGTCCTTGAATACACTTTAATTCACTACACTTTCGTCGCGAGTGAAATATGTAGCAGAGCTCTCAACCAAAGTGTGACTGAGTGCTTATGGCAATTCCAGTTGGCAAGGAAGTTTATCAGCGAGAGGCGTTCTTTATATGAAGTCCATTGGCGAATGGCAGAATCTCATTTTCAAAGCCGTCACCATTGTGAATGTTCTCACGATTAACAATCAGCGAATCAGAGCAGGCAAAAGCGCACAATTTTGGAAAATACAATTTAACGTCACAGGAAATCGACATTGTAAACATGCTAAGTTTATTTTCTATCATCTGCACCATTTTCTCGTGAAAAAATTAGCAATGTGACATATTTAGGCTTTCTGGGAAATGCTTATCACGCGAAAATATATGAGTTTTTGTCTAATAAATGTGAGATGCTTCAGGATAACAAAAAACAAGTTACGAAATTCTCTTGGCCAATTGCAAACTCTCTATTTACCTTATCACTGTCTCATTGAATAAATTCAGCATCATGCAAATTTATTTTTCAACCGTTTGCATATTTACCAAATACCAGTAGGCTTTTCTCGTGAATTGACAACCGCAAAGTTGCGAAAGTTTATTGAACATACAGTAATTCTTTGAAAAACAGTAATAGCTGATTGATGGAGTGAATCTTATAATCCCGATGTTCAGACAAAATTTGATGAACATCAAAACTGATATTCAAAAGTTCGATTATCATTTTATAGATAAATACCATGGAATGAATTTCGGCGATTTTTTGAATTGCATACGTTCAAAATAAGTGGAACGCTTTATCGTAGTTCCCTGGACTGAGCCATGTTTTCAATTAAATCATGCCAAAGCAATAAAGAGGATTTTCACAGATTCATACCTCTCTCTGATATCAGACGGCTGCTCACTCACGCTTTCAATGGGCATTTAAAGAGCTTCTCACGTGATAAGATGATAAGAATACTCATACAAGTGACGCCAGAGTCAATGAACGATTCATGAATGGAGCAAATCAAACAAGAAATCTTTCACAACCACGTGAAACTTTCACGTCTTCTCAGAGATGCTCAGCTTGACTTAATGTCGCACAGAGAGTTTTCCCTGGAATCTTCGACTGTGGTTTTCAGAGTTAAAAAAAATTCCACCAATGTTTTGATTAAAAGAAGATATATTCAAGTTTATCGCCATGAGGAAATCGACAAGTGAGTATGCTACTTTTCTTGGAAATCATTCTTGTGTTTGTGGCGTACTTTGATAAGAGCTAACTTTTTGTCTTCACACAGCTAAAGAAGATTCTCAGAATTATTGAGTAGTATATTTATTTGGCATTTGTGTTGATTTTTCACGGAAATGTGTGGAAAAATACACACGAAACATATTCAATCACACGTCAATTTAACAATCTTATCAAATTAGTGACTGCAAATTATGCATTTTGAGAAAGTGTGCGCCACGAGTGTTTGCGTACGAAACCAGTAATTATTTCCACGAAACTTCAAACATTATCAATCAATGTCTTCCCAACATTTCCCATGAAATCGGGGATTTCTGTTGAATTTTCACATATCGTTTTTTTTAGGAAAGTGATAAAGTAATCTGCTAATAAAATACACATTTTAAATCTGTCCTTTTTTTCCTCTGATTCCAAGAAAAGACTCTTATATCGTCAACAACACTCAACAAAATCATTAAACATTAAAAAATACAACAAGTCCTAAAAGAATGAACTGTTATCAGTGATGATATACAGATAAAACACTGAAAACAACTTCAAAATTCTCAGAAATCCGCTTCAAGTGATTAGGGTGAAAAGCCTGGATTCTGGGAAGAACCTGGACATTCCTGGATGCCGTCGATCCCAAAATAGACGGATTGTGAGCATTGAAAGATGCGCGACTCATGCGCAGCATCACAATCATGTTCACCGGCGGCGAACCTGTTGAAATCTCTGAAATTCTCAAAGGATGCCCAGCAATTCAAACTCACCTGGCGACTCTCGTGAGATTCCAATAAATCTTATCCATTTTTCTGCCTTCAATAGATAATACCTGCAAAGTCTCTTCACTTTTCACCCCTTTTTCCGCGGGTTATCGTTCAGAATCGCCAACACAGTCACTCATCGGATTCCCGGAAACAGTTCCTGGCTACACTGCGGGGGTCCTCAGATCGTCCGGGAAGCCCTCATTGGGGCCAGTGATGGGCCACAGCCATTCACACAGTGCATCGACTTAATTATTCACAAGAAATCCACGAAATACCGAGAAAAAGGAGGAGAGAGAGCGCAAAAAGAAGAAAGTCTGCGCAATACAAGTGTTTTTCTTCTCTGTGTTCAAATCGGAATTCCTGGAATTGAGGCAAGGCGACGTAGATTTTCCCAACTCACTTTTTACCCTCTTTAACGCACTATTCACAAACAATTTTCACTTTTTCAGCACTCCACCGTCTGCCGTCAGTTGTGTGGGTGGACACTATTGTTATTTTCGGGGGTTTTCTTCACATTCTGAGGTGATATTTACACGAAGAAAACTCTTCGCTTGTGGGAGACACCATTGCAATGACTTTTCTCGGAAATTGACGAATGTAGATGGCGCGCAGATGCGCTGTGAGGATTGTGAAGTTGGCACAAAATCATCAACGACCAAAATAACGAGAAAATGGGCGCGAGATGAGGAAAAATCGCGGGAAAAATGAGAAAATAAATGGTAAAAGTATATAAAACGCATTTATTACTATAAATTTGTACTTCCATGAATTATTTCACACATAGACATTACCTACAGAGCAAGAGGAAGCATTGATGAGAGCGTTATTCAAACTTGACTTACATTTCATAAATTCTCTAAATTTCTGTACGGAAATAACGTTATTTCTCTCTTTGTTACATTACTTAGACAGAGAGATCTTTGCAGAAACCTTACAAACTCTACCAGGATCAGTTTTTGCCGCCTCTTGTAGGAAAACATAAGAAAATGTAAGTTTGTCAAACACACCCAACGACTAGAAAACAAAACCGTTAATGTGGGGTTATGTTTACTTGTCAAGCAGCCCAACTCAAAACCGGGTCGACACGTAAACAAATATTCCCATTGCCTCAGGTCTGTGATAGCGATAAGGAAAACGAGTCAACTAATGTGACGGACGCAATATGATAATAAAGAGTAAGTGCAGATTAATCTATTGTTGGTGATTGGCGTCCAAATAATCGACACATGAGTAGGTGGAGGCAGTTGTGACACAGTGAATCTGGGAGTAACGAGGTTTCTGGGTGATTTCAGAGAACGAGAACACCCTCAAGTACGTGAGTCTCATCACACTCACCCTCCAGAATGCCGTTCTGGGACTCAGCATGCGCTACTCCAGGACACGGGCGGGAGACCTCTTCCTCAGCTCTACCGGTGAGTCCTTAACGTCCTTGGTAACTCTGATGGAAATCGTCCGTATAAATCTTGGTGCTCGTCTTGCTTCAGTTGTGTTCCATTGTGTTACAATGTGATAGATAAGATATGCTAAATCGACGGACATCCGTCGGTAAATGAGCGTTGTTGTCATTAAGCAAACTTTTCGTCTTATCGCAGCTGTCGTGATGTCTGAGGTCGTAAAACTGTTCACCTGCCTGGTGCTGGTGTTCCTGGAGGAGGGCAAAGAGTTCTCAAAGTTCCAGGCCGCCCTGCATCGGACCATCGTGAAGCAGCCCATTGACACGCTCAAAGTATGCGTGCCCTCGTTCGTGTACATCATCCAGAACAATCTGCTGTACGTGTCGGCGTCGCACCTGGACGCGGCCACTTATCAAGTGACTTACCAGCTAAAGATCCTCACGACTGCCATGTTCGCCGTGGCGATCCTGCGGAAGAAACTGCTGCCCACGCAGTGGTTCTCGCTGGTGTTCCTCATTGTTGGCGTTGTGATGGTGCAGCTGGCCCAAGGCGACGGCGGAGGATCGAGTGCAAGCGACGGGCCGGAGCAGAATCGCTTTATTGGCTTCTGCGCCGCCCTGGGCGCTTGTGTCCTGTCCGGCTTTGCTGGCATCTACTTCGAGAAGATCCTCAAGGGCTCCGACATCTCAGTGTGGATGCGAAATGTCCAGCTGAGCTTGCTGAGCCTGCCCTTCGGCCTGATCACGTGCTTCCTGAACGACGGGAAGCAAATCCTCAGCCAGGGCTTTTACTTCGGCTACGACATCTTCATCTGGTACTTAGTGGTTCTCCAGGCGGGCGGAGGACTCATCGTGGCCGTGGTTGTGAAGTACGCTGACAATATCCTCAAAGGATTCGCCACATCCTTGGCCATCATCATTTCCTGCATCGCATCGATTTACCTCTTTGATTTCCAACTCAATCTGCAATTCTCCGGCGGAGCGGCTCTTGTCATCTGCTCAATCTTCCTCTACGGCTACGATCCGAACAAGCAGCCCAAAATCATCACTGTGCGTCCGTCGTCTGATGAGAAATTACTCATCCCGAAAGTATAGCAGTAACTCTCAGATGCCGCGAAATCTCGTCGATTTAGACATGCTAGTATTTATTGTTAGACGATGGAAAAATCACTTCTCAAGACGCGCCCCGCAAAATATCCCGGAAAGTGAGAGTATTATTGTATAAAAGAACAAACTTACAGAATGTATGACATTTTAATAAATGAGATCCCAGGACATTCTATGCGTCTTGTGTGATAAACGGATTCTGGATGGACTCCATGCCCTCCTGTGGACAAATGAGGACCACTGAGGTTCCTCTGCACACCACCAAGCCCAGATTCCGGGTGTCTTCAGCCAGCTTGAAGGGCTCATCTGGATCTCTGAGGAATTCTGTCGTGTTGTCCAGCACGAGATTGAGGAGTGGATCGTAGCCTTTCAGCACACCCGCGGCCTCGCGTCCGCCGGCAAATTTCACCCGGATTGTCTTCTCCAAGTACTTACTGAGGTCCAAAATAGACTCCTTCCTGCGTTTCTCCTTCTCCTTGCCGTCGCCCCCTGACGAAGTGGGATTCTGCAAGAAATCCACATTTATCACATGAATTAGGTTTTACTCTATCTCCTTACGAGGAATATAGCTATTTTACCTTGTTTCTATCAGCCATTTAGGAAGAATTTCGCATTGGAAAAAGCGTAAACAAAGCGTTCACCGCACGTTTTCTTAGGTTATGTTGTGACATCACCGCCGCGGCGAACACGAGGTGGCGCTGCCATCGACCCGGATTGTCAGTCGATGTTTTGTTCCGGCGAGATCATACAACCCTCAGGGAAAATCTCTTTTATACGTATTTCCAGTGCACGTGAATAGTTACTTTAAAGCAAGAACCCCTCCTTTGATGAAGCTTCTCAAGCCAGATTGGGTGCATCACGATGGTGAGTGCATTTTGGGTTGGAAAACCACTGAAATGCCGATTAACCTCAACCCATTTTTCCGCCGCAGACAAGCCCATCTTTTCCCTCGATATTCACCCCGACGGCACGAAGTTCGCCACCGGGGGCCAAGGAAATGACTCTGGTCGAGTGGTTGTGTGGAATCTGGCCCCGGTCATTGATGAGAAGGCGGAGATGGACAAATCTGTGCCAAAGATCCTCTGTCAGATGGACAATCACCTGGCCTGCGTGAACTCGGTGCGCTGGAGTCTCAGCGGGCAGTGTCTGGCGTCCGGAGGCGATGACAAGACAGTGATGGTGTGGAAGAAGGCCAAGGGAACGGGCGGCGTGTTCGGCAGTGGGGGATTCACGAAGAGTGCTGAGAATTGGCGGTGTGTCACGACGCTTCGTGGCCACGCCGGCGATATTCTGGACATGGCATGGTCGCCGCAGGATCGGTGGCTCAGCAGTTGCAGTGTGGACAACACGATCATCATCTGGGACGTGTTCGCCGTGCCGTCAATTGTGGCCATTCTCAAGGGACACACTGGCCTGGTGAAGGGAGTGGCCTGGGATCCCGTGGGCAAGTTCATCGCCTCCCAGAGTGATGACAGGAGCATCAAGATCTGGAAGACGGCGGACTGGACGTGCCAAACGACCATCACAGAGCCCTTTCAGGAGTGCGGAGGCACGACGCACATCCTGCGGCTCTCCTGGTCACCGGATGGCCAGTACCTCGTGTCGGCGCACGCCATGAATGGCGGGGGCCCCACGGCGCAGATCATCGAGCGCGAGGGCTGGAAGTGCGACAAGGACTTCGTGGGGCACCGGAAAGCGGTGACTTGCGTGCGCTTTCACAACTCAATCATGATGCGTACGGCGCCCAAGACCAACAAAACTCAGCAGTATTGCTGCTTGGCTGTGGGCTCACGAGATCACGCGCTGTCGGTGTGGATGACAGCGCTGCAGAGGCCTCTGCTCGTGATCCACGACCTCTTCCAAGACAGCATCCTCGATCTGTCGTGGAGCGCAGATGGATATGTGTTGATGGCGTGCAGTGGAGATGGCACGGTGGCGTGTCTGCAGTTCAGCGACAGTGAGCTGGGCACTCCGCTGTCGGAGGAGGACAAGAATTCTCTGTACCAGCGAATGTATGGCAAGAGTGCGAGTGACATGAATGCTCAGTCGGAGAAGGACATGATTGTGGAGAATGCCGAACTCCTTGATGCCATCGTGCGGGAGAAGCCGAAACAGCCCGCCTTTATTGCCACTCTGGAAGGGGCGCAGAATCTGAGCAGTGTTCCCAACCAGCAGAACAACGTGTCCAACAGCCAGCCGGAGAAGCAAGAGCAGAACGTAAACTTCTCTGGCGTGTCCACGCAATCGAAGCAGGCGATCCACAAGCAAATCGAAACGAGGACGGCTGATGGCAAGAGACGCATCACACCCATGTTCATCCCAATGAGTCAGGAGGCCAATGATACTCCGGTAGAGCTCAACAGCAGCTCGCGTAGCACGAGTTCAATTGTGATCGAGAAGGTGGCGGACAAGCCGGAGGCATTGTCGGAGGGCCAGAAGGTTGAGCAACTCGATTCGCGTCTCACGAAGAGTATTGTGCCGCCAGCAAAGACTGCCTCTCTAGACATGCCGCGTGGCGAGCCGCTTCCTGTGCAGATCACCGCCAAACCCGAGGTCACGAACATTCCGCGAACCCTCACAGCCGGTCGCCCGGAGGTGATTTCGGGGAATTTCGTGCGCACAGTGAGTGATTTGCGAATACAAGTGGCCAACGCGGGTGTGAAATCACCCTTTGGCATGCTTTCGCGCGTCTTCTGCTGCCCAATTGCCACGCCCACGAAAACTGCCTGGGAGATCTTCCTGGGCAGTTCCGTGGTGAATTGCAGCGCCTGCACGAAGTGCGTGATTGTGTGTTGTTCAGACGGAACTGTGCGCTTCATTAATGCGCGGACTGGAATCCTAACACTGCCCATCATCAATATGCCGACAGCAATTGTCCAGAGTGCATTTGTGAGTAGCCTTCACTCTATTTCCCTTCACTTTCTTAATCCTCTTCTATTGCAGAACTTCTCGGGAGAACTCGGGGGAGTCGTGTCGGAGTGCGGACTGGTGCGCGTGTGGAATATAGAGGAGCAGAAGGTGATTGTGTCCACGAGCTGCACAGATCTCCTGCGCGGCGGGAGTGTGAAGATGCTGAACGTGACAGAGAAGGGAACGCCGTTTGTGCTGATGTCGAATGGATGTGCCTTCACATTCTCAAAGGATCTGGAGAGTTGGCTGGTGTTGAACTCCAAGGACACTCTCAATCAGCGCAACTTGATCAAGTACAAACCGCCCGCGAACGCTGTGCAGAAGAACTTCCGCACATATCCCATCATGGCTGTCCAAGGGGCGGCTCACTCACTCCTGCCGGCGTCCAATAACTTCGTGAACGTCACGGCGGCGACGTGGGAGAACGTGAGCCAGCTAACGTTCATTGAGAATCAGATTCAACTGTGCGAGAGCATCCAATCGCCGGCGGAGCTCAAGTACTGGTACTCCGCATTGGGATTCCATCTGGCCAACTATGGCACTGAGCAAAGACTGAGACTGACACTCGATGATCTCCTAGGATCTGCACATTCCACCAATGCTGATATTTTGGTGAGTGAAGCTGCTACAAGTTTGGAGGCATTTTACTAATTTCACTGTGGCTTTTCCAGGGCATCAGCAAGCTGACACTCTTGGACTTGATCCTGGAGAGTCTGAAATTGCAGACAAAGTGGCAGCGCATTTATATGGAGTACACAGAGCAACTCAGTGATTTGCGACGCAACCCTCAACCCATGTAAATTCTAATTTATAAAGGCATAATTTTACAGCAATCATAAAGAAAAGTCATCAAATCACTGGTGAGTTATTTATTATCGCAAAAAAGGAGGATTAATACAAAGTGTGAGACAAATGGATAAGAATTGGACACTCTTAAGCGAAGTGGAGTGTGTGAAGATCAGTTTAGCAGAAGCCACGATCGGGCACGCGCCTTCGGGGCGCGCACTTGATGATGTTGTCCACTCTGAGGATCATCTCGGCCGCCTCAGCCGCCGACATGAGCACTTGGCGCTTCACCACGTACGATTCAGTGATGCCAAGCTCCTTCATGCACCCGATCTTTCCTCGCTCCATGTCCAGACCCGTCGTGTGGCTCTGCTGGGCGTGAGCGGCGCGCAGCTCGCTCACCAGTTGGGCGGAATCGTAGCCAGCGTTGTCGGCGATGATCGTGGGCAACTGCAGAAGGGCCTTCGCGAAGGCCTCCATGGCGATCGCCTCTTTTCCCGGCGTGGCGGCCGCTTTGGCTTGCACGGCGCCCGCCATGAGGGCCTCGCTGCAGCCTCCGCCGTAGACTGTCTTGGACTCGCGCACCGTGGCGGCCAAGACGCAGAGGGCGTCGTGCAGGGAGCGATCGGCCTCGTCGATGATCTGCTGCGTGGCGCCACGGATGACAATGGAGCACGCCTCGCCCAGCTTCACGCCGCTGAAGCGCAGCAGCGTGTCTTCTCCGATCATCACCTGCTCGATCACCTTGCAGTGGCCGAACTTCACGAGCTCGGGGTGATCGAATGTGGACACAATCTCACCGCCCGTGACCAGAGCGAGTCGCTCAATCCCATCAAAGTCCGCGTGCTCGATCGCCATGACGCCGGCGTCGGCGAACAACTGCTCTGGGTAGTTGTAGATCAACTGACGGTTGATGAAGACATTGCAGTTGTGGGCGAGGATCTTGTTCACCTTGTCCTTCATCTTCTCCTTCTCGGCCGCCTCCAGATCGGCAATCTTTGCCATTGAGTCCACTTTCACCTGCGATCCGAACACCTTGATCTTGTCCGTGTCCATGGGAGTGTTGGCGATCAGAATTGTGGCGTTCTCCACGCGCTTCGGCTGGTGCACGCCAGGCTTCTTGTCCAGCAAGAAGCCCTCCTCCAGGAAACTGTCCTCCAGTGTGCCGCCCTGCTTCTTGATAATCTGGATGGCATTCAACTCTCCAGACCCGCGAAGACGCAGCACCGCGTCCACAGCCAGCTTGGCGAAGTGCTCCTTGTGCTGCGACAGGATCTTTGAGCTCAGCGTCGTCCTGGCGATGTTCATGAGATCCTCGCGGAACTTCTCCGCATCAGCAGAGTTGTCCTGCGCCACGGACGTCAGGGCCTCACGGGCCACATCCACAGCTTGCCTCCAGCCGGCTATGATGGTCTGCGGATGCAGTTTGCACTCCACCATCTTCTCGGCCTCGCGCAGCAACTCCGCTGCCAAAACAGTCACGGATGTCGTGCCATCGCCCACCTCGTCGTCCTGCACCTTCGACATGTCCACCAGGATCTTCGCCGCAGGATTGTCCACTCCGACAGACTTGAGGATTGTGGCGCCATCGTTGGTCACCACCACTTCTCCCGCGTTGCGTCCGTGCGACACCAAGATCTTGTCCATTCCCTTGGGGCCCAGCGTACTCTTCACCAGATCCCCGATAGCGATGGCTCCCACGAAGGACGACAACCTGGCGATCTCTCCCTTCTCCTCCTGGGCGTCATTCCGCAGGATGCGAACCGGATTCAGAGCCACTTCCTGGAAACACAATGAAACCGCTTTAGCCGGGAACGAACGTTCTGGAAGACTCACGTGAACAAATTTTCAAACGCCTCTACGGCGGAATTTCCTCACTTAAACCCAAAACCAATATGCATTTATGTTTATTTCCACCTCAAAGATCTTCTGAAAATCATTTTCAGCCCCAGACTCACCATATTTTAGGCGATATTTGATGTTATATTTCCAAATGCACAACACGCGTTTCTGCTCGGAAAATTGAGTGACAGCGAATTGACATCTGCGAGTGGAGTGAAGTTATCGTCGGAGCAATTCAAATCTGGCGGATTTATTTTCAAGGGGAAAATATGCTAAAAGAGCGTTTCTCAAAAAATTATTACACAGCGCTATAGCATCTTAAGCGGACAGTCCGAGAAATGTAAACTCCGTTTGATTTTCAAGGGGAAAATATATACTGGGAATGCATACATTGCAACCAATCTGTATTTTAGTTACATTCATAGAAAGGTATAATTTTTCATTCAGGAATTGAGAGTTTTCTAACAAAAATACTTAAATGCCATTCTTCGAGCCCAAAAGTGCATGAAAGACTGTCAAATCCTGTATTTTAAGTCTAAACATTATTTAAAACTCCTAAAAATGTGTTTGAAATATTATATAGGTATTTTTCTGTTCTTGTAAATATCTTGTAGACCGACATGAATTTGTTAAGTTTCTTCTTAATAACAATTATAATCTATTTCAGACGAGAGGGAAAGTAACACGATGGACTTTCTGTTAATTTCTCTTAATTTTTTTGGAATGATATACAATTTTTCTTCCTTCAAATTACTTTGTCGATAATGCAATAACAATTAATAAAGTTTATTTAGAGAACGACAATATGATTTTAAATATATGCTTTTCATATTCTTCTCTCTACATTTTATATTATCTACTTCAAACGGCAATTATGCTAGTAAATCTGCATTATATTTTCTGTTAAGGTAATTACTTTTCAAATGGCACCATTTATGACTGTTTTTGTGCAAATGGGTAAAAGAGCCTTTTTTTTCCTTGGAAGATCCTCTAACATTAGACTTCCTTGTGAGTCACATGCGAGCTATTGCATATTCGCTATATAGAGGAGATAGAGAGGTCAAAAGTGTACGTGATTTAGAGATCTTAACTCAATTGGCACGACAGAGAATCTGTGATCATGCAGAACATCTGTAATACTACTCCACATCAAACTCTCATTCTTAAGCCTTAAATATTTGTGGGAATTCATTGGCAATTTCACGGACTAGCTGTTGATCTTTGAGGCTCGATTCGGCCTCCTCACAGAAGATGCGCGTGAAGATCTTCATCAGATCCTGCTTGCGATGCGTGTGATCCGGATAATCGGTGTTCCTCAGGATTCTGCGACACAACTCCAAATACCATCGTCTCAACTGCAAAAACCACAATCTCGTTATTCCGCTGAATATCCCTTTTGTCACTGGCATAAGTACTCACAGGATCCTCCGGACTCAAGTCCGACAGCTGCCGCACGAGAATATCGATCAGCACTTTGTTGTCATTCGAGTAGAACAGCGACGCCGTCTCTGGAGCACCAAACAGATCGACAATCATCTTCAGGACTGAATTGACGAAAGGCGTTGTGTGCTTCAGCATCCTCACGGGATCAGTTTCCCTGTTGATCAGCATCAGGAGCTTCTCCGTGAACGTCTTGGCCGATCGCATCTCGCGAAATGCATCGAGGACAACACTGTTGGCAAAGTGGTCGAATTGCAGATTGAAGGACAACACAAGGTTGATCATGACATCCGGCAGGATTTCATTTATGTCCGTCGCCGGCGGGCACTCAATGATGTTGAGCACAAACAGAAGAAAGTCCTTCCCGAAGTGCTCCTCGTGCGTCACTGGCATCTTCAGGCCGATGGAAAAGATCATTGTCATCATCATCGCCAATTCCTTGAGGCGCTCCACATTCGAGGAATTGGAAGTCATGTCCTGAATCAGCTCCGTCGGCAGCACAGATCCCAGCAGGACGTCAACGGCTGTGTAGTCGAGCTGGCAGATGGCTTTGAAAGCGTCCAGCAAGAGTCTCCTGATCGTCCATCTGGTCTCCATTTGGTAGTATTGGACTAAGTTTATAATGCTTTGGTAGTGATCACACGACATCTCGTAGCAGCAAATCTTGGGGTCGGCATTTTTCTGAAAACACAGCACAACAGTTGATTTGGATTTAACACTAAAAGTGCATCCAGAAGGAATTTCTAAAAGGCATTTCTCACTCACCAGAATGCCATTGAGGACAGTCAAGTACTGGATGATCTCGTCTTCGTCCTCGAACAGCATCCAACTCCTCTGTTCCGAGTCATTCTTGCAGTCCGCCAAGTCAGCGAAGATCGCGCGGAGTCGCCTGGAATCGTGTGTGTCGCCCAGAAGATTGTCCGGCGCCACGAGAGGTTCGGAGTTCAGATGAGACGCAACTGTCTCCAATTGGGGCGCTATGTGGGGCAGCAAAGTGCCCACTTCCGTCAGAACCGTGCGCAGGGCGATGCACGAGTCAGTGTGACTGAGATTAGTGTTGAGTCGAATGGAGTCAACAATCAGGTAGACATCGTCCGAGGTGATCCTGTTAACTTCGCTGAAGCCTCTCTTGTCCACATCCACATCGTCCAGGTGGTTCTGTGCGTCCTCCGGGCCGCCGTTGTGCGTCGGCACCGTAGCGTTGCGATTGTTGAACGCACTAGGCGGACTCACGATCTTCTGCGAGTTCTCCTCGCCCTTGGAAATGGTCGTGATCTCACTGTCACTCGTCGTTGTATGGGTGGTTTCAGAGGGCTCCGAGATGCTCACATCGTCTAGCTTGGCCGCGAGGACGCCCAAGCTGGGACTCTCCTGGATTGGCTGCGGCGGTGGCTGAACACCCACCGCCGGACTCGAGAGGCTCTTCTTCGTGATGGCACTCTTTGCGTCGTGTCTCTCCACTTTCTGCATCATCACGCTGCTGTGTGTGGATTCTCCCGGAAGGTGATTATTCACTTCCGGACTCTTCTTGAGCGCCAGAAATGCTCGCTTCTTCCTCTCCTCCAGCCGCTGGATCAGCTCCATGCGATTTATGATGCCATTCACCTCCTCGTCCGTGGACAATTTCAGGGATTCGATGCTGGAATCGAGGAAGCCCACCAAGAACTCCGGCTCCACCTGAAAGAGTGACGCAAATTCGGCGATATAGGTGAAGGTCACATTAAAAATTCCGTCCCACCCCCATTTTTCCATTGCAGCGACCTCGACACTTCCAATCAGTCCACAAGGGCACAGCGGAGGCTCAGCCGGTCCACGAGTGCATTTACCTTGAGTTTCATTACATAATTCGATGGCACAAATCCAATGTTTCCCTTCATGCTCACGACTTGCCACCAGTTCCTCTGCCTGGCGCTCGTCTGATGGAGGATAAAGTACTCGCCCTCGTCGAAGCTGATGGTCTTGGGATAGATGGCCTGGAAGTCGTACAGCGCCTTCAGCATCTCATTTTCTGCCACGAGGAAGAGAAGAGGTCCCGGAAGAGGAGTGTTAGAAACACGGAAATCCGCCCTTCTTCGCAGAAAACTCACCACTGAAGGACGTTCCTTGGGAATCCATCCTCGCTGATTGCTTCTGCACACAATTCACAATCCCCAAATCTCTCTTCACACTATCAACAACTCCACAGGGTCTCACAGGCTCATTCTATGGTGAAATTGTACGTGTTTGTTTTGCTTGTCCCCTTTCTTTGCTCTCGCTTTCATTCGACTTCGCGAGTCCACCCAAATTTTGCACTATTTTTCCTCCTCTGACACTTCTGGGGTTGCCCGATGAAGATGTATTTGCGCAAGAGTTCTCAAAATAATTTATTATCACGCTCTACACAAGATATAATCTACTTCTGAGATTGCCCAAACTACTATTTCTACATACTAAAGGACTCGCCGCATCCGCAGGTGCCCTTGATGTTGGGATTATTGAAAACGAACTCCGCCGAGAGCTTGTTCTCCACGAAATCCATCTCAGTTCCTGTGAAAGGTAAATCATCAGTGATTTGCTCGAAATTCCTCACATTTCCTACAAACCAAGGAGTGACAACTGCGCCTTCTTGTCTATAATCACCCGGACACCGTCTTGCACTACCTCCTCGTCCAATTTATCCTTTGCTTTAGCATAATCCAGCGTGTAGGAAAGTCCATTGCATCCTCTCTGCTTCACGCCGACCTTCAGTCCAACCTGCAATCAGTTCGCGGATTTACCAGCAAATTCCCTCTTTAACACCTTCCTCGACTTACGTATTCACTCTTCCCTTCCAGGAGCCTCTTGATCCTGTTGACAGCAGCAGGAGTCTGCAAGCAGAGAGTCAAAATAAAACAAAATCGCCACAAACAGCGTGAGAAAAGTACTCACCAAAACCAGAGCTGCCCTGGTTGGAGTCAATTTGCGATTGATGGCACGGACTGTAGCCGTGGCTACAACTTTTGTGGACATCTCGATAGCTTCTGCCCACCTACAAGACACTAAATTTGCAGGTAAAAATTGCACACTGACTTTTCATTCCGTCGCAATTTGTTTTGCCGAATGTCCAAAAAGTTGCACAAAAAGCACTTGACAGCTGACTCACACTGTTAGAAACAGTGTGTGAGAAAGTGTTCCCAAACGGTTGGAGAAAAATTTAAAATCTTAAAAGAACTCTTATGTTTAAAAGTTTTTCCACTTTACTTTCAGGAAACGCAAGATTTAATCATGCTTGAAATTGCAAATTGCAAAACCATTCTTAACTGCACTGCAGATTCTACGGATTACTCAAACATCACATCTCTGGCCAAATTTCATCATAACGATATCAGCTATAATGAATTCTTCAGTGATTACATGCTGAAGAATATTCCAGTAATCATAGGCTCTGCATCTGATGGCTGGAATTGCAACAAGTGGACGAAGAGTGACTCGATGAAAATAAATTTTCATCAATTAAGGGAAGAAATACCGAACATTTCAGTTCCTGTTGCAAATTGCTCAAAGCAATACTTCAATTCTCACGAAAAGGTGGACATGGAGTTCCATGACTTCCTCAATTACTGGGAAAATGAGCAAAAAGAGAGTCTCTTGTATCTTAAAGATTGGCATTTGCGGAAAGAAAGGCCTCAATATGATTTTTACACCACGCCCAAGTTCTTTGCTTCGGACTGGCTGAACGAAGTGCTCTGTGACGAAGGGAAGGATGACTACAAATTTGTCTACATGGGACCGAAGGGCACATGGACATCCTTCCACTGTGATGTGTTCTCATCCTTCAGCTGGTCAACTAACATTGTCGGCCAGAAACAGTGGATATTTCTGCCGCCCGGAGAAGAAGAGAAGCTAAAGGATAAGCTGGGAAATCTTCCCTTTACTATTTCAACAGACAAACTTGAGGAAAATGGAGTAAAACACTTCGTGGTGAGGCAAAATCCAGGAGAGGCGATCTTCGTCCCAACTGGATGGTTCCATCAAGTGCTCAATCTCGAAGATACAATTTCTGTCAATCACAACTGGTTCAATGGTACGCAAATTGATTCAATTTGGGAAGCTCTCGAAAGCAATCTGAAGCTGGTTGAGAAGGAGATTGAGGATTGCAGAGATATGGAGAATTTCGATGAGCATTGTCAAGTTCTGTTGAAAGCCAGCTATGGAATGAATATTCAGGACTTTGTTGGTCTGCTTGGGAAGATTGCGCAGAAATCTCTTGACAAGAGTCGCTGTTTCGATGAATTTACATTCGGTGATAATCATTTGGCTTTCGACTTGGACAGGATCAATCACATTCTAACGAGAATGATGAAGAGTAACTTGCTGAAGGAAGAGAATACTAAAGAAACTATTAAAACTATTAAGGAAGACATTGAAATGCAGAGTAGATAAAATATATATTTCCCATCACAAGTTTTTATAAAAGGTTTTCCTTCACAATTTTCCCTTTTTCGTCGTCAAAACAACACCATTTTCCACTAAAAGCTTCATCTTTTCGACATCATAATCGATTTCGCCCAAGATTTCCTGAATGTTCTGCCATTCATCCTTCGAATCACTAAGTACACTAGATAATCCTGGTGTATCGGAAAGTTTAGGCGCAGGATTTGGCACAATAACTTCCTCGGTGTCGTTTTTATTCACAAAAGCTCCCCTGACTTTGTTATGTGCATGATCTGGCGCTTCGGTCCAGTGCAAAACTGGAAATACACATGAATCAGTCTTTTCAAACATCTCACTCCATTCCTTCTGAGTTCTGCCTCTGAAAGTCTCCTCAAGAATCTTCCTTCCCTTCTCGTTATCGTCAAACTGCGTCAACTTTCCCTCCAATCCCAGCGTCTTCACCATTGTCTCGAAGAACTGATGCTCCAGACATCCCACGGACATGAACTTTCCATCCTTCGTCTCATACGTGTCGTAGAAGAAGGCTCCTGTGTCCAGCATGTTCTCGCCACGATCCTTTCCCCAGATCGGCAATGTCTGTGATCGCGTGAGGAAGCTGGCGACATAGGCAGCTCCCTCGACCATTGACGTGTCCACAATTTGGCCTCTTCCTGTGTTTTGCCTCGCTAGAAGCGCCGCCAAGATCCCAAATGCGCACAAAAGTCCTCCGCCAGCAAAGTCAGCCAAGAGATTTATTGGAGCCGTTGGTTTCTCGCTCTTCCGGCCCAGGAAGGAGAGAACTCCCGACATGGCCACATAGTTGATGTCATGCCCAGCTCGTTGTGCCAACGGACCACTTTGGCCAAATCCCGTGAGTCGAGCGTAGATTAATCTCGGATTGTCTTTCATTAAAATATCCGGTCCAAGTCCGAGTTTCTCCATGATTCCCGGCCGATATGGCTCAATAAGAACATCTGATTTCTTGCACAGATCCCTGACAATATTCCTCCCTTCCTGGTGCTTGAGGTTCAGGGCAATGTTGCGCTTCCCATTCTTCAGTGTGTCCAAGGAATTTTGCGGTGTCTGACGAAGAATCAAACGATAAATCATCTCATCATAGGAGAACAATATGTGTGATCATACCTTATCAATTCGTGTAATCGTTGCCCCAAAATCCGATAAGATCATGCCACAGAAGGGCGCTGGAGCCAATCCCACAAATTCAAGCACTTTCACACCCTTGAGAGCCATTTTTCACACTATACAAATTGAGTGAATGAATGATAGCTCAAAAGAACCTCTTTTGAATGGTAAATTGAGGTGAAAGGTCAACAAATCATTTATTCTCTTTAAGCCACTCAAACGCGTATTTATTCAATTTGTCATATCTTCACAACTATGATAAACGACTCTTCTCGCTCTGATATCTTCCCCTTGTTCAAACTCTTATCGCAAAATATTTTCCTACAACTATTTCGTATGATATTATTTTTTCAAAATATTGCTCGCGATGTGACAGAACAAAATGCGATAATTACACACTACACGATTGCCAACTGTGTAAACAATTTAGCGGAAAAACACTGAATTTAGCGTTTGGGTAATTTCTTACGAGAACCATGATTCCTCAATTCTTCAGATTAGATAAAAAGTTATCAATATAAACGCTTTGTCTGGCCAAATGTGGCATCTATTGTGTCACGTGGAAGCAAGTTCTGGACAAAAACATTCGCGTTTTTGAATTCCAGGCATGCCAACCCCGAGAGCGCCCCAAATGTTCGCCTTCCCTGGAAAATCTACTGTCAAATTGTGCCTCAAGTGTGTTTTCATTTGCACGGGATTTGTTTGGAAACATCATCGCTAACCAGGCGAATAAACTATCGGCAGAATGCCCGGTGTTTTTGAGAGCACGGAGAAGCCGAAGAGCGAGTGCGATAGGGATGACAATGCCGCGATATCGGAGAACTCCAGCACAAACACGGTGAATGGCGAGGAGGTGGAGACTCGCGAGCGGACGCAGACCGACGTGCTAAACAATCATCTGCTCAAGTCCCTGCTCCAGCGAATGAACTGTGGCGAGATGGATGAGCACTTGGATGGCCAGGAGAGGCGCGATCAGGAGGAGGAATTCGTGTGAAATGATACATGTACAGAGAGAGAGAGAGAGTGCGATTTGGGAATAAACCAGCAATCACATGCTTGGCTTTGGTGGCTCATATTAGCTCCACGGCTCGTTATCTGGTGGATTTATTTCTGTCACGGAGAAATTTGCTTTTTATCGATAAGACGACAACAGAGTGCAGATAAAAAGTTATCATTACACTGGGCGAACGTCTTCAGTTTCGTTGTCGCGACAGTCTTCTTCTCGCCAGTGACAAAGTGAGGTGACTCGGTGTAAAAATCCAGTTCAAGAAGCAATTTGTTAACAACTACGCTAAGTATATTATGGTCAATTGGAGTAAATTCATGCCTAATCGAATCAATTTGTAGGATTGAGACATTCGTCTTTCCTGCCACTTCGCTGACAGCATCAGTATTCACGCAATGGAATTGCTGGAGATTAGTTCAGCGGACAAGCGCCAAGAGCCGAGCGGCGAGGCGATTGGCGAGAGTGAGATTCTAAAGCCAGGTACGAAAATCAAACCCACAATCAGTGAGAAGGAGGTTGAGAAACTCGCCGAGAGATTATACGGGATCACTGTGCTGGAGATAAGCGAGCTCATTTCTTACGATGATCGCAATTTCTTCATCAACGAAGACAGGTGAAGATTTCAGATAGCGCGGCAAACAAGGGTATGATCTCAGTTGCCCCGTTGCAGGAACATCAAGAACCCCATCATCGCCAATCACTCCAATCATGGGTACATCCTCAAAGTCCTCAACGCTCTGGACTCCCACAAGCCAGGCTTCATCGATGCTCAAACCAAGATGATGCTCTTCCTGGCGCAGCAGAACATCACATGCCCAAAGCCAATCATGAACGTTTACGGCAAATACTACTCAACAGAGCTTCTTGGCTCCACAAAGCACATTGTACGACTCCTGGAGTACATCCCGGGGAAGATCTTCAAGGACGTCACTCCGACCAACAATCTCTTCTACCAAGCGGGCGTCTTCGTGGCCAAATTCGATCGTGCCATCAAGAACTTCACTCACGACGCCTACAAGACCCACAAGTCGCTCTGGATGTTGGAAAACGTGTCGAAACTGGAGGAATTTGCCTATGCCCTCAAAGACATTTCCAAGCAAGAGATTGTCGAAGAAGTGATTGCAGAGTTCAAGAAGACGGTCATGGCAAACTTCGACAAGTTTGAGAAGGGAGTCATTCACGGAGACTTCAATGAGCACAACTTTCTGGTCAACCACTGCTCGTCGACGGAGAATAAGGAGTACGCGGTGAGTGGAATTCTCGACTTTGGGGACTCTTGCTACACCCTCTATGTCTTTGAGTTGGCAATCGCGATGGCATACATGATGCTGCAAACGGGAAAGCTAGAGACCGGAGGATTCTTCTTGGCCGGCTATGAATCCGTCAGGCTTGTTCCTCAGCACGAATTCAATGTTTTGCGGGTAAGACGATTGTTATCTAGGAAATTCACTCTATACTCAAGGATGTACCCCTTTTAAGGTGTGTGTGGCCGCTCGCCTGTGCCAGAGTCTCGTTCTGGGCATATATACTCACACTCTGGATCCGGAAAATGAATATATTCTCACGTCGCAGAAAAATGGCTGGGAACTCTTGCAATTGCTGTGGTCTGAAAAGACCGCCGACGAGTTGTGGCGCAACACGGCTGACGAATACCTCAAGCAGAGCTACAAATAGTACACAAACAGCTCCACTTGAATACATTCAGTGCCTTTTAGTATATAGAAAGAAACTGTGCGAGAGTAATAAAAAAGTGACGAAAATTGAGGGAGGGAAAAACTTTGTTTGCACATAACCGCACTTTTTGAGCAGATGGCACTGCGCGCGGGAAGGAGTCTTATAGTGTTGCCGCATCCAAGGGTGAATGTAAACAAAAACACGCGATGGATTGCAAAATCATTGAATTGCGGGCGGACAGGAATTTGCTGAGGAGTAATTTCGATGGATACAAACTATCGCTAGAGCCTGTTGCAATTGTGAAGGAGAAACTCCAGGCCACTCCAGATCGAGTACACCAGAGCGATGCTCAGTACAGTTTCCTTCATGCGGAGCTGTTCAGTCTGCAGAATCACTTGATCCACGATCCCTGGACCAGCGACACCAGTTACTACATTGACACGACGTGGATGGTGAGGAGGGTGCAGTACGGTCTGCAAGAGGGGCGCTTCAAGCCGATTGGGAGTGTTTTCCGGGTGCGAAAGAGTGCAGAGAGACTCGCTGGACACTTCAACTTGACAATCGTGTTTATCTCTGAGAAGTTTGCGGTGATTGGAGATGGAGTGGCTTGGATTGAGATTGTGGACACGGGAGACAGGACAAGAGCACAGGAGTGGAAGCAATTGGCTCACGTGAGGGCAATTCCGGACGAGAAGGCTGGCTTTGTGCTGCGAGATGCACGCCTGGAGATTCAAGAGGAGTGCCGAAAGATTCACTGCCTCCTGATGCGGATTGAGCAGACGGATGGTGTATTCGAGAGTGTTCTCGAATGGATTGCCATTGACTTGAGTGAGAAGAAAGTCAGCACTCACCGGGAATTGCGGTCAAGATCGTCAATCTTTTACTCAGTCCTCACGTCAAACTCTTCCGGAGTGATTGTGGCTGCAGGAAAGGCTGTAAAGTTCACTTATGACTCCGAGAATCCCATTGTTGATGACATCCCGAATGTCCAGGAGGAAGACTACACTTGGAAGCAAACGGATGAAGATATAGTGATTACATTCCGCGAGAGAGAAGAAGCAGAGAAGTCAGATTATCAGGTGAAGTTCATTGGGAAAGAAATCTCTGTGCAGTTCAAGGAGGACATTGTTCTGAAGGGAGAACTTTTCGCGGAAATCGACAAGGATTTGACCACGTGGAATTTGCATAACAAATCCTTCCAAGTCACTCTGGTGAAAAGTGTTGAGGGCGAAAACTGGCCTCATCTGCTTCCCGGAGAGAGATTGGAAGAGGAGAGCCAACCGAATGAGTCAGAAATCTTCTCGCTGGACAATAAAATTGAGGACTGTGATCGTGGCGATGATGATGCTGATCACTTCTTGGCCAGATTTGACGGTGGAACTCACAGAATGACTCACAAAGCCAATCTAGGGAGTTGTTCACCACTTTTCGCATTGCCATCTCTGCGACCAGGACAACCAGCTGCAATTGCCCTGCGTCACGACGTCGATTGCTGCCTTTGGCTACCACTTCAAACGCCTGGCGAGTGGATCCTCCGGCACGAAGGCACTCTGGACGCCTTTGCTTATGTGCTAGCATCGAAGCAACAACGGAAGTACGTCTCCTGTGCCCCGGATCTGTCCTACGCAGTGATCTGCGAGCCTGAGCGGCATGTCTTCATCTACAAGGCGAAGTACGACACTGCAACTGGCCTGAGGAAGCGCTCAGGGCCCCAAGTGACTCTGGGGCAGCAGAAGGTGGTATCACTGGAGAACGCAGGCGGGCAGGTGATAGGGATGACTGTGCTCAATGAAGTGACACTGTTACTCACTGAAGAATCTATTCTCAGTCTGCAAGTCAACATTGAACAGTGAAATACACAACTAATCCGTGTCGGAGTCTTCAAGGAGTCTCTGTTTTATCATTTCAACATCCCGGCGGAGTTTCTCATCCGCTGGGTTAAGCTTCAGGGCGGCCTGGAGTTCATCCAGACCTTGTCTCATGAGTCCCAGTTTGCAGAGAGCGGCTCCTCTGCGCGCCAAACACTGAATTCGCGCAGAGAGATTCGCTTCGACGGCTGGTGTTAGCAATTCATAAGCCCTGGAACAGTCCTCGATGCATCTCTGCAGATTTCCCATTGCCATTTGGCAAGCTGAGCGGTTCAAGAAGAGATCATAGCACTCAGGAGTGAGTTGAATGGCTGTCGAATAGGCCGAAATGGCTCCCAAGTAGTTCTTCTTCCCGAAGAAGTCTGCTGCCTTCTCTTTTAGCCATTCTGGATTTCTCTCTTCCGGCTTGAGATCTTCCTCGATAAATCCTACAATGGAAAATTATGAGATTTTGTTACAAAAGCTCAAATTCATTATTCAGCAAATGATCTTACCGACGACTTTCCTGGCTTCGTATTGCTTCTTAATCCATTCCTGCTCTAAATGATCTTGAGATTCACGCTTCGGCGTGGGAAAACGTCTATCTGTGAATTCAACGGTAATGTTTCCCTGCTTTCGCACTTCCGGAATGCAAATCGCACGGGTTTTCTTCGGTTTCTCAATCCTCAATTCCTCAATTTTCGCACTTTCTTTCTGGCAAATGCTTCTGTTAAACTTTTCAATTTCTTTCTGTCTCTCTGCGTCTCTTGAGATCTCCTTTTCCATGTCCTTTTGACGTGCATTTGCCTTCTGCTGAACCTTTTCTTTCACATCCTCTTCATGTTGCATGTGCAAGTCCGTTACAAAGTCCCTCTTCATTTGAATTTTCTCTGCCTTTTCTGCGATTTTCTCGAATGTTTCCCAATCTTGGCTCTCTAGCTTCTTTAGTGTGAATCTCACCTCATTCTCCAGGATGCGACACTTGCTCTTAACAGTATCAATTGGGTTGGATAGGAAAATTTCACAAAATAAGGGAGGATGATGGAGTTTGAGAAACTCCCTGTGCGTGAGAATATCCAACTTCTTGTGCTCCAATTTACCACTGAAGATGACTCGAAGATGCACCTCTTCTGCTGTTTGACTCCACACGGTGTCTTGTAGTGTGATCACCATTATTGGGTGAATATTTTGCAAGATATTTTGTTGGAAAATCGAATTAGAATAAACAAAATTTTCCATTTGAATTCGGCTTGCCTGATGGGCGATGGCAGCGCTACCGGTGCAAAAGCGTACTTGCAATCGGTTGAAATTTCACATAATTTTGCAAATGGCCGCTTGCCTCTTGTAATCTTGGGCGACGTGGTGATAATTTTCTGTTTTTCACGGTGATCAAGTGTGTGTTTCAGGGAAAATTAAGTGAAAAACAATAGCGCAAAGTGTGTACTATCTGCTGTAGTGAAGAACCGACCAGTTGCTGGTGCAATTTTGGTGAAAAATGGCAAAACTTGTGTATGTGTATCGCTCGGAGGAGGAGAGTGTCAAAAATATTGGGCGACGACAGCTCCCGCTTGTCGTTGGGGACAATTTAATGGTAAATACCGTGCGATGGCACACTCAATTTCATGGGGATGATATGCACTAGGAGTAGAGGCTTCAAGTGGACGGATTTTCACGCACTCACTCAGGTCAATCACCTGGGAAAATGCACATTTTTCCGCACCACCATTGTTAAATCGCCTCCTATGAATGACCAACACATTTCCACTTTCCGGGGAATTTTCTTTATTCTTCGACAGCGGAGAGAGTTTCTCTGCCACACGGGGATGTGATCGCCACGCGGAGCATATGATTTGTGGGGATTTTCCTATGGAAGGGCGCCAGGGTGGGTCATTTTCTGAGTAGGAGAAAACAGGCCAAAATCCACGGCCGCGGCAATAAATCACCATTGAAGACAGCCAGGGTGAGATAAAAACCAATGACAAGAGACAACGGGCCCGAGTCTCTCAATTGGCCGCTGTCCGGAAGCGCCCCAGAGCAGCGCGCGCGAGCGAATATGCGTGTGGTATTTGGGTCAGTGTGAGATGAAGTGCTTCCGATGGCCAGTCCAAAGTGGGTCTCCAGCGAGAAACCTGTGAGAATGTCCGGATGTGGGTCACAAGTCTCAGCTGTGATTGAATTTCAAGTACGCACACACACAATGAGGCCCCCGTGAGACTCCCAATTGCAGGTGAATCTAACGGAAATGCATCAATGAATGGCAGCGAGAGAGAGATTTTCACATATTCAGCATAATGGCATCTCGGGTGATGCGAAATGCTGAGGGAATTAGAAAGTGGCCAAGATGCTATGCGAGTCGCGTCGCGAATGAGTCACGAGGCGACTGTGCTCACAGTTCTTTAGGCGTGAGTCGAGGTGGCGCGTTGAGGGCCTGGAAGAGAACCTAGGGAGGTGTTTAACTCTTAGGGTGGCTTAGAAAAATTGCTGCTTCGTGAACTAATCTACAAATGAATCTCATTAATTTGTTTTATGAAGAAAAATTAGAAAATAATACATATCAATGCATGTAGGAAAATGAAGAAAAATATTCCTATTATGTAGCCTAATTGCCTAGCCATACAAGTTAGGCACCTTCAGTCCCGGAAATTCTAAATTCTGTCTTGATAGATTCTATCACAACAATAATGAATTATAGAACATTCGAATAAAGATCAAGTCATGCTTGCTTTTATGACTTTATTATACTATTTTCTTTTTATTGAGTGCGATAACAATTTTTGCACATATCTGCATAATGCGTAACGTGTGTAAAGTACTATCGCGAAAAGTAATAATTTCCGTAGAGACGAAAAGAAAAACAGCTGTTTTTTAATGAGGCACAATCAATACCCATTTCTATCAGTCGACCATCGAAGATGCAGGAAGTTGATGATGAAATTGGACTGCATGACATATTTGGATGGCGCGCGGCGTTTTTTTTAGAAAGTCACCGAAATGTGACATGTTCTTGGGTGCATTTTGAGCTGTCGAAGAGGGAGAGAAAGAAGTATTTTTACACTTTCTTATGATTGATTTCTCTTTTGCAGATGCTGATGGATTTGAACACGAAGGGTCTCGTGTTCGACCATCCGACTGTGCGCGGCCGGGACTTGGAGGAGTTTCTGCGCAAGTACGCGATTCTCACGCAGGATGAGTTCAAGCGATCGCTGCAGGTGTCGTGCGAGGAGTTCACGTCGGTGCTGAGCCAGAGCGTGCCGTGCGTGGGCTGTCGCCGGAACGTGGAGCGGCTGTTCATGCAGATGCGACAGTGCGAATTCCCCACGCTGGACCCACTGGTCATCACAAGCAGCGGAGTGCTGACGGTGGCGGAGGAGAAGGTGGCCACGCCAGTGGCGATCTGCACGCTCCTGCACAATCACAGCACGCTACTCAACAATCTCCTGGACAACATGCCGCGCAGCAAGAAAAGCTCGCGCTGTGGACTGCACTCTCTCGATACATTCAGATCGCGCCCGTTCTCGGAGCTGTGGCAAGATGTGTGGAGCTGCATGAAGAAGCGGTGTCGCGAGGAGGTGGTCATAATTGATTCGCAAGAATTGCAGGACACCCTGGACGGGTATCTGAAGAAGCACAAATTCTGCCAAGATTGCCGAACGAAGGTACTTTTCTTGTGCCTCCAAATTCAGTTGCCCAATCATTTTCATTTTAATTGTGGCGCGCTTATGGATGTGACGTTGAGTGTAGAGGAGGGAAAAGCAGGTCAAGATACTGTTAATTGTTAATTGACTCATTTTGATATGACTAGAATAACATTTTTCTCTCGGGTCTTTCATGAAAATCTTTGGTATACTTATTTTTAGACCCAATTCACGACAGATTATACTGTTTCAAGTCTTCATTCTCTTACATTTTTGAGCAATTTCTGAGCTTCTTGCCGAGAGGTTATCAAGAGCGAAGGAGGCCTCAAATCACTACCATCACTGAGAGCGTGTGACAATTTATCGATCTTGTCATTTCTTTTATATAACATGAGCCAAAGGCCTTCACGAGTGTCTCTCTGAGGTCTCTAACCTTTCAATGTTCTTGTCTAACACAAATTTCGTGACTATCGCATTGGTGATTGAGATATGGCATTGTCTGTCTGTTGCAGGTGGAGAAAGCGTATGCGTTCCTGATTGGGGAGAACAGCCCGCCGAAAGAGAAGGGCTTCGTGGCGGCTCTGTACGCGGGAATAAAGCGATGTCCGGACGAAAAGCATATCCATTTGCAGACGAAGGCGGATTATATCGATGGGCTGATCAAGCGGGCTGAGCCGGAACTCAATGGCAACGGATCGAGGCACCGCGAGCGCCACGCGAAGACAATGGAGATCGCCCAGGAGGAAGTATTAACGTGCATTGGGATGTGCATATATGAGAGACTGCGTCGGATTCATATGGTGCTGAAGGAGGAGGAGAATGCGTGCCAGGTGTTGGCGGCGGTGTCCGTGCACTGTCTCTGTCGCAGCTTCGACATGGCGGTGGAGAAGAAGCGTGGCAAGAGTAATCTCGAGTTGCTGTACGAGGAGATCAGTCGGGCGGAGAGGGCGAAGGAGCAGCGCCGCGAGCAGAAGAAGCTGAAGAAGAAGAGGAAGAAGAGCGAGAAGAAGGGCATGGCGTCGTGTCGCTCGTGCAATGGCGGTGGATCGGAGGAGGAGGAAGAGGAGGAGGATGAATCCCATGTGGCGGTGGTGGCGAATGACAGGCAGGAGGAGGATGAGTCTGAGGAGGATGCCGAGGAGGAGGAGCTGATGCGAAGGGACGCATGCGAGCAGAAGAAGAAGAGCAAGAAGAGTGCCAAGGAGACGGTGGGACAGCAGCGGGAGAAAAAGACAAGTGCGGTGAACAACAACAACAATTCCAAGGATAGAGGAGGTGGCGACAGAGGCTGTCTCATGGGGAAGGCGGTGGAGGATATCAAGGATGAGATTTCCGTGACTTCTTGTCATTCCTGTGAGAACAACGCGTGCACTCAGTCCATCGATGGTGGCTATGTGTCGGAGCCATCCAATCATGAGTCCATTCTCTCATCCACTGCCCACTCTGGTGTCTCTAGTCTGTCCAGCACGCCGGAGGGATCTGAGGTGGCGTGTTCCGAAGGCTTCTGCAATCACGATCCGAGTAGAGCGGACGACGGACGCTGTCACCGCGGTGGATCACCCGAGCACAACTACAAGAACAAGAATGGGAGCTGTGGAAGACAGTCTGCCAACGTGTGCGGTCAACTCCTCAGTCTGCAGGAGATGCTGGTGAGTGGCTTTTGCTGTAGAATCTCTTGCTAATCCTTCTCTGTTTCTACTAACATTTTATTCTGCTCGAATCTTTAACGCTTTGTTACAACACAATCTCATTTTGTTCACAGTCATTTGTAAGCTTCCTTCGTAATCATGTGAAATTCTTATGTCTCTAAATACAAAAATATCGTTCACTCGCAGGGAAATCAGTCGGAGGCTGAAGAGGACGTCGGGGAGGACGTGAACTATATCCCAGATGAGGTGGTGCAGGAGTTTAAGCTGCGACATGCCAACTTGAAGCAGGCTCGCGAGGAGATTCGACAGAACTTGCGCAGGAACTTCGCTCAGCTGTGCATGAAGACGTCGACGGCCAAGTAAGCGATGCTGAGGAGGAGCGAAAGGAATTGTGAAGACGGAGGCAGGATTAGTGTTTTGGTGGCAGCAGCAGCTTCACAGCATGGACATATTGTTCCAATAAATCCCATTACTCTTTATTGTTGTCTAGCGCGATGATTCCGAAAGGGAGAGTTTTGAACTCTTATTGTAGTTCTGTTATCGGAAGCGATGAGAGAGGATGGAAACAAAGACGCGAGTAACCGAAATGAATAAATAAAATGCAAAGCATCTCGTGACTATCTGAACTCGGCCAGGCACAGGCACGCATTTGTGCCTCCGAATCCGAAGGCATTCTTAAGGGCGATCCGGCGCCGAACACTCGGCCAGCTCTGGCTCCTGTTGGCCACGAAGTTGAGGTGCTTCATGTCGTCAGAAGTGCTGCTGAGGTTTATCGTGGGCGGAAGTTGGCCATCTCGGCAGGCAAGGAGTGTGAAGAGCGCCTCGAGATTTCCGGCGGATCCTAGGAGATGTCCATGAGCGCCCTTGGTTGAGGACACCGCGAGCTTGGACGCGTGATCGCCAAAGAGACGAGAGATCGCCCGGCACTCGATGGCATCTCCGATTGGAGTTGATGTCGCATGAGCGTTTATGTAGGATATGTCTTCGGGCAGCAGTTGGGCATCCTCGAGAGCGCGCTGCATGGCCAAAAAAGCGCCCAGGCCGTCTTCTCGCGGGGAAGTGAGATGAGAAGCATCTCCAGAGCAGCCGTAGCCCAGGATTTCGCCCAGAATTGGGGCATTTCTGCTCTTGGCGTGCTCTAGCTCCTCCAGAATGAGAATCGCCGCTCCCTCGCCCATGACGAAGCCGTCTCTCTTCGCGTCAAATGGTCTGGAGGCACTCTGGGGGTCATCATTAAAGGCAGTGCTGAGAGCTCGAAGTCGGCAGAAACCTGCAAAAGCCAGAGGACTTATTGACGCTTCTCCAGCACCGCAAACCATCACGTCAGCCTCATTTCTCTGTATGAATCTAAAGCCATCCCCAATGGCGTGAGCTCCGGTGGCGCATGCTGTGGAGACAGCATGATTTGGGCCTCTGAAACCATACTTTATGCTGATCTGCCCTGCGGCCATGTTGGGCAGAATGCGAGGCACAAAGAAGGGACTCACGCGGTTGTAGCCCTGCCTCAAGGCATCATTTGCCTCGCAAATGTCCACAAAATCGACCATTCCGATTCCCACTGACACGCCTGTGCGGTTCTGCGCCTCCTGCTCAGTTGGCGTCCACTGAGAGCTGGTTAGAGCTTCTTTGGCAGCGACTAGAGAGTAGACAATCGCCGGAGACATGGACTTCAACTCGCTCTTCGTGAATACCTTTGAGAGATCAAATTCCTCTCTTGGTATTTGAGCTGCCACACGACTTGGGAGCTTCTCATAAGCGGGATCTGTGAGCTTCACTACGCCACACTGGCCGGAAAGGATATTTGTCCAGGCGGTGTCGACTGACACTCCCACCGGAGATACACATCCTACTCCTGTGACAACCACACGGCGATTTTCTCTGCCAATAGTTGAGAAATGCCGTAGACACCTCAAGGAATGTGCAAAGGGAAGAATTTTCCGAGACATTGCGTGAGAAGTGCGGAAATTTACGTGAAAAACAAACTGATACATAACCTCACTAGCCATTAATTGCTGTACCCGTCCTCAGACGATAAATTGTCGCTGCAGAACCTGGTCTTGATGATTTCCTTGTAGATTCTGGCGGACTTTTTCGCCACGCGCTTCTTCTCGGGATCCTTGTTGTCCACACGGTAAAGACCGAATTTCTCTCTGAAAAGCAGCAGGAATATTAACCAAAGAAACCAATCCAACAAGCTAAACTTACGTATAGCCCATCATCCATTCAAAATTGTCCAGCAGTGACCAGTGCGCATATCCAGACACTCTGCAGCCAGCCTGAAGAGCTTCCAGCACAGCCCCAAGGTGTCCTTTGAGGTACTCCACGCGCAGATCATCTTCCAGCTCTCCACTGTCTGACCAGCCATTCTCTGTGATGATCACCTCTGGATTCTCATAGGCAAGTTTAATCCACTTAAGAATATCCCTCAATCCGTGAGGCACCATGTAAAGCCACGTAGATTTGGCACGCTTCCAACTGGGATCCACAGAATACGTCAGATTCTGATCCCTCTCCCAGGACGGATTAGCTGGTTCGGCGTAGTTGGCTGGCTCCAGAAAGCGAGCAGTGTAGTAATTCAATCCGAGAAAGTCTGCAGTTCCTCTGACTTTTTGCACTTCTTCAGGGCTGAATGGTGGCAATCTTGACCAGACTCGTCCTTCCGACATGCTGTTCTTGTCCACAATCTCTTGCAATATCTTTGACCATCCGCCATCTCGGCTAAAAATGGCATTTGCAAAGAATCCCAGCTGAAAGGCCATTGCTCTCTCCACCAGATCATTTCCTGGGGACTTTTGATAGAACCATCCGCTGTCCAGCGTTATTCCCACTTTCCCGCCGAATTTGGCAGCGTAGTTCATGTGGTATATATGATAAGCCTCTGCGTGGGCCAGCAGAACGTGATAAGCGCACAAATACTCTCCGACTCCATGGAGTTTTAGAACTGGTGCTAGAGCTCCACTGCCGTAGCCCAGAATGCATGACTCTGAGGGTTCATTGAATGTGATCCAGTGCTTCACACGAGATCCGTAGTTCATGTACAAGATCCTAGCGTACTCCCGGAAGTAATTCACGAAGATAGGGTTTAGCAGACCACCCATATCCTGCAGATACTGTGGAAGATCGTAGTGGAACATGGTCACCATGGGCTGAATGCCTTCCTGGAGCAGCAGATCAATCAGATCGCTGTAGTACTTCACTCCGGCCGGGTTGAGAGATGAGACATCGCCTGTAGGAAGAATTCTACTCCAAGACACTGAGAACCGGTAGAAATTCACTCCCAATTCCTTCAGTCTCTTCACGTCCTCCTTGTACAGGTGGTAAGAATCCGGTCCGACGTCTCCATTGGATTTATCTGCTATCAGTTCTGGATGATCATGTGTGAGAGTATCCCAGATGTTCACGCCCTTTCCATCTGCATTCCAACCGCCTTCTATTTGGTAAGACGCCGTGGAAACGCCGAAAGTGAAGGTGTCAGGGAAGCTTTTGTGCAGGCTACAGGAACCCTGATCGCCCTGATCAGTGTTGCTGCCCAAAACCCTGGGGAAGATACAGAAATTGTGAAAAAGAAGCTGGAATCACTGCAAAAAGCCGGCTGTACTTTATCACTGAAAATACGAGTGGGAGAATCCAGAACTTCATGCTGATTTCTTGGAGAGACGCAGAGTAAAACTTCACTGCACTGAATTGCTTGAGTATTAAGCAGAAGCCCCGGTACTTGAACTTTGATTCACTTCCTTTGTCTGGCCAAAAATCCCTGAACTCGATCCACTTGATCTGAACCAATTCTGAACTGTAAAATCGAGTGTAAAACTGTTATACGGCCGATCGAGGCGACGCCATGCGATAGGTGAAGAAATGTCTTCTAATGTCATATTGAATATTTTTATAGTGGACGCGGATGCAACAGAAATTTTCATTGTTTTTCATCGTTCCGGTGATTGTGAAGTACATCGGAGTCAATGGCGATGAGAGAGAAAGCTCTGCAGTGTTTAGGACTGTGTCTAATTGATGAGTTGGATGATGAGAATTTGATGTGAGTTATTGACTTTCATTTGCCTTCTGACCTTCCTGACCATATTTTTCCTCCTTAGAACATTGAGATATCTGCTGGAGAATCGTCAAGCAGATCCAAATGTCATTGTGAAGTCAAAGCAGTACGCCGCGGTGCACTTTCTTGCGAGCCTGGAAAACAGAGATTTTGCAGATGCAGCGGCAAATATGATTTTTGGCGAATTCGGCGGCGATCCCAATGTGAAGGCGCTCCTCTGCGGAGTAACACCGATGCACATTGCGGCTGGCAATGGATATGAGAAGCTCTTCGCCCTGCTTCTGGAGAAGGGTGGTGACCTAGAGATTGTGGATGATGATGGAAGGTGTCCACTTGCTTACGCTCTCGAGGAGAATCGGCAGGAGATTATCAGTTTGGCTCATGATCACATCCTGAAGCTGAAGAGACAGAAGAAACAGAGCGAGATGTGCCTTTCTCCAGCGATTGCAGGTCGCATGGGCGTCACACCGGATGGGACGCCTGTAAACTTCAACACTGCCAGTCCTTATTATATCCACATCACCCACCGAAGGAAGACGCCTCACTCTGGCACTGGATGCTCGAGGGATCAGCTGCAGCTGCCCGAGGAGAAGGAGAACATTTACAGTACACCGAAGAAAGTGAATTTGTTTGATCTGACCAAGGAAAATCTCGAGCAGCACTCGAAGTGTTTTTCGTCGAATGGCGAAGATCGCCAGTCGAAAATTGCCGTGTGGCGAGAGAAGGTGTCCAGCTCCAGAAGTCGCCAATCCTTCACTCGTTGCATTGAGGAGATGGAGAAGATGCTGAGCCAGTTTAGTGATCTCGACACGACGTCTGAGTGTTCAGATCGTGGCTCCAGGAGCCAATTCTACACTGCTCATGAGACTGAGAACGATTCTTATGATGTTCGCCGCTCCCCGCGCCTCAGTCAGAACTCAGTGCTGTACATGGTGGAGATTTATCAGCACGAAGATCCAGAGAATAATGTGCAGTTCTTCGAGCGCAAGTTTGGTGTGCCAGGATCGTCTTGCGGAGAGGACGCGGCGGAAACCACTCTGTCCACGATGTTAAAAATACCGTCAGAGTACGAAACGGACGCTCTGAGAGAGGAACTCACGACTCTGGGCCATCCGCCGGGTCCGATCACCAACACCACAAAGAGAATGTATCTGAAGAGGCTGATGAGCTTCCGCAAACACCCCGAGCGTGTGGCTCTTGTGGCAAATGGACAGAAATCTCAGCTGAAATTCTCGGTAGAGCTGATAAACTGCCTACAAATGGAGAACTTGAATCGTCATCTCACGGAATACTTGAAACTGGAGAGGGAAATGATACAGAGCTTTCAGGATCCCAGCAAAAAGTGGCGAGAAGGTCATCTGAAGACGTCTTTTATCTATTTGCTAATTGATCCGCGGGTGTCTGCCAATTTGCCCAGCAGAACATCGAGCCTGAGTCCGGATGAAGTGTGGCAGATCTTCTTGCAGTCCATCTTTTACGTGGGCAAAGGCAAGAATAGTCGTCCTTATGCTCACCTGTACGAGGCCATCAAGCACTTCGGAGAGTTTTACATGTCGGATCCGCTGGCGAAAACGGCTGAGCGTCGCCTGCAGAACCAGAAGATCACTAAAATCATGGACATCTGGAATTGCGACTTGGGTGTTGTATGTCTGCACGTCTTCCACAACGTTCTGCCCGTGGAGGCGTATTCGCGCGAAGCGGCGCTTATAGACTGTCTGGGACTTCAGCATCTCACCAATCACAAGCGCGGGGATTACTATGGAGCGTCCTCGTGCTGGAATATGAGGCAAAAGAAGCACATGGCGATTGGCCTGCTATTTAAAGCACTCCAAGTGTACCTGGCTGAGGGTGAGAGTCAGCTTACTCCGAAGGATCTCTTGTAAATGTGATTCATGTGATATGAGCATTTTTTTCTATTATTCTGATCGTATTGCATTGATGATTGTGATTTATGTATAAATTTTTTGTCGGAATTTATCTTGCCGTGCAAAGACAATGGAAAAATTATTAAACAAAGAAGATTGAGTACAACAATTAGTGAAATGATTTGATTTCTGGAAATGTTTGGTGATTTTGCCTTTTGAATTGATATAAGTACGCGGCGAATAGCCAAGATTCACACCGAGCACAATTATCCATGATTTATTATTATCATGAAATCATTATCCAAACGTCTGACATTGGGAACAGAATGGTGGTTCACGTTTCCTGAGTGGAGGTGTTTCTCTTTTTGCTCAATTTCTCCCTAAAATAAGGTGCACAATGAAAGTGAAGGTGATTAGCAGGAATCCCGATGACTATCTGCGGGAGACAAAGAAGGACATTCACAAGAGTACGCATTGTTTTGTCTGTTAAATGCAAAACAACAACAATAACCTAACTTTCTTTACACTTCCAGTGCCAAGGAATTACGATCCTTCCCTGCACCCTTTCGAGGCTCAGCGGGAGTACGTTCAAGCTCTGAATGCCACGAAGCTCGAGAGGGTGTTTGCCAAACCCTTCCTGGGTTGTCTGGATGGCCACAGAGACGGAGTGTGCTGCTTCTCAAAGCATCCTCAGAGTCTCTCCTGCCTCGTCAGCGGGGGCTACGATGGACAGATTTGCGTCTGGGATCTTCCTTCGAGGACAAACATGAGGAATTTCTACGGGCATGAAGGCTTCGTCCATGGGATTGTCTACATGCCAAACGGGGAGTCTTTCATATCTGTGGGCAATGACAAGAGTGTAAAGTTCTGGAAGGGCGCAACGCCGGAATTTGGCGAGGAAGAGGAGCCTTTTCACACCATCCTGAGTCGCACAGTCCTTATGGGCATCAGCCATCACAGATCCCAGCCACAGTTCGCCACCTGCGGGGAAGTTTGCCAGATCTGGGATGAGACTCGGAATGAGCCACTGAAGACTCTCAAGTGGGGCGTTGATTCGCTGCACACGGTGGCCTTCAACGCCGTGGAAACTTCCCTTCTGGCCGCCTGTGCCAGTGACAGGAGCATAATTCTGTACGACCAGCGAGAGGCCAAGCCACTCCGCAAGGTGATCATGACAATGCGTCCCAACAAGCTCGCCTGGAATCCCATGGAGGCCTTCACGTTCAGCGTGGCCAATGAGGACTACAACTTGTACACCTTCGACACGAGGCGCCTGAAGAACCCTGTGAAGATCCACAAGGGTCACGTGTCCGCTGTGATGGACGTGGATTACTCGCCGACGGGTCAGGAGATCGTGTCCGGAAGCTACGACAAGACCATCAGAATTTTCAGCGTGTTCAAAAACTACTCTCGCGATGTGTACCACACGAAGCGCATGCAGCACATAACGTGCATCGGCTGGTCGCTGGACAGCAAGTACATCTTCAGCGGATCAGATGAGATGAACATTCGGCTGTGGAAGGCGAGGGCCTCTGAGAAACTGGGCGCCATGCGACCTCGAGAGAAGATGGCCTTCAGACAGAATGAAACCCTGAAGGAGAAGTTCAGCGCTCATCCGCAAGTGAGGAGAATTGCTCAGCATCGTCATGTGCCGAGCAAAATCTACAAAGATCAGAAGAAATTGTCGGCCATTCGGGAGAAGGAGGTGAAGAAAGAGTTGAACCGTAGAAAGCATTCGAAAGCTAAGAAGCACAACGACATCCCTGAGAAGAAGAAAGTTATAATTTCAGAGTCTAAATAAATATTTCTGTGAAATATTCAACAATTTGTTGTGTGTTTCTTTTTGGAGCGGAAAGTAAGGTTAGGGTGCCTTAGCGGGAATTTTCACATGCTCAATGCTGCCAACTGCGCGGAAGCAATGTGTGAAGTTGCCGTTATGACGCCCTGGATAAGGTGGATAAAATAACTGAACAATTGAAATTTCAGTCGCCGCTTGGATGTTTGACGCGAATATTTTCTTCTCATTTTCGTCTGAAGTAGTGTCTTAATGTGTTTTTCTTTCACGTAAATTTGTGTATGAGTGGTTTAAGTGTGTGAAACAAGTGGAAAAATGGAGATGGCTAATTGGACAAATCTGATTATGGGCTGGGTGAGTTTTGAGGCTCTGGGCCGCACAGTTACAAACAATAAAAATATGTAGCATTTTGGCACCTCCTGAGATTCCCACTAATCTTTTAGGTGAATACCACTGAGCTGGTGGAGAAGCCTTGCCTGTTTCTCGACCAGACGGACTTGGATCTCTTCTACGCCGAGTACAGGAAGCTCATGATAGCTGTGACTATTCCGGAGAGGAATATCAGGGACTTCATCAAAGCGCAGTATCCAGCCTTCCAGATTCACTTCTTCGACGATAACACAATCTGTTCGGCTGACTACATGTACATTTACTGCCTTCTGCTGCACTACTCCTGTGTCGTGTGCAAAGACAAGAAGTTCCAGAGCATCTGCATGAAGCTGACCGGCTCCCAGCAGGAGTCAATAGCTTCTCTCTTCAGCCGCTTGGGCCAGAGAGAAGACATCACCAGGGCCTCTCTGAAGGGCATCCTTCGAGAGACACCTGTGGAGAGCTCTTCCATCGAATTTATGAAGCTCGGTTCTCCCATCCGAACACCCCTGAAGACTTCTCCGCCCACGCCGGCGGTTAAACTTCTCGAGGATCGATCTCGTGAGTTGATTTCCGTGAAGGCGCAGCTTGAGACGGAGCGATATGAGAAAAACTTTCTGGAGGCGCAGCTGAAGGAGACAGAAGAGAGGCTGAGGAGGGCCAATCAGCAGCAGAAGCATTACGTGGTGGAGATCAAGCAGCTGAAAGAGAAGCTTCTCTACGGCGACGAGCAGAACATTCCTCAGAATGGAGAGAAGAAGAGTGGGCAGTCTTTGGTGTGTCTGCAGAGGCAAATACAGCAGCTGGAGGACAAGATTTGCAATCTAAACGCCGATGTGGAGGTTCTGACGCAAGATAAACGCACTCTGCAGACAAAGGCGGTGCGCATGGAGGAGGAGTTGAGCAATTTCAGGAAGAAGTGCCATGAGCAAGTGATTATCCATGAAGATGTCCAAGCAGAATTGCAGGTAAAGTGTTGTTTGATTGAGCATTCCTTGAAATTTATGCTTTCTTCTCTCCCTGCAGAACAAATTGCTGATCATCGCGAATCTGGAGAGTGTCAACGAAGAGCTGACAACGCTTATCAAGGAGCTAAAACCGTCAAATGACCTGAACTCAACGGATTCCTTGGACTTCTCCTTCGGCAGCTCCAACAGTAAAATTGATGAGATTCAAGAGAACTTGGCCAAGACTGTGGTGGAAGTGCAGCTGAGAGAGAAGGAGAATGAGAATCAGATTATTCGCACAGCTCTCGCAGTGAAGGAGGCGGAGATGAATGAAATTGCTCAGGAAATTAAGGCATTCATGCTGAAAATTGAGGCAGACGAGAGCGTTTCGAGTGGGAAGGACATTCGGTGTGCGGTGCCTGAGCTGATGAACATGGTGGAGAAGCTGATGGACAAGGAGGCGGCTATGAAGAAGACGCTGGGAAAGGCTGAAGTGGAACAGTCATCACTCGTGGACACCATTGCACGTCTTAATGACGAGTGCGCGCGAATGAAGCAGGAGATGGACGTGCTGGTGGGCAAGGAGAGATCCGCTGAGGAAACACTGTCACGAGCACAAGAAGAGTTGGTCGTGCAATCTCAAGAGATGGAAAGGATTGCGAAAGCTTTGAAAAACTTGCAGTGCTCAGCGGATAATGCGGAAAGGGAAGTCTTCATGCTGATGTCTGTCAATGCCAGATATGAGAATATTATTGAGGAAAATGAGGCATTGGAGAAAGAATTATCAAATAAAATCAAGAAGCTGGAGGAAAAATGCAGTGTGGCGGAAAATCAACGGGAAGATGTGAAGAAATCTCTTGAGGATCACAAGAGAAAACTCAATGAATCTGAGGATGCGCTGCGAGAAAAACAAATTGATTGTGAGAGAGTTGAAGTGGAGATGGAGAAGCTGAAAAAAGAACATTCTGTCCTCACCAATAAGATTTCTGACTTGAGTTCCATTGTGAAATCACTTCAGGAAGTAAAGGAGCACCGGAACACGGAAGTTAGTCAATTGACCGAACAGCTGAAGAGTCAAAAGTCTGAGGTTGAGCAATTGAAACATGCCAATGAATCTGTGTTGTTCGAGAAGGACGAATTGAGAGCAGAATTGGAGACAAAAACTAATGAAATCGCGAATCTGGAGGAAGTGAAGCGGATTTGTGAGGAGAAAGTGGCTTCATTTGAGAAATTGTTGCAGGAGTCTGAAGAAGTGAGAGAAAAGGAGAAGATAACGCTTGAAGATCAATTTAAGGAGGCTAAAAACCTCGTGGATGATCTGAAGGATCAAGTGGGCAGCTTCGAGGCGCAAGAAATTGAGCTCTGTAAGCAGATTAATGCTTTGACCACTGAGCTTACGATGTGTAAGTCGGACAACAAGAAGTGCAATTCGAAGAAACTGGAACTGATAAAGCAGTTGGATATGCAGAAAACTCAGACACTTCATTTGCTGAATGAAATTGAAAGTGGAAAGCGTGAAATCGTGACTTTGAAGGACGCAATAAAAGAAAAGGACATTCTTCTCGAGACGACTGTGGCTGCCAAGGACGAAGTCGGTGTGAATCTTCAGAAGTCAGTTGGAGAATTCGATGAAATTAAACAGAAATGCTCCGAGTTGGAGAGTGAGAAGCAGGCTGTTGTTCAGGAACTGGAGAGACTCAAGGCTGAAGTCAATCAGTCGAGAGAAAAGATGACGAAGTTGAGTTCGGATGCTGATGTTTTGATGAAACTCAATGAACAGTTGGATGAATTGTCGGCTGCACGTTCATCAGATGCGATTGAGAAGCTGAAGGATGTCCAGGAACAAATGCTACTGAAGGACTACGTAATTGAGAATCTGGAGAATGAAAAGGACAAATTGAATCGCGAGTTGGCTGAAATGAAGGAAGTCTCTATGCGAAATGCTGATCAGATCAAAAATATGGAGAAGCAAATCGATGAGGAGTGCAAGATGAAGCGAGAAATAGCAAAGAGTCAGGAAGAAGAGCTCTCTTCTCTTCAGCGTGCCCTTGCAGAGACGTACAAGAAGACTGAGATTCTCTCTGCAACTGTTCAGGATTTAGAAAGCACGAAGAAGGAACTGAGTGCGCTCTTGGAGGCTGAAGTGGCTCAGAAAAAGGAATTTCAGGAGAAAATGTGTCGGGAAAGAGAAGCATCGTCACAACTGGAGGATGAAATTCAATCTTTAAAAGAAGATTTAACGGAGAGGAAGAGTCACTGTACGAAAATTGTCGCGGAAGTTGCAGAATTGAAGAAGAACGTTGAATGTCTGACCACTCAATTGTCCGAACAACAATCTGAAAACGATCTTTTGCGAGAGAAGAACAAATGTCTTAGCGAGGGCGAAGCTGAACTTCAGAAAAAGGTGGAGAAGTTGACGAATGACATTCAGGATTTGGATGCAATTAAGAAGGAAGTGTCTATGAGAATGGATAATCTTGTTAAGGAAATTGGTAAGAAAGAAGTCGAATTGGAGAATCAAAAGAAGGAATCTCAAGCTGTAGAGGAAAATCTGAGAAGAGAGATTTCTGAGGTGAAGTCTCAGAATTGTGACCTCCAAGATGATAAGAAGTCCTTTGAAGAGAAGATTGCGAACTTGGCGAATCTGGAGAAGAATCTCGCAGAGATTCAAGACACTTTGACTGCGAAAGAATCTACAATTCGAAGTCTTGAGGATGTTATTTCGTCTAAAACCGTGGAAATGGTAGAATTGTCTGAGAAGATGGAAGCCATAGAAAATAAGTGTGAAAACCACGTCAAGGAACTTCAAAATGATAAGATTGCGCTTGAAGAAAAGTCAGCGGAACTGCAGCGAATGGAGGAGGATCGTAAGGTGGTGAATGAGAAGGCGAAGCAGTTGTTGGAGAAGCAACAGAACTTTGAGATTAAGTGCACTCAATATGAGAAGCGTATCAAGCAGCTCTGCGAGAGCAAGACCAAGGCTATTGATGTGTTGCAGAGGGAAATTTCTGGACTTGAGAAGAGAAACATTGATCTGAGTGATAACCTGAAGACTCTTCAGGTGGAATTTGATGTGAGAAATGATGAGAACCTAAAGCTGAGGGAAGAGATCCAATCGATTGAGTGTCAAAATGATGAGATCACGCAGAAGTTGCTGGACAGTGATGGTGAAATTCAGAATCTTCAGGTGGAAATCAAGAAGCTTCTGTCGCAAAACACACAATTGGAGGCCAACATGTCGCAGAAGGACAGCGAATTGTTGAGTATGAAGATTTCTATGAACAAAAAGAGTGCAGAGTTGAGCACAGACTCTGCGAAGATTGCCAATCTGCTGCAGGAGGTGGAGAAGTACAAGGGGCTGGAGAAGCAAGTGAAGCAGCTGGAGAGTCTGGAGCACGAGGAGAAGGAGATCAATGAGAGACTCGTGAATGAGAATGCCATCTTGCACGCTAAGCTGCAAAAGAATCGACAGATTCTGGATGAGAAGGAGAAATCCTGGGTGTCTGAGAGGGATGCGCTCAACAAGACCATCGCTGAGTGTGGCAATGCCGATGAGAAGGTGTCAGAGATGAAGCGTGAGATGGAGGGAAAACTGGAGAAGATGAAGGATAAAATGGTGAGTAGAAATATTTTGAAATTTATGTTGAAGTTCTCCTCTGTTCTGCTTGTTGCATATCTCCTCGTCAAAGTAACTGTGTCGATGTCAAATGTGAAGATGGAAGTTAGAGAAATTCAACCCAGTTTCTTCTAGTGATGTGTAGATTTTGAATAAATGTTTTATGTTGATATTTCTATTGAACAGAGTGTTTCTTTTTTGGTCAATCAATTTCTTTCACAGAAGACGCTCTGCACTGCCGAATTGGAGAAGATGAAAACGAGGTACGAGAAAAAGTTGGTGGAGAAAGATCAACAGGTGAAGAGTTTGTCGCATCAGATTAACAGTCTCAATAGTGAGAAACTGGAGTTGGTGAAGGAGAATATGCATTTCAAGAGAAAGAACGACAATGCAGCGATGCTGAAGAAGCCAATGCTGCCAGAGTTGAATTTCAACATGGAAGATGAAGAGGGAGAGCAGTTCAACAACACTTATCTGCTGAAGGACGTGAAACTCGAGAATCCTGAACATGCGTCATTGTTTGGAAGGGAGTCAGTAACGTAAGTCTAATTTATTTATCATTTGGTGCCCACTATTCTCATGCTGTTCTCCTTCTTCTCGTGTAGGAAAGAGGAGCTGGACTACAGGAACTCCAAGCAGCCGCCACACCTGAAGTGTCAATATGCTGCTCAGTACGGCATTGGTGGTAATTTTGAGGACGATGTAACGGTAATTAGCAATTGTAGTAAAAAGAGTTTAGAATAGACTGATAAGTGACACAATCTTGCTCACAGTCAATTGGGGATGCAAATGGGCATGATGACAGCATGAGTAGCCTGCTGTACGCGGGACAGCGGAAGAAGATGAGCGGCACGACATCCTACAAGAGACCTGGACCGCCCACACCAAGCAAGAATGGTGGACGTCTCTCTCTCAGCGGCGCCACGGAAATCCATCCGCGTCAGATCCTCAAGGAGATCAATGAGTCCACGAAGCAACAGACACCGAGCGGCCTGAGACACTTCTTCGGCCGAAGATCACTGGCAAAAGATGAGGTAATGCCTGATGAGCGTAGCGCGAATAGTGGTAGTGTAGATGATGGTCAGGTTAATGCATGCGGTGATGGGGCGACAGAAGAGGACTCAAGTTCAGAATTTGATTCGACGAGTGTGCAGAAGAAGCAGCGAAAGAAGCGACGAGTGTCACACATATCACACATCAAGAGGAGCCAATTTTCACATGTGACGAATTACAAGAAGCGAAAGGGTAGTTTTGTGAAGAACTCCAAATTGAGCCGAAGGGAGAAGTTTGATGAATTGAGGCAAATTGACATGGACGGTGAGACAGAGTCTTGCATTGAGATGTCACTCAATAGCAGTGCAAAGGAGCGATTCGAGGAGATTATGCTGCAGAAGATCTCTGAGACACCGTTTGCGGGCCCACGAAAGAGGCAGGCGAATTCTAAGCGGAGATTCTCGACGCCCAACTTGATCATCTCTTCGCCATCGCCGTCGTATTCCAGCGCAAAGTGTTCCGGTGGCTTGTCCCTCAGTGGAAGGATTCCGAGGTCGGAAGTAATCAAGTTGCCCGAGCGCGTAAAGCGTCAATTATTGCCGGACAAGACCTTTCCCACCAAATTCCAAGTTTTCTCCATTATTTGCGTGCTTGCCATTATTTCTTCTCTCATTATGTACATGGTGTTTGGCGTATGAAATCATTTGTTAGCTGTCGCTTATATGATATAATGATTGAATTAAAATTTATTAAAGTGTTCATCAAGCTTATGAGCTTCATGTTCTTCTCTTATTGCAGAATCCCTTGACCTCACCGGCTGCACGTTTCAAGAGTATATTTCGAAACAAGCGCGCCCATAAATAAGACTTTACGTACAATTAGTACCTATACGAGTTTAGTATCACTTACGGTGTTTTATTATAAGCCAGTAATCAGAGTAGAAATATATTTATTTTCTAAGAGAAAAATTGTTAGATTTACAAGAAAATATTAAGAAGTGTGCAAAATGCAGAATCTCAATTAGCTGATACAAAAATTGCATTGTGTATGATTTTTTGGGTGATATTGAAGTGTCTAGCAGAACCCAGCAATCTAGAAGCAGACCAGAAAATCATCCGGACAACTCTGGAGATGTGTTAGAGATGAAAATATGAATTCTTCATCATTTCTATTAAGCAATCTTGCTGTTTTGCAGATATCTTCTGTTGATTTCTATGTCGAAAATAGTGAGAATATCCATATTTCCTACATTCTTAGTCTAACGAGCGGCAATGAATTTACCTGTTAATCCTGTTAATGTTCTCCTGGCTACGCCTATGACTTGTGATGTGCTTTTTTCGATTGACTTGATGAGTGTCTTTAACTTTTTGCCGGTCTAATCAAGGCCTCACTGTGAAGGTCATGATCATCATCAGTGTGTGCGATAAAAACCCCACCAAATTTCAGCTTATCACAAAGCCTGACGTGGTGATTTCCATCAAATACTCAAGCAGCGACCATGAAAGCACACAGTTTCTCTCGCGAAATCGATCACCGATTTAGTGCAATACTCGTCGTGAGTTTATTTGTGACACTATTTCCCAGGTGAAGACTTCGACTAGGAGTTTCTCAGATTGTCTGGGGGAGAATAATCTGTTTTCTCTCGTGCAGGAGTGCAAGAATGGACGACAGTTGTTCGACGGAATCTTGCCAGGTGTTTCCCAAAGACTTCTACTTTGGCACTGCAACGGCTTCGTATCAGATTGAAGGTGGCTGGAATGAGGACGGCAAAGGACTGAACATCTGGGATACTCTGTTGCACGAGAAGCCTGACTTGGTGCTGGATAAATCCAATGGAGACGTCGGACCGGATTCTTACCACCTGTACAAGGAGGACGTGAAGAGACTGAAGGAATTGGGAGTGAATTTCTACCGGTTCTCAGTGTCTTGGAGTAGGATTCTTCCTACAGGCGATGTCTCATCTCTCAACCCGGCCGGAGTGAAGTACTACAGCGATCTGATTGATCTGCTGCTCCAGGAAGGCATTCAGCCCATGGTGACCATGTTCCACTACGATCTTCCGCAGTATGTGCAGGATTTGGGCGGAGTTACCAATCCGCTGTTCGTGAAGTACTTCCGTGAGTATGCCAGAGTGCTGTTCGACAACTTCGCTGATCGCGTGAAGCTCTGGAGCACCTTCAATGAGCCCTGCTCGTTCGCCTACTACGGCCATGGCTTGGGAGAAATCGCTCCCATGAAGAAATTGCATGGAGTCGGAGAGTATTATGCTGCCTATCACATCTTGCTGGCTCACGCGGAGGTTTACCACTTGTTCAAGGAGCAGTATCACCCTAAGCACAAGGGGAAGATCGGTCTCACCCTCAGCAGCATGGGAATGTTCCAGAAATCGCCAGGAGATGATCTTGTTGAGAGAGGCTTGCAATTCACTCTTGGTTTCTTCGCCCATCCCATCTTCAGTCGCGACGGTGGGTGGCCTAAGGTGATACAGGAGACTGTGGACAGGAATAGCAAGGCGGAAGGACGAGCCTGGTCACGATTGCCAGTCTTCACGCCAGAACAAATTGAGCGTGTCAAGGGATCGGCGGATTTCTTCGGGTTGAATTACTTCACGGGGCGTTTTGTGGAGCTTGGAAGCATCACGGACGGCAAGAGTTATCCTGATCCGTCCTGGGAGAGAGACCAGAACTTGACTTTCTCCACAGATCCTAGTTGGAAGCGCGGAAAGTCCGAGTGGCTCTATTTGGCGCCTGAAGGCTTGAGAGGCATTCTCAAGTGGATCAAGAAGACTTATGACAACCCTGAAGTGATCATCACAGAGAGCGGATGGTCAGACGGTGGGGAGCTTGAGGATGAGGCGCGAGTTGAGTGTCTGAGAGCGCATCTGAAAGTAGTTCTAGAGGCCCTTCAAGCTGGCTGCCGCGTGAAAGCCTTTTCCGTCTGGTCTCTGATCGATAACTTCGAGTGGATGATGGGCTACTCGTGAGTATTTCCTCAGCTCTTTTCGAACACTCCCTAAGATTCCTCTTTTTCCCACAGGGAGAAGTTTGGTCTCTACCGAGTGGACGTGGATGATCCCGAGAAGAAGCGTGTCGCAAAGAAGTCCGCCAGGATTTACAAGGAGATCATAAAGAACCGCCAAATTGTGTAATTGACTTCATTATTTAATTAAATTCATTATTCACTTTGAAATTACGCTGTTATAAAATGAAACTTTTGAGAATTATGGCGAATTCTTTTCATGCAACATTATTCATATCGACGCCAAAGCATATCTCACTGGTCCTGTAATTGTTCTTCAGCGTCAACAGTTTCACATCGTAGAAATGCTTCCAGTTCTGTGCATCTTCCAGCGGCTGGACAACCGCGGGGAGTCTCAGCATCGCGCTAGGGTAGTTGAAGTTTGTCCGGGTGTACTTGTCGACCAGAGCGAGGAGCACTGTGCAATCCGTGTACTTTCCCTTCGTCTGCCAAGGCTGCGACTGGCGATAAGAGAGCGGAATGCAGCCGAAGAGGCGATGAGGTGTGCAGATGGAGTGAATGTAGGTGAATGGCGAGCTGAGAGACAGCGCCTGATGATAGCTGTAGTGCAGAAAACCAGGAGATGCCTGGCAGATAACCATGGAAGCATAGGCCAGCTCCACAATCTCATTGAAGTCATGAATAGAGTCATCGTACGAAACTTGGAGGGTCAAATTGGGTCCATAGAAGCATCCAACTGGAATGAAGAGAGATATCGACTTTAAGAGAAATTTTCCTCCCGAATTAGTAGAAGAATGCCTTTTTGGAAATTCAAGCATTTGACTAATTGTTCACATCTTTTACAAATTAACGAAAGTAATATTAAAATGTGTAAAATCTTACTCAATTGGAAGTCATTCCCGTGAGTCTTCACAATCAGATTGGAGTTTGGCATGCCTTTGCACAGCTCTATCAACTTAACCATCACTTCGGCCGCTCTCTGGTGAATGTTGGGAACCAGAGCTGAGTTGATCTCAAGCAGGACCGTGCACTCCATTTGTGCACCGCGAAGAATCACTGCCACGTACTGCACGTCGACCGACTGCAAGATGCGGCCGAAGATGTACACAGGCATGATCCAATCGTTGGCAACGCACTTCAGCTTTAGGATGGAATCAAAGTCAAAACGCTTCTGAAGGCTCTGCACGCCGGGAGTGGATGGCAAAGCCCACTCAACGCTGAGACTGTGTCCTCGGAATTCGGCTTGCGACAATATGGATAGCGCCTGCATTGCGACAAGCCTTGTAGTGAATTCCACGAAAGCAAAGTCACGCACTTGAGTGATCTTCAGAATTGTCTCCATGGGAAAGTGCTTGGTGACGAACGACTGGAATTCACGAGTGGCGTCCAAGTCGATGTTGCGGATGAAGAGAGTCTTGACCTGGAAAGAATTTCAGCGTTTAGTCAATGACTTATTGTAACAAAATTGACTTTCTACCGTTGCCATGAGGTCCGGATCCAATCCTCTCTCTTCCTTGGCCCAGACAACTCGGATCTGACGATCCCAGAGCTTCAGTGATCCCGGCCCGATCTTCTTTTTCGATCGCAGAGCGGCTTGGTGGTTGGGAAAGTCAATGAATGCAAATCCTCGATTCTTCTGCATGTTGCTTAGGCGCCCGTGGATGATGAAATTGCACATCTCAGGATAGATTATCTTCAGAGTATTCTTGATGGCGTCCGGATCCATTTCCTGTGGCAGGTTGCCCACGAAGAGACGGCACTTGTCGTAGGATCTCTTCACGTCCAGGCAGGCGCCACTGTTCATGATGAAGTGCGGCAGCAGCTCGAAGGCTCTGTTGGCCTCGTCCAGGCTGCAGTACACAACGTATCCGTAGCCTCGGCTCTGGTTGCAGTAGTCCATCATGAGCCGGAATTGGTACACCTTCCCGAATTTCTCGAGTGCCGGCAGCAGATCGAACTCCGTGTGGCCCTTGGGGATGCGGTGGATGAAGAGCTCGCAGTCCTTTCCCGGAGGGTGTCCGCGGAAGTCGCGTGGAGGCCCATATTGGCGGCAGCCATTATTCTGAACGATCGGATAGTTAAGGTTGAATTTGCGGCGATATACCTCATCGTTTTGCTGGTCCTCCAAATCATTCGCGTCAGGAGAAATATTGTAGCTATCTAGAGCCATTGTGGCGAGAAAAATTGGGGCACTTTATGACTTTTTTTGCAAGAAATTCACCGAGACTTCTCCACTTCCACACCTCGTGCGAGTATAACAATTTGAAAAAGAATTCCGAAAACGACTCCGGAGATTGTTATGACAACTAGTTTGAAAAACATAAATTCTATTCTTCTGACTTTATTGGTTCTTCTTGATGCTTGTCCTGGATCTCATCTTGGGGCTGAGCGGCGAGGATAATATTCCGAAGTGATGATCCCCAAGAGCAGCAAGTTGAGTGGAAATCCACCATCAGAGATCGATGAATTTGACTGGCTTCAGTGTAGTTTTCCTCCTTCAGAGCCTCACAGATCTTCACCAGACGAGATTTCACAGCTTCACTGAGTTCATTCTTTCTCGACTGCACCCCTAGAATGTCCAAACGTCTCGACACCTCCTCCTCCACCTTCTTGTCCTCAATTTTCTTGCTGAACCTCTCAAAATCTCTCAAGATTTCGCGCATTTTCTCATCGCTGATTGCTTCCTGCGCAGTCCCTTGCACAGCATGAATCACTTGAACACTTCCACTCGCAGGATTGTCTCCCATAGTTGGAGGAGGTTTGATGTCGGAAGAACTTGAGGAAGGCGGAATGATTCCGGAAGGCTCTGCTTTCGAAGACACTCTTGCAAAGGGCATTGGCAGACCCGAGGGCGCAAGCTCGACCTTTTGTCCAGCTCCACCACCGCCTGGACCGCCTATTGGGAAGGCCACTCGCTTGGTCAGGTTCAGTTTACTTCGATTAGGCGATGGTTTTGCTTGTTCCTCATATCCCATCTTCGGAGGATCATTCCAACCCGGATCAAAAGGCGCTGCAAGGCAATTCACTGGTCAGATTTCGCAAGAAATACGTGGAAAAGAGTCTAGAGATACTTACGCTTGCTGACAGTGTTATTCTCAGACATTTTACCAGTGAAAATAAGGAAAATACAGCAGGAAAAGAATATTCTTTGTGTCCACCACGAATACAAATGTTGTCAAAATCAGCTGTTGAGCACCTATAGTTGTCTCTTTCACGCTCGCTCGCTTTTTCTCGCTTCACGGTATAACAGTGTAGAACAGCGGGAATTTAAATTTTAAAAGCCAAACCCAGGTGAATCAGCCCGCATTGAAACAATTCTGGCTTTTCTAAATTGCATTTTTTATTAATACATTAGTATTTCTGTTCCTTTTCTTTATATATACATAATTCGATACTCGATTATGAAAATTTACTAAATTTTTGTCTTTTTCATCATTTTTATAAAACACTCATCTGAATCAAAACGATATAAATTTAATTCTGTTTTCATTACCGTTTCCTTTAACCTACTTCTTATTTTCCTTATGTTTAGTTTTCTAATCATTCCTATATGATTCACTTTCTCTTTTTGCATTCCCATTCTCTGTGTTGTTGAACAATTTCTATTGTTATTCACTTAATTTTGCAATAATATTTTTCCGCATTTATCGAGTGAGTTAGAATGTGGGTTAGTGGAAAATCCTGGTGTGCAATTATGTTCCAATTGAGTATTTTAAAAGAAACTATAAGCAATGTGTGGTAATTCCTTATTTTACGTGTCATTTTTAAATTAATTATTGCCTTTGGCACATTATTACAAAATAAAATATAGAAGTTACTTAAATTTGCGTGCTTTAATGGCCTAATTGAAATAAATAATATTATGGCATTTGATAAATAATCAAGTTTCTATATTTGCTTGGTTTCCTGGCAATTAATTTATTATTGAATTGTAAGCTCAATTTCATATTTATGTTTTATTGTGAAATACTTTTTACACACCATTTTTTTACTTTTATATTTGATTTTGCGTCAATTTGATTTTACACGAAATATTACTTTCGCTTTTCGCTTCATTGCCATTATTTTCTTAGATGCAAATTTCTCTCGGTTCTCAATGCTGTCGTTCAGGTTTACAGCGGATTCTTTTCAATTAGTCATTTTTGTAAATATCTATTTGCTAGATTCTCATTTTTTTGTATGAATAAATAGAAACCGAGTCACTATACATTCATATCATCCAATTATTTTAAGTATTGTTCTAATATTTACACTATGCAATACCTCTTTTTATTACTCAAAGTTACGCTGTCAATATTTTTTCTCAATGTGGTTTTCCTCTGTATAGACAAGTACTACATAAGTTATTACTGCGAATCGTTTTTGATGTTGACTATTTACATGATGAATGTTATCAGACATTTAAATAAAATGTATTCCTTCAAGTGTAAAGTTTTAGTCAAGTGATGTATGGGTGTGTTTTTTTTTGAGTTCTGGGAACGTGCAAGTGATTTTTCAACATTGAATACTTTCGTTATATTATTACTTTCTCATTTTTTTTACATACTGTTATCAATAAATTTGCGGGGACAGATCTCACATTTGACAGTTGCTGCACGCGCTTATCTGGAATGTAGTTTCATAGCCATTTTATGTAATTAGTGTTAATCGTGTTAATACTCATGGAAAATTTTATTCACGAATGCCTTCTGGGTGACTCTTCCAAAGCTTCTCCTTTCGAAAATAAGAACACTCACGATTCCTAAGTGTTGAATGAATTTATAAAACACGGATTTAACTTAATAGATCATTTGCTTAATAAATCCTCTTATAATAAAAGTAACACTGTCAACGGCGATTCGGAACATTTTATCTTCAATATCTCACTACTATGTACAGACTTTCGATATTATTTCAATTTCATATAGTATCTAATTTAATACAAATAATTCATCATCATGTTCTTCCACTCTTCAGTAACGTGTAATTGATTATATAATTCTTATAAAATACGCTCAATATCAGTATTTTTTTTCATTTTATTTATATACAGCAACTATTATGTTTATTTTTTTTAGAATTACGTTTTTTTGGTTTCCATTACCACCTTAAATATATCCTTCTTTAACACATTGTCCACATTGTTTATTTTCCTTAAATCGTACACGATCGACTATTTTCTGTATTGAATTTGAGCAAAGATGTTGCTGCAAGCCTCTTTTCAGTTCCTATGCTTGAGAATGAAAAATTACTCACTTTCTGGACTTTTACCTATGCCTCTTGCTGTTGTGTTTGTCCTGTCGAAATTGTCGATGAATAAATTTAATAAATTCTCAACATAACACGATCATATTCTTTAATGCGTATATATTTCTCTATACTTTTATCATATCCTCAGTTTTGCCACCTTCAATACTTTATAATGACATGATTTGTTCTGCGACTCACGTTAATCCTATACTCTACATAAATTTTTTTTTATAATTTTATGCGTTATTTAGAATCCGTTCTCCCATCGCAAATACAATGGGTTGTTTGTTGTTCTCTGTATTTATCAATAGTACATTTACATATTTTTCTCGGCTCACTACATATTTCTTTTTCTCACTTCACTATCATCAATAATTTTCATATTTTAATATAAAATTGACTTGACATTTCATTCATTTCAAAATAAAATATATACTATACGTATTTTCCATTTTCCTCATAATTTTACTTTCGATTACTATTTCTGCTGTTCTCATATGACAATTTTTTATTTATTACTTGTAGTATGTCGCTTGTATGCTCGCTTGTGAAGCTTTTGTGGCGATATTCGTGTCCTCTGACGTGTACAGATTCGAGAAGAAGTCACTAACTTGTCTAGTAAACAAACTCTGAAATCTTTAGGTGGCTGAAATGCAAAGTAAGTTAAATTATGCCTTCGTGATATGTTTAGTTTAGAGACTATTAAAGTGTTTTGTTTCCAAAAGTGTCACAAAATAGAGACAAGTTCAAGGGACAGACATCGCCGCAACGCTCCGCAATTCCATTTCCGGATTGGTGTATTCAGTATATTTCCTTCGACACTAATAAATATTTATGTACGGGTGTGTTAATGTATTTCTGTATTGATGTGGTTTCACGTAGTCCTAGCCTATATTATGATGATTTCTTTAGAACCATGTTTGCGCGATCGCCGATGTTCTCCTCTGTATCGCCTAAAAATGCCCTTAACAAATAACTACCAGTTTATACACACATCGAAAATCACATGGAGGGGATGTGCGGCCCCCTTAGTCATTATCAGTGCTTATACTCGGGATATCGTCCTGTATTCTCCATTGGTTGGCCGTTGATGTCGCCTTGGCCGTCGACTAAGTGTCCGACTCGTTGCTGGGCCGCAGTCTGAGAGAGTCTCTGCGTAGGCTGGATGACACTGCCACTGCTCTCTGTCTCCGTGGACGGGGGTGAGGGGTAGTAGTCCCTCGCGCCGATGCTGAGCCCACTCGTCCCCAGTGATGGTTGCTCGCCGTGGATGGTAGCCGTTGAGGAGGGCCCGATGCCGGTTGAATCCGTACCGGGGTCCAGTACCACCACGGAAACGACATCCTCACTCGCCCACCGGGCTAACTGTTGTTGAGCTTGAATAAAGTCATCACTAGAAAACAATAATTGTGACAGGGAAATGCGGTATGGTACACTTAAAGGCCCAAAGCTATATTGCAGCTTTCTTCATCTCAAGGGTGTTTTTGACTGGCTCTTGAGATTGTAGGCAAGATTCCTCAGTCCTGAAGTTACCCTTCCTCCTTGACGTTTGAGAGAGTGAGAAATCAAAGCAAAGTGAATCTTCTGAGTGGGCGTGGCGTAGAGTTGGGCGGAGCTTAGTGGAAATATTTTTCTAGAATTTCAACATGTGTTTAAAAGTTTTCATTGCGGAAGTTTCTGAAAAACCTTAAAAATGCAATTTTCCACCACAGGCAAATATGTAGAACAATAAATATTCATCTTGCCGGAAGCCCGGGTGCTTCTGGCATCTCAAAATGATTCACGTTGTGCTCGAGTATGAAAGAAAACTTTGCTCGAGAAATATAGAGAGAGAAAAACTAGATTAGAAAAATAGAGTTTTCTATTATGTTTGGGTAACTTCAGGCACTGTTCAATAGCGAATTGGACGATCGCAATGCACAGCAGACAGGCGGTGACAAAGACAACTTACCTCTCACTATCGGGCGTGTCCCTGTCCACTCGATTGTCCACCACGTTCCTGTCCGCCGACTCGTAGATGCCCTCCTCGTCCTGATGCAGGTGCGTGTGCGAGGAATGGTGCGACGAGTGCGCACCGTGCGAGCCGTGCCCGTGAGCGTGGCCGTGGTGCGTGTGGTGCGTGAAAGAGTGCGGCGAGTGAGCCTGGTGGGCGGGATGGCGGTTGGGCTGCGGCGGATGCCGATAGCGGCCGTACACGAAGCGGCTCTCATCGTCGGACCGCGGGCGGCAGCGGCTGCTATACGAGGGCAGAATTGTAGCGGTTTTCTGTTGCTGCGCCAGTTGCTGGGTGGATCTGCGGAGATTGCGTGGGTGAGAGACACGCCAAGAGTATCGCGCAAATGGCAAGGATTAAAATTATCTCGTGCGAAGGCGACATGAAAAAAGCGAGACTATCATCGCGATGCTGGCGATGCTTGCGTCTGCTTAATCTCTCTGTGCTTTCAAAAAGCTTAGCAAAAATTTCCAAGATTGCTTTGCGAAACTCCCGGCAGCACTCGACTATTATGGATATGAGGATTTTACCTTCTAAAGCTCCCTTCTTTGCTACTCGAGAAAATGAGAATGCTTCTCTGCGAATTTACAATTTCACCTGAGCTCCATGGAGATGCTTAAAGCTCGATGTGGCGCATGGCACACGCAAGCAAGCAAATCAAAAACTCTCTTCATCAATAATCACATTTCACATGTCCGTCTCATGGACGTCACTGATGTTACATGAGAAGAGGAGCATTAGAGGAATGGAGGAGATGGCAAATATAAGAAAGTTGAGAAATGATTTTTGCAAAGAAGCAGACAAATTGATTTTTCGTAGAAAATTCATAAAAAAGACATCATCTTCAGAGATTTCATGCCAATCGATTGACTCTTTTCCGCACTGTACTGCTTTTCTCTCTTGATATAGAAATAAATATAGAAGCCGAGAGTGGAAATGTGGATTCAAGACTCACCCTTGAGATGATTCACTACAGGCCGCCGAGCTGTCCAGACGATAGTGACGATCCGCTTCTGTTTCCGACATCCGAATGTCCTCCGAGCCACTGGGACTCATGTGGCGCGACGAGTGATGCTCCAGTTGCCTAATCAAATCCTCGAGATTGCGAATCCGCAGTGGGCCCACTGACGGGCCGCCGTCGTCCTCCATCTCGGGGCCCAGCGGGCCCCTGTGGTGATGTAGCATTGTGCCGGACTGGCTGGGCTCCACCATCACCGGATGGGGCTGAATGCCGTCACAGATGTTCTCCTTGGAGGAAGCTTTAGAACCGCTGCCGCGCTTGTACTCTGAATAGCCCAGCGTGGCCGTGTTGCACTCTTGGAGCGTCTTCCTCAGCAGCTCCTCGCTGATGCTTCCGCTGCCCGAGGGCGTGTTTCCGGCACCGGTGCCTCGATGCGAGGCGGCATTCCGCAGTGCCTCCAGGATGTCCTCGTGATAGCCGTTCAAGCTCTTGAGAGTGCGCTCCACTTCGGACGCCGCCACGCCGCCCTGCGGCACCCCGACCACTTGGGGCCCCACGACGCCCTCCGACTGCGTCGCCATCAGCTCCATGTTGTCCGATTGACCGTCCTCCACCCACTTGTCCTTCGCCCCGGCGCCTCCATCCGCAATGATGAAGCCGTACGGATGCTTCTTGAGGATGCCACTTTTCTCTGTGCAGAGAGCAAAGCGTTACATTTTCAATTTAATTTCCACCCCAGCTGAGGGTCAAAAGGCAATGAAACTAGGGATAATTGCCATAATTTTATACCCACTAGGAAAATTTTGCCCTTATTCCGGGCGGGAATGAATATTTGGTGTGTTCGTGTGACATTAAATTGTTACCACACGGCCAAGCTCCGCCCTATTAGCACATATGTACAACTTGGCTAATGCGAAAAATATTGTGAGAGCACTTTGGAGATCAAAGCCCCATCGTGGCGAGGCTTTAGCCGTGGTGACGCTCCAATGAGATAATTTTACTGCAATCCAGGGACCACTTTCAAGTGGAAATCCAATTAACGGGGGGTCGAAATTACTATTTCCTCATTACTCTCTCAGGTGTTCTATGTCAATGGCATCCATGATTCCCCATTTTAGCACTGTCTGAACACAAATTGAGTTCATGTACATTTTTTCGCTTTATTTGTGATGCCAATTCATGATATCCCGGAAAACCAATTTTTATTACTCATCAATTCAAACTCACCCGCATGTGCAGCATCCTCCTCTCCAACTGACCCTGCAGCTCTTCTCAGTTGCATCTTGTGCTCCCTGCAAACAATTTAACAGCAAAGAATAACATGAAGACCATGAAATGCACAATAACCAGACTCAACTTTGTGTATACTCAATAAACAACCATATTCAACGCTGTATTTCTGTTTTTATTACATATGTAACTATTGGGAATTGTGTGTGGGAAAATTAATTTTACTTTGCCGAATACTTCACGTGTTAATGATTTTCAATTACCACCCTAAGGCATAATAATAACGCCAAAGATTCAAAATTGTATCCTGTGTTCAAACAAATCCGACTAGGCAGAAATTCAATCAAATCTCATTATTGATGTAAAATGTTCGCATTTACAAATGTACGTACATAATATATATCGCTATACTATATATGTATGTTCAGTGCTCACAACATATTATTATTATTGTTGTTACATTTACTTTGCCAGAATCATTATTAATTGCAATTGGGATACATAATGACGAGATATAATTTCCTCGCTGCAAATGAGAGCAAATAGAATATAAATGACTTTTCGATGAGATTAAAAATTTGTTTATCAACAGCTTTAAAACATTTTTCAATTATTCATTTGCTATACAAAATGGCATACGAAATTTATTCATGAGAAAGAAAAAAAAGCCAAACATGTGAAATTATAGAGATAATTTCCACAATGCGTGGAGAAATGATGAATTGCTCGTGAAGATTTCTGTGGATATGCAAATTATCTTACCTTGAATGAATTTTACTACATTTAAGGCAATTCTGCCGTCATTTATATGGGGGTTTCGCTCAAAGTTACACCCTCGATGCTGTATCTCATTAACTCTTGTGCGTTTTTCATCGCCAAAAAACACACGAGACTGTATAGTTTATATTGCAAATAATATTTTACTTAATTTGCATGTTAAATTGTGTGTGAACGTTCAATAAAATGTAATACTTTGGGTGTATGTGGGAGTTTAATGGCAGATTTATAACGCAAAAGTGATAAAGGAACTTGAGAGAGTAGTAAAATACAAGAATATCACTCACCTAAATGTTGCCTGATTCCCATATGTTATTAGCTTATTTGATCCATCCAGCGAAACTTCCTCTACCGAATGATGATTGGCAGTGGCGGCGCCTCCGTAAGTCTTAGCAATAGGCTTTTTAACATAAGGGGGGTCATACTTGAGTCGCGTGGTCTTCCTTCTGGGGATGAATTAAAGGAGCAAGACGATGGAAGAAAGAATGCGGAAGATGTTTTAGTGTCACACTCTCGAGAAGTGTAATTTTGAAAGTCCAGCCATATTATAGTAAGAGGTTATCATAGCGACATTTTTGCCCCAGACACTACAGAAAGATAGGGTTGGGAATTGAGGGGGTGGAAGGAGGAGAATTTTGACCTCATAAGCCCGGGTTTGGGGAGGTAAAGACACTCTCTCATTACAATTTAATGTCTCAATCTCAATAAAGAAGTCGTGAAAAATTCAGCATTTTAGAGCACATCGTCTACTCTTGATTGCTCAAATATCATGACTCTTTTATTGCACGAACATCGGTCAGTTCTTCGTCATGGATGAAATATTTAGTGAACTTCTTTTTTACAATCGCAATCGTGACTCCTGCGCGCAGAGACACACTAGTAAATTGTCCATCAATATTCGAGTGTCTCTTGTGCAGCTGCTGCTCATCTTCTCCTCCTTCCTCGCAAACATGTTAATTGTTTCTGCAAAGTGCTCATTTTTTACAACCTCCATGGTGAAAGTTTTGCAGTTTGGCCACTGTAAATTGCCGAGTCAGACATGCTTTAGCGCATCGTTCTTTTGCAATCAGTGTGTGTGAAAAGTTCTTTCGCCAGCATTGCAATTAATGTTCAAGATTAATGCACATGTTCTGGCAATGTGGGAATGGCGTTTGTGTGAGAAAGCACACCATGAACAATTCAACACAATGTTTGTGGTGCTTTTGATAGTGACAGAGGGACAACAGGAGTGCAACCACGAAAGCCAACAAAATCAAGATTATCTCGCTCTGTATCATTTGTAATGCGCCAGTAATGTGTTTTCATATGCCAAATCTCTGGTCCAGCAACTGGCCATCGTCAACGAGATCATTCATAATTGTTACAATTGTCATGTTGTGATGTGCGCTGCTTCAATTCATTACTCGTCCAATTTATACACCCACTCACCTTGGCTTTCTTCTGCACAAAACAGTGGCCGAAATTGGGTTAAAGTCAGAGACATTCACTTGTCTTTGCATTCCGAGAACTGACAGTAAAGATAATTTCCTTCAACAACAACAACAACAACCCTGAATTCGTTCCAATTTCAGCTGATGTGAAGAGAGCACGACTCTAGGGATTTAGGACTCTCCACAGTGCATAAATGGCGCGCCGGGAAATCAATTTCTCACAGATATGACGATGGAAATTGGACATTGTCATCATCATCAGCACAACATTGAATCATCTGTTGTGATAACTCAATGGCACCCTCGAGACTTGTGGCTTGCACTTGTTCCTGCTGTTCCTCTGTCCTCAGCTGGCAATTCAAACGAATGGCCTTTAATTGAATCTGACACGCTGAAAGATGCCAAAATCAACAGAAGCTCGCACAGACACTACAAAAGATCATGCAAAATAAGCATTCTCTCCACACAAATATTACGGGGTTTCACACGAAAACTTTTGGGTGTTAGGACAACAACGTATCTACCACTGATAACACTTATCTATCGTCTCTACAAACGGAAGGGCTGTTCATACGAGAGTGGGATTATCTCATCTCGGGATATGGTTGATAAGAGAAAAGACAGATTTTCTCGAGATATAGCATGTGTCTTTAATAGGATAATATATAATCAGAAATGAAAGCAATCAACTAGAATGAAATAAAGGGAGAAAGAGAGTAAAATTGGTGATAGAATAATGTGAAAATATTGAATGGTCAAAATATAAATATTCTCTTAAATATATAGGTAGGAAAAAACAATTAAAAATGTCTGGTACTAAATTGTCAATTGACTTCAACTAACCTCAGACACAAGGAGAAGTTTTCGTGTACTACAACTGACCTGTAGCACAATGCCATGAGGGTGAATGTAACAAAAACGAACCCAACTATTGACATAAGTATACCGACTAAAAACACAGTATTGGAACCATGGTAGTTCTCTGGATATCGTTGAAAAGCCATATTTAATGATTATTTCGAAAAGCAGGATAGTTGAGTTAGTCAAAGAAATGTGTAATTAAAAAAAAAGTCAACATTATAGCATATCCGTTTACCATGTTTTATCAAGAGATATTGATTGGTATGAGGGTTGAAGGGCAATCAGTTGACCCATGAGTCGTGTCAAAATTACACCAAAAATGAGAAGAAAAAGAGAAAAGTTCCTTTAGTCATACATTGCATTTGGGTGAGAAAAATAAATTGTTATTATTGTGATATCATCTACAATAATGTCTCCCTGTTTCATGACAATGGTAATCGTACACCACGCAATTGCTTCATCAATGCAATTTTCGGTCTGCAATGATCTCAAATGAATATCAGAGGGTTGTGAAATAAAGGTATGTAATTGAAATGAGAATTTAAATGTGGAATAAACCCGTGCTTTCTGAAACGTTATTATATCGCGCTTCTACCCTGAAACTATAGCAGCATATTATTACTTCAACCACAATACGTGTAGTTTACCAATAACAGTTGTCTCTCTTTCTCATTACCATTGCAGTGAAAATTGAATGAGTTTTTTTTTGCCTCTTAATTTCGATAGACAGTGTCGCCAAATGTCAAATTACGCAATCATGCAATTCAATGTGTGATCATTTGAAGTCGCCGAGAGACAGAGAATACAATATTGGCCTAATTGGTGGTGAACATGGTGAGGCAGAAAGTCACACTCTCGCCATGCGTGGACAATATCAACCTTCCTCATCAGCCGGGGTAAAAGTTTTATTGACTCGCAATGGCGGGCAATTGGGAATGAAAGGCGCACAAAAGAAGAACTTAATTACCTGCCTCTAGGCAAGAGACAACGTGACTTGGCGCTCAAACACTCTCTACCGTGGTGAAGTTATTGACGATGACATTGTTTAGTTCTGCCCCCTTGCCATTCTGTACAGTGCGAGGTGGATGAATAATGATAGAAAGTTTGGCGGGCAGAGTTTCTGTTGAATGTCTTTCTTTTTCTCATCGCCACAGTATCATGCAATTATCATTATGAGGGTGCGACTGGGAAAAGTTGGCATTTTTGTGTCGGGGTGTGTAATTAAGAAAATAATAATTGCAGTATAATTTCAACTACAGACAGCATTCTTGGGCATTCCACCATTTTCCGCAACACCCAAAGTTGCTGCTGGCAAAGGAGTGAAAATCTTCTCAATAAGAAGCTGAAACGTTGAGTGGCAAATCCCTCAAGATGACGGATTAACCGACCTCCGGGAGAAGTGTGGGAAATAAAATGTTTAATTCCATTGTGGGGTGTTTTGAGAGCCACACAAGGAGCCCCATTCGGGAAATGTTCTTCTTGTACTGCGTACCATGATGAAGGGAAAATGTCTGGAGATGAGAATGAATGAGCGTGAATGAAAAATTGCAGCATTTTGGGGGGTGAAATGAATGAATTGCATGGGGATGATTCATCAACTTCCCCGCACATTGATGATATTATTTGAGCTCTGGGGCAACAAGAGACGGATAATGAAATTGTTGAACTTTCCGCACAGCTTTTTCACGCGAACGTCAAGCTATATTACTGTGTTGGTGGTCTAAATTCAATTTATGCAGATATTCCGGTAACTAAATATCCCTTAATTAATTGAAAATATCATTGGAGTTTCGGTCAATTTTACTAAATGAATTGAACAATTAAAAACCCAATGCGAAGGTTTTTTTTCCGGGACGTTATATGAGCTTTTCCTCGTTTTTCCGGGAGTGTATTTTTTCAGTTATATACTTAATGTTGAATAAAATGCAAAAAAATATTTTACGCCAAAAAATGTGATGACTCTTGATGTAGGAAATTTTATAATTGAAAAATCGTTTATTGCCCAAGTACCTTGCATTTCCAGATTAAATTAATTTTTGAATAAAAAAAAATCCCTCAGGGCGGCAATTTTGATTGATAATCTGGAATACGTCATCGTTTATCTGTGATTGAGATTGCAGTGCAATTGACATGGTAACAAGTAATAAGCGTGAGCTTTTAATGAGGTTTATTTGTAAAATTTTACAAGCTCTCTCTCCTTAGTGTTATATTTCACTTATTTCCAACGCAATTACATACACATTGAAATTAAATTGAATTAACATAATATAGAGTGGAAAATAGAAAAAAATCAATAATCTAAATTTTAGCTGAAGCTAAAATACCTCAAATATATTATCAAATGGAATATTAATACAATAAAATTAATTTCATTATCGATGGCAAACAACATTATTAATTATCCTGCAAATGGTGGTTCACTTTTCCAATAAGCGTCAACGTGTATCTGAAGGGATGACCTTTTACATAAAAGTATCACGTAAATAATGTCGACGTTACATATTCACGCTGTTATTGTTTATGGGTATTGATAAAAATTTATTTATATATCGTTGAACAATTTTTAATTACACCCGCATGAAATGTATATGATATATTTTACTGATTTTGACTTTGTACAAATTGGTCAGAATTCATCAATGTGGCATTGAATAAATGGAATTTTTTTCAACCACTGCAATCTCCAGAATATGCGCAGATTCGAATCAAACATGATTGATCGAAATGTTCATTTCAGTGATGTTATAATGCATGAAAGTTCCATGTCAATTCATTTGATGAATTCATTGCACATTTTTGCAATTATCAATTAATGTGGGAAAACATTAAGAGACACTGTCTATGCTTCTATATAAGAGTCAAAAACCAATTTACATGACATCATAGATTTTAATACCCATATTCGACATGACTAGCACAATGCAAATTCCAATTTCCGTGCAATTAATTGGCCGCGGGGGTGCGCAAGCTAATCACAATTGTTGTGATGTTTGATATCGGCGTGAAAAAAAAGTGGTTGGATGGCGTAAACATGGGAATAATCGATATTTTTGAACCATTGGAGGTCAAAAAGTTTTCAACTGGAAGGAATAAGCGCGTTTTTTGGCTATTTTCCTACTCATTCTCGTTATTAATTTACATTGTGCCCGGTACGATAGAGCAAGAACAAAAACATGACACGGGAAAATTCATTTTATACCATTTTTCGACATTCAAATTGCCCCTCATGGTCTGTTGTTTGTACAAACCATATAACAACTGAATTTTATTACAACAGATATTTTATGGGAGACACAATTTGAAATATGTAGATTTGCATCTCGCCGATGGTATTTTTTATATACGTATTTTGTATTTTCGCTTTGCTTTCTCCACAACACAATAATAATATTCATATAATAATAGATTGACGTCAATAAAATGCAATATACAAAGTACACACATGACGTGTAATGTGAAAAAGGGAGGAGAAATAACAGATAATATAAATGAGGCAAACACACACCATTTGTTGGCATTTATGGTGCGATTTGGCCTGCTGGAAAATCGGCAAGAAAGGATACACAAAAGAAAGGTGGTCACATCAACTTAAAAAGTGGATAAAGTACGACAAATAGACAATAGAAGGTAGATTACAGTCGAATACAACATAGCAGCACCACATCACATTTAAGGTATATTCAAATGCGAGATAATAATATAAAATTTAATTTTATAGTACAAAATTGATTTGATTATCAGCGCACAATTGACTACCAACGAAATTTCATTAAAATTCGATTTGCAATCCCATTGCGAAAATGGGACACTCGAGCCAGAGAAGTAATCTAATATTTATATGTATGTTTTTGTTGCAATTCACGCGATTACAGCGGCGTTACAAGTGTATATATCATTACTACCAATTGTCTGTGCGTGTTGGATTTAATTAAAGCAAAATCGTTGCATTTATTCTCCGTTCTCAACCATTATGGTGAGTCTTGCACCCCAAAAGCATCATCAGTTCTAAATCATTGCTTTGATACACAGTGGCAACAGGAGGAATTAGCCAGTCCGGATGGAGATTCTCCTGAAAAATTACACTGCCTGCAGCTGATTCAATTCCTCTTCTGGTCACTGTATTCAATTACAAACAGTGAAATTTTATGTGTATTTTTGTATTGTGTAAATTCGTCGAAATGTCATCAATTTTGGACGGTTTTTTTTGACGTGGAATTCGAGCGCGATTCATGCAGTTTATCGATTGTCTGGCTGTTACGATTGGCTTTCAATGAATTTCAACGAATACAAAGTACTTGTGCCTGATTTTATGATGGATGTGTGTTGTACTCTACCTGTAGCAAACTGCCATTAATGCAAAACTAGTGAAGACGCATTTGACGATAACCACTAATATGATGACCATTGAAAGTGTGCTGATTTTATCTTCTTGTCCCTCGTCTGGAAATTTGTGAGCCAAAAAAAATTTGAAAACAATCTCTTTCCATCACTGTGGCGGGCTTTTCAACAGGGCCAGCACACAGTTAATGTTCTTACAATCTACGAGTAAATAGCAATTAGTTAGAAAGTATATCAATATAGTACTGGACATAACATGTATAGTAAAACGAAAGAGGTTGCAATTGAAAAGAAACAATGGGATTGGGAGAGTACAGAAGATTAAGAGGTGGAAAGTATGCAGAAAGTCACACTGTGGAGTGGGAAGAAGGAAACCTTTTGGCAAAGTATATAATAAAATCGAAATGTGAAAAGAGGCAAAACTGAATTAAACTCAGGAGATAAATTAATCATTGATCGATTTAAATTTCCACAGATTACCATTGTCATTTCAACTTGTGTTTATGTCATTTGAACTTGTATGAGAAGTGTGCTAAATTATCAAGTTTCAGGATGAAACTTTACCACTTTATCACAAATATAGTAATTCTTATTGCCGTCTTACCGTAAGTCACAATTTTCCGCTCCATTTTGAGTGTACTGTTGGAGGGTGGCGGCACTGGGGTGGGCGCTAAAGTCGTCAATGGAATCGATATTGAACAGTCGGGCCCACCCCAACCGAAATCACAAAAGCACTTATTGGTATTTGTACAAACCTTGAAAAGAGATGTAGAGAGAGAGAGAGAGAAAATGTAGAATTAAATTAGAGCTCGGGAGGTAGAAAAAATCGCAAAATCACGCCCTATATATTCTCACTCAAGGCCCGTCTTCTCAAGTATCCCCAAAAGCAATCCTCCAAGTCGTGGAGAGGCAAGAGAAGGCGCTTTTTTTCAGAATTCTCATGAGTTTCACTTGAGAGATGTGTTTCAAGTGAAAATCCATTGTGTGTGTTTCTCCCCGTCGCGTGTGCTCGTCTTGTTCCAAACCCACTTTGCCCGGTCAGAAAAATTGTCAATTTCCCACCCAGAAATCATTCCGCAATCGCTACTTTTCAAATGACTCCCAAAATATACAGGGGAGAAGAGTGATTCAATTTGCCACCAAACTGCTATTTTCACACCCATTCGAGAATTGATGGGCAACAGTGTGTCCACTTACCCCATGTCCGGAACATTCGTGATTGTTCTGATTCGAGGGACACTTGGTTTGATCAATATGAGGGAAGATACTGACACATGTTTGATTCACGCAGATCAAATTGTCTCCACAGGGTGTTCCGTCCCTCACAAGTCCATGCGGTGGTAAATCGGAAGACATAAGCGTACCACTGGTTCCCCTGCGGGTGACAAAGGGAGAACAAAAGTGTTAGATAAAAGTATTTCGCCCACATCACAAAAGAATTCCTCTGGAGAAATTGTCTACTGAGCGTGAGGATATGCCATTGAGATATATCGTGTTAATTGGTCAAATAGTGACACAAGTCGTGCAGAAGGAAAGTTATGGTCGCTCTTGTTCTCCCACTCGCTTTGAGTGTGGTATTTATAGTCACTATCACATGTTCTTTTGTACATTAAATGGATTGAGAGAGATTAAATTGGCTATACTTTTGCAGGATATTTTAACTTTATAATCATTCCACTTAGTGCTAAAGGAATTGCTTTAGTATTGAACACTAATCAAGTAAAACTATTCAAATTCTAAACTTACTTGCACTCATATTCGACACCCTTGATGGAAATGATTGTTGTGGAGTAGAGATCGTCAGTACCGAAGATGATAGGCTGTCTCTCACCCTCTTTGCATTGCAGAGAGCCGCAGAGAATGTTTTCCGGCTCACACTTCTTAAACTCCCCATTGGCATCGATGCCACAGTGGCCGTTCATTGTACCCTTTCTGTTGAATTGCTCATAGCACTGGCGATCCGCCGCTGTGCCGCCGTATCCCCAAATCTTCTCACATTGGAATGCCATCGTGGGACACTGGCCGTTGAAGCAGTACCCTAAAATCACAGGTTTGTCAGTTTTGCCATTGCACACGGCTGAAAGGTTGGCTTACCCGTGTGTGGAGTTGCGAGATGCTCAGATCCGCCACATGGATTGCCGTTTTTTATGAACACATCCTGAGGACACAAGCCACTGTCCCCAGTACAGAATTCCGGCAGATCGCACTCGTTCGTAGAGTCGCGACAGATTTGTCCCTGTTTCCTTAGCTGCAATTTGACTGGGTGTTACTGGATGTGGGCGAATGTCGGAGAGGAATCCTTACCTGGCAATGGTCGCAACATGGACCGCTTGCACACTCAGCTTCCTTCTTGAGCTTGCACGTGATGGGATCACAGCAGGGGTCCTTCTCGTCGCATTCCTCAAACGATCCACAGTCGCACTCTTCGCCTTCCTCGACAATCCTATTGCCACAGTTGCGCCTCACCTCGAGCTGTGGGCGAGACTTGTGTTATTTTTCCCACCGGAAGGATGGTGATAAAGTGTCTCACCTCATTGGGTTTGTTGAGCAAACACAGGCCATGACCAATCCGCAGTGCATCGATGTAGTCTGAGCGGCTGCACTCGCTGAATTTGTACGGTTGGACATTGTCTGAGCCCACAATTGACTGCGCCATTATACAGCCGTGCCAGTCGCGGCAGTAACACTCTTCGCCTGGAAGACGCCCAAAAAGAAGTGCACACATGCCAGATAAAATAGCTGAATGTGAAAAACACCCGGACCAACCATTAAACTTTCACCCAGAGATGCGAATGTGGGGTTTGGGCGGGAAAGCCACAGAATTCCACGGTGAGGATTGTAAAATATCGCTCTCGCCTCTTGTTTTTCTACATTGCAGGTAATATTTATGAAGGGCTATATTTTTATTATTTCATATTTATCACTGGTTATTTTACAGATTGATAAATTCTGTATTAAAGCTGAGGCTTCAATTATAATGCTTGAAATGGCCTTGGGAGATTTATTTGAGATTCTGACATTCCAGAAATTTGTGTTTGAATCCAAATTACTGGAAGTTTAGCACTTGCAGAAAGGTCTTTCTGAAGAAAAATTCGAGGGTTGGTGGCAAAAGTTATTTGTGAGAATGAGCGAATTCTTTGGGTATGAGAGACAATGTATCGTCGTCGCTTCCATCACCCAGTATCGCTATTTCAACTATGTCAGATCCATTGAATAGCCAAGCTGCAGATAGCAAAGTGGGTAATGCAGAGACGATGTAAGTTCCAGTCGGCAGAATTATAAGAACCTCAATTAACATTTCCAAATTAAATTCAGAGAATGTGTCGCACTTTGAGTGTCCGGGGGTGGAGTGGGAATCGGCAATTTTGCATAATGGACACTTTGGAATATATCGTTATTGTGTGAAATGATGAGGGGGTTGGCGAGGGAACCCTTTTGGAAATTATCGTCGCATTCAGAGGCGACACTATACATCGACGAAGATGGGCGATAAATAATATTCTCTCCCGGAGGCCGGGATGGGGCGCCCCGAAAGGGGTATGAGTGGGATAAAGTGGCGGGGTAACAGCCTCTTCCGGCACAGAATTCCGGCAAATGGTCCAAAGACGAATATTTTATGTGCCATTTACTTATGTAGCGCCACCCTTTTGTAGCATTATACCCCCATCTAGCTTTCATGCCATCTCTGGTGGGATGGAAATAAATCATGGAATGATAACACTGGGCTGTGGATGTGAAGAAGGCATTCGGCAGAGGCCACGGAAGTCACATTTTGGGTCCCTCCAAAGCTGCTTTACGGGGCCAAATTGGGAGCATCCTCGAGGCTCTGAGGATATATAGGATTGAGCCGTCCACTTACGTCCATCATCATGTCCCATGCCGATGTTGTGGCCGATCATATGGGCCATTGTGCCCGCCAGCAGATGAGGCTCGTACACGTTGATGTCCACACTGATTCCCACAGCCTTTGGGGTGCACACAGTCTCCGGAACCGACATGCCCGCCTCGCCGCCCGCAAACGTTTCACCCCTGCGAAGGCAACACAGAGCATTAGATTCCCAGAAGACTGCCCTCCCATCGGGACTCAATTTGCCACCGTCAGTCCCTCTATTTGCCAAACAATCCATTTACGGACTGAAAAATATTTTTCCTAGCAATTTATTGTTATTGGCATGTTTTAGTACCAGATAGACGAGCAACTTTTCATGTCAACTTTTACTGGGTGTATAACTTGGAAAATCTCTGAAAAATATTTCCACCACTCAATTTCCATATATTTTATAGCCAGCATCAGCTGTGTACTTTGGATTGGGACTAGATAAAAGAAAAACATCCCCCAAGAAATTAAATGAAAATAAATTCAACTGGAGAAATGCATTGAATTCTGTTCCGAATTAATTCAAATTGTGATTTATCTCTTCGTCTCTCTGTTGAACTTTTCAAAATCTTCGCTATCTCACTTTTATTCGTCCAGTGTAAATAAATTCAGCGTGAGATGAACTTATTCAGAGTGAAAGATGCTCTTCAATTAATGGGAATTCAAACGCAGATTTTTAATGCATAGTTTTCAATTAAAAGTACAAATGGAAGAACATCATTGCACAAGTGGAAAAAAGATGGCGAGATACGTAATGAATGTAATTCGATTTGGACAAAGAGATTTCTTTCCGCTTTTTGTCCCAACTTTCTACTCAACTGAGTAAAACAGATCAATTTAATTACAATAATGCAATGCAGAGTAAAAAGGATTTCTACTGAGCAAACGGAGACAAATTTAAATGTTACCCCCAAAAGGATGGCGTATACATTCTTTGTGGGGCTTTGGAAAATTTTCAGAGAGCCACATCTCTCAGAGACGTAGTAATTGAATGCATTTATAATGATTCTAATGGAAATTTTGATATCTTTCTGGCATGAGTCCCGGGGTTTTACTGGCAATACTTACGTTAAAAGTTGCGTTGTATCTTTGTCAATTTTAAATAAATTCCTAGACGTATAATCGTTAAAATTGGAAATTGCCCTACTTATGTCCTTTCCCCCATCGATTTGCGCCTTATTCGACTGCTGCCATGTTTCTATGTACACCACTGAGACTCTGGTGTTGAGTGTGCGAAAGTACTGCAAGAAGCCCAAGGTTTCAATTAGTGAAGACATTATTCTGGAGGCGGTGGGAAACACTTACCAAATCTGCAATGTTGGCAACTTGAATGGCATCGTGAACCACCTCGGCTCTTGTACTGCCATTTCTCTTCTCGAACATCGCCTTGTCGATAATGAGTGCCGTCTCAATGTACTTTGTGGCCTCCCGGACGTCTCTGCGATAGCGGCCCGCCCCGTTGGGATCCGGCGCCTCTACCAGACCTGAGCCATGGGATGGTTTCCTGGGACGTGGCATTCGCCACTCCAGATTGCCGGAATTGGCACAGCCTTTGTTTGCCTTAGTGCGAGCCTCGAAAATTATATGCGGGTGCTTCTGCTGAAACAATGTAAGACTGTGCAAGTTATACAAATCCGCATGAAGGCATTGGTATTATACTTGAGGCATCTACCCAATAGTAACACTTTGGCGTGTGCTTTTAATCTCCACCGACAACAATGGTGCATACACACATTTCTCCCATCTCTCGGGCCGAGGCAGGAGCTGAGATTCTGAGTGAGAAGATTGTCTGTGCATGTAACATGGAACAATTTCCCAATTTAATTGCACGTGCATTCGTCAGTGACATTGGGAAAATAGTTTCGGTCTTAAGTGTTGGCATGGATCACGAGACGGAAGCATATTCGCAATGTGGAAGAGGTAAGCGCCATTTTCCGTGCGGCAGCATTCAAATTCATCATTGGGATTATTTGGAAACTAATTAAGGACGACGTGTGGGGAATGCAGAGAGGCGACATTGTGCTCCAGGGACACGTATCACTCCACCGAGATATTTCAACAGTCGTACTATCTCAAACATCATGGCTAAGAAGTGTGTAAAGCAAACTGAATATAAAGCATTTGAGAAGATCATTTTTTAACGTCTTTTATTTTAGAACTCTCTCCCCAAAATCTTGTCAAATTTACATTGAAATTGACCATAGAAATTTATTAAATATTTGCACTATTTTTTAAACCTGTTATTTGCTCAGTTATCTGTAAGAAAGTTAATTTGGTATTTCTCAGAGGTTGAAATTCTGTTGAAAAACTCAATTTCCATCGACTGATTGCGCAGTTCCACTGTGTTTTTATCGAATTTTCATGGTTCTGAAGCAGCAATTTGCCTCGTGAGAAAAACTGCAAAGCCACGAGAGAGTGAGAAATGTCAAAGAGCAATAAATTCTCCTATTTTATTGCCCTGTTCTGAATATTGTCCACTTTTGCACTCTTCGTTGTGGCCATTTGACTCTCTTGGCAGTATCAATTGTGATTGTGGTCCGCTTTGCACAGTCACGGGCTATCTTTATTAATTATTCACCATCCGTGGGGATTAATTGTGTCCCCATTGAATCTCTCTCGGCTTTATTGAGCCACTTCAGTGTCCACACATAGCGAATTAATGAATATATACGAGACAGGACGAGGTTTTCTCACAGGAAAACTTTCTCCAGGGCTGTGAGACTTTTTTGCAAACAGTTTCGCCTCTTTGAACAAATATATCTTACATGAAATCGCAGAAATAATGAGTGTCTGGCCGCTCATACTTTCCTACTGACGGCTCACGAGATGTACGTGTGAATTTGTATTTACAGCAGAATGTTGTGCTGAGAAAATTCCCCTTTAGCATCTCTGTGTGTATATATATATATATTTATATATATATGTATGTATAGTCTGAAACGGAAATTAGGATTTAAAAGAGATGGGATTCAACTGACAAAGGCCTGGACGCTCTTTATCATCGCCAACACGTGACAGTGATGAAAGGGAAACGGGCTTAAAAGAATGATGAATGGGCGAGAAATATCAACTCGATATGGAGAGAATATCCAATAAAATTCAGACGATGCGAAATCCTATTAAAGGATTTCTATTTTCTTAATTAATTAAATTTCACGAAACCACTATGAACATCAATGGCATCAAATGAGGTTTGGAGAGATTTTAAAATGAGTTCTCTTCATCTCCACTCTGCATGAGTGTTATGTTTGGGGAAAATTCCTGTTTAATACATTGGATGATTCATTTTCAGCTCAACTTGGTGTGAATTTTCACAATTTACCGGATACAGACTCCATATATCGAAGTGGAAATGGATGAGGAAAAAACAGGGAACTCAAAGCTGTTGATGGTAATTTGGTTGAAGGTATTCTTGTGTGTGGCTGAAGAAACTCGAGCCCTCCCGGTAGTTTAATTTGCTCGAAAATGGACAGAATATTAGAGTCAATTGCCACGAGAAATTTGCTCTTTTGAATTTTTCCACCCACCCGGGCGGGCAAATGGAAATTCCTCCCTTTCATGCTAAATTTCCTTCCATGCCCTGTGCGTGAAGGGATGGATGGCAGGACAAGAAGTTCCACTTAGTGAAATGATAAAAAGCATCGGTGCATGAAAGATACTCTTGATTTTTCCGCTCCCACTCGAGATGAGAGCGTAGAAGTACAGTGGAATTGAGGGGATATCAACTGAAAATTAGGTCTTGCCGCCGCCTTCACGTGCTCCACCCTCGCAGCCCGCTGCTGTTGTTGTATCCTGAGTCGACAAGACTCGAGCGTCAATTCTCCTTTTTCCTCCTTTTTTCGGGGATGTTGCTTAGATGTGTGAGAATTGGATCACAATCAGGCAACCGTAAAAAAGAAATCCAATCAAATGTCTCTCCACCGAGCTTGATTCGTGCGGTGGCGAATGAGGCATTGCTCGCCATGAAGGCCACGGAAATTGTGATTGCATCGATAGATGTTTTTATTGAATCTACCAAGGAGTCATACACATCTCTATTGGATTATCTCAAATCAACAATAAATAGTATTCTGATGGTCTTGTGTCATATTGTTGCCTTTCTTCATTCCACATGACGCAGACGAGCTCATCTCTGTCATCCGAGAGAACATCGTAAAAAGCGATATATGGTCATTCGGTAACAAAAATCAACATTTGATAAAATCAATAATAAAAGTCTTTCACTATAGTAAGATATAGATCCCGAAGTTACGACATACAACGACTGTGTCCTAGTAAAATCGCCTAGATTTTGACTCCTAAGTAAGGAGAGCATTCGTGTTTGAAAGGTAGTGAAATGCTGCACACAATAAGAGAGCGAAACGATTGAAAGGTGCTGAGAAATGTGATGGCAAACATTGATGGAGTTTTGAACCATGAGCAAGAAGAAACAACTGGTTCGAATGCCAGAAGATCGAATGCTCAGGAAGCCATGGAATCCGAAATCGGAGGTGAAGCAAGCGAGAGACCAATCCCAGAGGAGATATAAAAGGCGTAGCGAAGCATGAAAAATGGAGAAACCTAGAAGAGACTTAGAGCTACTTATTTGAATTTCTTCCCGAACGTTAACTCCCTCAAATAGTGGAAACATATTTGCGAGATAGACCATGAGCCAGGGGTGCAGAGAGGTCGAGAAGAATGGTCAAAAGTTTGCCAAGGAAAATATTTATCAAGTGATGTATTCATTCATTTTGTGAGATAGTCCAGAGTGGGAGGGGATGCAATGGTTGAAAGGGTTAAATTGATCGACCCTTTTCCATTTCAATTTATGGAGTGTCCTGCACTTGATTCAATCTCCTTTGATTTTGTTAGTCCAGAAGTTCCTCAGACGCCACTTTTGGTACTCTGCCAGAAGATACATTCGCCATAAGACGTAAGACAATCTGGGTGAGCCAAAATTCTTCAATGGGGTCTTCAGTATAAAACAAACCTCATGGGAAGTTGCGCTTGCACAGTCAACGTGGGGAGTGGTACTTTCTCAAGTTTGCACTTGCATCGTCTTCTACACACAATAACACGGCAACGGAGACTCCTCATACGTATTAAAAGCAAGAGGCTACCATTCGCAGATCAAGTGCGCCCTCGGAAGTTTGTTTGTTTGCGTAATTGCAATTGCAGAGCACTGAGACGCCCTTCCGACTCGCCTGTGGGCGATGATGGGGATATTCTCTCTCTCTCTCTCTCCCTCTCTTTCTCTCTTTGCCTATCTCTATCTCTCTAGAGGATGATAGTGCTTGTCTGCGCGTAAAAACAACATTTACCCATAATGAGCTCTGGAGCGGAATTGATTTGAGAAGATTGTTCTTGGGGAGCTTCCATGGCTCTCGAAATCAATATGGCACTCCAACATCCACCTTATTTCATCCCCATTTCTCATTTTCTGGCCTCCCCTTCTGAGACTGCAATTCCCCTGCCATCTCTTGAAAGGTTCATTGGCCGTTGGCAGTCTCGGCATTTGTGTGTTGATTTTTGCCATATTCTCCAGATGAATCGGATGATTTTCGCTAATTGAATTGTACTCCGGAAAAATACTGCCAATGATTTTCCGCTTGAGTGCTCTTAATTATACCGTGATGTCTAACAAGTTGCAATATAGTTTGTAATTCAACATAGTTTTTACACTAATTAACTGCAGATTTCTCGAATTTGTCGCATGTTTGAAGTGGCTTAGCTCTGCGAATGGCAAACACTCAATTTTCCAGTCACTTGCAATTATTCCCGTTGATGATAATTGTGCAAATGCTCCGCCACATAACTTGGGTGTGTTTTGAGTATGTTTCAAGAGTGGGAAAGTGGTTTTGCTCCAGAGGTTTAACCAGAGCATCTCAAATGCTCTTGTTCACGTGTTACCCATTCCTTCAACAATAGAGAGATTGTATGTGTGTGTGTGTGTATCCCATAAAGTGAGAATGTGCCAAATTTAATATAAAATATGATGAGCACAAGACACTAATTGAATCTATGAGTAGAAAATTAACAAATTTCATTAAATTCACGACACCATTGACAATATTTATCCATCATCCATGTTTCCATTCATTCGCCCTCACTCTCTGCAGTTTACGCTCACTCAACAACTGGAAGATGAATTTAACGCAAAACCAACACCTCAAACACCTGCTTGTCATCTGAGCTTTTATTAGATTTTCCAAAGCTCTACCAGTTGCCGCGTGTAATGGAAGAGCGCTCGAGTGACGGGAAGGTTACAAGATTCTGCCCTATCAAGAGGATTCATTTCACCGTTAATGCATTCGGTTTATTTATCAATTAAAAATGTTATTCGTGTTTTCACAAAGATCCACCATGAATGTGCAAAAACTCATCTACCATTTCGAACATTATCACTGAATAATTCAATTGATGAGATGAAACTTTTATGTTGACCTATGACTCTCGAATGGCGCAAAAAATGCAATTATTGTCTGCAACATTGCAAAAATTCCACCCATCCCGGGGGGTTGGAAGGAGTGTTGAGCGACGATAGAATAAATCTATGGCGTATGAAGTTGTGCAAAACCTTATTTCCCTTTCTGGTATTGTTTACGTGTGGGGGAGAGCTC